CAAATATTTTTGGAAAAAAAACTGGAGGCGCCGGGTATCGATCCCGGTACCTCTCGCATGCTAAGCGAGCGCTCTACCATCTGAGCTACGCCCCCTGTACTTTATCACTTGTCTCATTAAAAAATCAAAAAAATTATGGCCTAAATTTATAGGACCAGTTTACATAATATACCAGGCGTGGCCGCTTTCACTTATTTAGGCGTAAACTGTGCTATAGAAAGTGAGAGTCTGTTATTTCAAATCTAGATTAAAAGTGAAATGAATAACAGAAACCTTTTTTAATTTTTTTTAAATTTTTTAAATGTAACCAAGATAGATTAAACTTGATATTCAGAATTAACTAAAAAAAGTAATAGACAAAAATTTGATTTCACATGAATTACTAGTAGGTACCTWGTTTATTAGACTAATTATTGAGTGTAACCACAAAGTGCTTTGCAACCCTAAAATACCCGTAAATCATGTTGCAAAAATTATATGGCACTATACTGGATAACAAAAAATATTAGTTGAATTGGCAACATTTTTATTTATAATTGTCAGTACATAAATACCTACTTCTTAATATTAACAATCTTCGATTGATAAGCTTTGAATGTTTTTAAGAATTTACTGAATTTTAGGCAAAAACTGCTTTTTGATGATAATCAAGGCCATTCCATGTCGATAGATCCAAGTCGAATCATCGGGAAAATCGAGGCGAAAATTCTTTGTTGGCAGCGCATTTTGGTACCTTTGTCGACAACTCGTATGCCCTTTTTTATTTTTCTATTATTTTTTAACATATCTTTCTGACTAACTGACGCTAATAAATTTTATAATAGCATGCTAATAATTTCTTAGTTCATGTTTTGTTTTTAATTGTTTTTTGAGTATTATTTTATTGAGATAAATTTTCCTACATTTTTTGTCAAAAATCAATTACATACAGCTATATTAAAAAAACGGGATATGTCAAAAATTTTAGAGTTTTTTTTTCAATTTTTCCATGGTGTGAACGTGTTTTATTAAAAATAAGTTAAAATATTTTGATGGTGTCAGTTAAAAAATAAATAAGTTATATTTAAACAAATTATATTTTCGAATTTAGTAACGAACTGAACAACTTAATAGTTAATTATTTGTACTTTTAGGGCATCCCAAACCCACCTTGCGTTTCACGGTAAGCTCATTTACCCACTTTTTATTAATCCTTTCGATGGTATTTTTCCCACTCTAGATTCTGCCGCTAAATTCATAGTTTTCCTAACATTTTCCAGGTGAACAATTTTGGCTTCACTTAAATGCGGCACAAGTTGGTGTAAATTGACATTGATAGAAATATTTTTGATGGGTATTGTCAAACTGATAATTAACAACCAGAACCGAATTTATATTGGGAAAAATTTCATTTCCAGGTCTCTTTTGAATATACCTGTATTTATCACGTTTTATAAAAAATTGAAAACGACAAGTTAGAAAAATGTTTACTTATCAAAGTGTACTCTGCGAAAGAGTGAAGAGAAGAAAAACTCGTAGTATGATCAACTTAGTTTTTTATTTTTATAGTATATACCACTCTTAAAAACACAGTGACGTAACTTCTGAACTTCTGTTTAGATTTAGATTTTCAAATTTTAAAATAAATTCGTACTACTATACTACGTAGGCGATACTAATGGTGGATGCGCCGGGTTATGCCTTAGCAATCATTTACGTTACAAATTCAATTACTGTTTTTCCTTAATAAAAATTAGGCACAATAGACAAAAAATTTCATTACTGTTTTTTATCACATCTAAAAAAAATAATTACTTTATTTTTTCCACAACATTGAAGGCGCCAGGTGTCGATCCCAGTACCTCTCCTATGCTAAGCAAACGCTCTACCATCTGAGCTACGCCAACCTGGTATTTTATCAAGGGTCAAAAAAACCGAATTTGTCACACTTACAAACGACCCATTTTTGAAATGATTTTGAAAACATCAGTAACTACTTTTTCTATAAAAAAATATTTTTATGACTCAAAAATATTTTTTACACAATCGTGAAGCCATTTTTTGTTATGGGCTATAAATTTAAAACAGTGCGTGAAGTATTTTGAATAATTAAATTAAATATTGTAAAAAAACGTTGTTTACATTATGTGTGCAATATTGATATTTTTTAACGTTCACATGCTTTTTTGTTTTGACTTTTGGTCTCAAGCGGCATATTTTTGCTTAAAAAAACAGTCGTTTCGCACACTTAAAAATAACTATTAATCAATGTTTATCGGTTGTTCACCAGATTATTCTAACAGTTGATTGTACTGTTAAACTGTAATAAAATGAATCTGGTTACAATAATTGTGTAGTTGCCAGTTGAGATAAATACTTGTACGTCATTGCTGTTACACCCACGATAAACTGTTAAGCCTATAAATACAAATAGTGAAAAAGACAGATGTAAAATAAAAATTACCAGAAAATTCGCCTGAACTTATTTTAATTCCAACTCACCCAAAAATTTGGCTATTACAAAGTAAATTAAAGCTAACTATAATTTCTAATAATAAAACAGTTTTTCACATGACTTGATCTATTTTAAAGAATATAAAAAATTTCATTAAAAAATTATGGTTTTGACCAAAAAAAAAATGTACATACTGCACATATTATCAAAGTATATTATTATTATGACGTATATTCCTCTAAAAATACTTGGTATTAAGTGCCAAATAATGTACGATGGAACAGATCCTCGTCTGTGTAACCACCGAGGCAGTCACTGATTTATTTTTATCTTTTTACACCTACCTAGAAAATCAGCAAAGACAATAACACGAATTATGCATTCTGAGTATAGTATTTATGAAAACCCGAGCCAAAATTCCGGTGTATTGTCTGCGAAAATAATACCTGAGTTGTTCGGTAAATACAATCGTATAAATAAAATGCCATTGGTGAGCGTGCCAAGAGCATTATGGCCACGTTTAATGTCATGTAGTTTTAATAAACGTATTTAAAGGAAATTCAGGAAATCCAATTTTATTTCAAGCCGATAAAATGTTACTTTAATGTTTATTTTTCTACAAACTTTTAATACCAGGTATTATTTGCTTCCGCTCCTCCAAATAACCTTTGCAAATTCCCCGATTAAAAAAAAATTGAATTGGATCCAATTTAATGAATCATAATATTTCCAAAACAAAGGCGGTTTGTTTCAGATTTACACATCTGTTTCTTCTTATAAAAAAATCGGATTTTTTTGGAGTCGCTGTACTTGTATCGAATCAGTTTGTCTCCGAAACACGTGTCTCGTTACGATTATCGTCTATTTCTATACCTTAATTTATTTTTAAAACAATTTTGTAAGCCAAAATCACATGCGTTCATCTTTGTAAACGTCAAAATCATAGTTGAGATTGTTATAATTGGCAGAAATGGTAATCACAATTCAAGTATTTTCAAAAATGTAATTTGTTAAAATGTCATAAATATAGCAGAAAATTGTTTGAATGTTTTAAATAGAATTTTTGTTTACTTGTTATTAGTTTAAGAACTAGAAACGTCAATCATAATCAACCATATATCAACAGTGAATGACGTTTTGCATTCGCACCAATGAGACCTGAGGAAATAATCAATCAAAAAAATAAACTGCGTGAATGAAGTGGAAAATATAATGTTCATTCAAGTATCAATCTCCACTAAAAAAAATATTATTTATATCGTTACAAATGACTGCTAAACACGTTAATATACTTTGAAATTATAATTTTCTTAATGATAAAATGAGTAAAAAGTAAATCTTAAAGATAAAGAATTATACTTTTAAATGGACAGTTTGACTGGATTTCTTCTTGACAATTTTTAATAAAAAATTGGAACAAATATACTAATATTTCGTAGTAGGAATCAATTAAAAAATGTGCTGCAGGAAAGTTTACTTTTAATTTACTAGATTATAAATTATTTAATTCAGATTGTCATATTCATTATAAAAATCCGTTCCTAATAATAATTTAAAAATAAATATGAAAAATATGATAAACAGATGTCCTGATGTAAAAAATTAACAAGACGAAAGATTTTTAAGGACGACAAATAGCTCAGTTTTAAATTAAAAAAAAACATATAATTTTCACGCAATACGTTTAGTTTTTATGTATGAAAGCTGCATCAATTATTATTTTTAGAAACTATTTTTTACTTCATCACTGTTGTCAGATACAAATAACAGAAGGTGTTTTCCAAAAGCACTTCCCGGATTATAAATCCAGATGTTAGTAATCATGAATCTTGTTAGAGAACGTAATTATGTCATTTCCGAGTTTTCAATACTTAAAATATACAATGTGATTTAGAAAAGGTCATTTGAATGATTATACTCAAGTACGCAAAATGGGGTTTTAGGGGACGAATCGTAATTAATGGGAGGAGTTACCTAAAACCTTTTGCGTACGTGGTGCATACAAGATTTTTTGTTAAAGCTCCTAAAACACGAATTCACACCTCTTACTAATTAAGAAAATTTCGTTAACATAGTAACAAATTATATTTTTTAGTCCGCAAAAACTGTTTTTGGGGACTGAGTACCTCAAAWAACCGTTTTGCGTACTATTTTATTGACTCCGGAAAAGACTCATTTTAGGGACTCAAATGAGTCCCTAAAACAGCTGTTTTCGGGAGCGTATACAAAAAAAATCTTTTTGAAAAGTGGAGATTTTCTGAAGGGGTAAATTTGGCAACAACACATGAAAAATTTGTTGGTTTCTACAGTAACCAATGTTTCAAATTATTGAGTACAGACATAAAATAAATATTCCAAAATGTACTGCAGCGTTGCCATTTTAGAAGTATATTCATATTTTTAAAACGCGACGTAAAAATTTTTTTAAAGCGAATTTGCGTTTCTTTCAACGTTTTCTTATTACCATATAAGCGGTTATACAGGGTGATTCTTAAATAGACCGACAAAATTTTATCACAGCTTCTTAAGTATAAATGGAGACAAACTGTACCCTTTTTACGTTTATATTTTTTAGGGGTAAAACCCCCTTGATCCGTGCCACTTACGGCGTTTATGAATTGTTGCAATGATCAAGTACATTTTGATCAAATTAATACCATGGTTTCCACTACCTGTGCTAATACTATTTACGAACACATCAGTGGCGTACGCTTTACCTCAAAAATAACTTTAATAAATTTTATTTGGAGAACGGTTAAACAAAGAACTCTTTCAATATTTTTTCCAGCATGTTCTCATTTGATACTTCCAAGGATAATATTTTGTCGGTCTATTTAAGAATCACCTTGTATAATATACGACCCTTTTAAATCACCGCGTGTAGTTCGTTTACTATAATGTATAAGTTTTTTAAGTATCATCTATTTTAAATTAAATGTAAATTATTAAAAAGTAAAATATTTATCCTAATATTACGTTTTTTCGGAAATTTGCATTTTAAAAAAAGAAAAATAAATTTATTAATCACTTCACTTCGTTTCTGATTTTCTTAATTATAATACGTTTTCATTTCTTTTTATTGTTATTTTTTCCAATTAGTTGTAGTCTCTTCTTTTAACAAAGTTAAAAAATATAAAAAAATTCGCTATATTTTAATTTGCCTTTTAATTATTTATTTTTGTTTAAAATGTTAAAAACCTACCTTTTCGTACGGATTCGATGGCTTCGACAATAAGTTTTTGATTAACTCCACACAAATTGGCAGTCAGTTTCTCGCATTTCTTATGACAGTTTACATCACAGTCTGTGTACAGAACAAATCGGATTAGAATTAAAGTAATTGTTAAATCAACGTTTTGCCAGTTTGTTGCACTTTCCAAAAATTATAGTGCATGAAATAAGATGAGTTTCGCTTTTAAATATCAATATTTGCCTTTTTCTATTTATAATTCGACAGGTTGTTTTCTAGTATTTTGATAAATGGCATTTAAAGCCAAAAAAGAATAATTAATGAGATAAGAGCCATGCATAAATCCGAAATGTTCTTATTTAAGTCGTGATTCACATCCATGTGGTCTCGCTTGCGTTCAAACATTATTATTCAAGATAATTAGGGTGTTTATTTTTAGATCTAAATTGCGCTTAATGCTAGTCAATAATATCAAATTCGCAATAAAGAAAAAAATAGTTAGATTGATCTATTAAAGTGTCCTTCACACTGACAATAAAACCAAAACAATGACAAAGTTTGTTAATTTTAACCACGCCAAGGCTGTAAAACAGTTAAAATTAAATGCGAATGACACAGTATTACGATTTATTATGAATTTCCTGTCATTGACGTCTTCACAGTTAATTTCAGTTAGTTTCGGTTAGTTTCTTGTAACAGAATAAAGGTTGAAACTGCTCTAACCCTTATTTCTGCTGCCAGGGACGCCCGAATCAAAGCCAGAGTCATTGGAAGACGTACTTGCACCAACTTTGTTATTGCCATACACCACYTTGACGTCATATTCATCATCAGATGACGTTTCTTCACTTGACGTTGTTTCTTCTTCACTTTCTTCTTCTTCTTCTTCTTCACTGTCTGATTTTTCAACCGGAGGGGGCGGATGCCGCGGTCGCGGATAATGTCTATGACGGATTACTTTTGGGGTTGCGTAAATCTCGACGGGACACTCATCGAATTGTTCGGGTTTTTTAAACGGATGCATGAATTGGGACAAACGGTTGGATTGGAGAGGGACGAAGGTGGGTTCGGGTTGAGGTTCCGGCTCTGGTTCCGGTTCGGGCTCCGGGGGTGGGATAAATACTTCCAAATCCGGGTCGTCTTTATTGGCTTTGTTAACCAATGACCGTTTTGAAGGCATTGGTTTGACAGGGGTTAACTCGTCTGCGGCAGGTTCTTCCTTTTCTTCTTTCTTTTGAGGTTCAAGGGTTTCTTTTGAAGTTAGAGGCTTTCGGGGAGAAGTGTAGACACTTTCACGGGGTCCAATTACGGCCCAAAAATTTTCTTCTTCATTTTCTTTTTTCGTTTCTTCAATTTTTTGAACAGAGTTTGACTTATTCAATGTTTCTTGAGATTTATTCACGCTTGGTTTAGGAGTTTTGGGACTTTCTGGTCCAACCTTTTGCTTCATTTCTTCGATTATTTGAACACTGTTTGATTTTTTCACTTGTCCATCCTGAATTTTCTTTAAGCTTGGTTTAAGAGTTTTAGGACTTTCTGGTGCTTTGGTTGCATTTTGAGTTGTTTCCTTATTATCAAGCTTTGGTAAGATCTTTGTAAGTTCTTTATCTTTGTTTACCAAATTTTTATCCGATTTTTCTTTCATTAAAATAGCGTTAGATTTATCAACAATAGAACAACTTTTAATTTCAACTTTTTCACTCACTTTGTCACTTTTTAATTGTTCAAGACTCGAATCTTTCTTCAACTGAAGTTCAAATTTCTTCGCAGCCATTAATTTTTCAACTTCTTTTGGTTTTTCTACTTTGTCGTTTTTCATCTTGTCAAAACTCGAATCTTTCTTTAGTTGAGCTTCAACTTTCTTCACAGCCGTTGATTCCTCATCTTCTTTAGGTTTTCCTTCCTTTTCAATTTTTATCTTTTCAAGACTCGAATCTTTCTTCACAGCTTTTGATCTTCTCTCTTCTTTTGGTTTTTCTACCGTGTTGTTGCCTTGACTCATCTTTTCGGTTATATTTACTTTAGGTAAATCTTCATTTTTCTTCATATCGGCAGCAATTTTTGGGCCAACTAATTGTGGTTCAGATACTTTAATTTCATCTTCAACTTTAACACAAGTTTTATTTTGGTTTTGTAGCACTTCAGCAGAAATTTTTTTCGTTTCTTCACTTTTCATTTTCATGTTTTGTTCACTAGAAGATTGTTTTAGTTGATTACTGTTACCAGAAGTTTTGGTTTGGTTTTCTAACTCTTCTTTAGTTTTATCAACTAAAACTTTATCATCACTTGCAGTTTTTCGAATTTGATTAGGTTCTATTTTTTCCACTTGGGTCAARTGTTTTACAGTAGATTCATTTGTATTTTSTTTTTCTGAATTCTCTTTCTTCAAAATTGTCCCAACTTCAAGTTTTTTTACAGAGATTTGCTTCGACAGTGCTTCATTCTGACTTTTTTTAAGTGTTTCAATATTTTCGTTTGTCATTTTTTCAATACTGTCACTCTTCTTCACAGCGATTATCTTTTCTTCATTTTTAGGTACAATCTTGGGAAAAATCTCTTCTGCTTCTTTGGGCTGTTCTTCCAAAATGTGTCCAAGATGCGCATTGCTATTCTTCCTCAAAATATTCGAAACCAATGGTTCCTTAGCCTTTGGAACGTGCACTTTTTCTTCAACTTTAGATTGAAATTTCTTCATTGACTTTCGCTTTGCTTCGTCAATCTCCTCAACAATCACATTAAATTTAAATTTATTACTCTTTTTAGGCTTTGGCGACTCCACCACCTCAATCTCATCTACAACCACCTTCAAGGTTGGTTTCTCTTCAACATCAATTGTTGCGGTAATTATAGGTTTAGGTTTAATTTTTATGTTTTCAATCTCAACCTGAGAAATATCACGAATTGCTTCTTGATAAGCTTTTTCAGTCTCAGGATTAATATCGACAATATCACTCCCTACACTGCTACTGGTAGAAGTCCGGCGAATTTTCTTCTGAGTTGGTCTTCTCTGAAGTTGCGATTTGTTACCTTCAACTTCAGTTAAGACAACTTTCTCGTTGGATTTCTTCTTAGTCAGTTTCTTCTTCCGTTTGACGCTTCCACGGGTATCAGAAACTTCAGCATTTCGTCGATTKATAAGCTRAACATCGTTACTCAAATCAGCAGAATTCCGTCTCAAGTCTTTGAGAAGATTTTCACTTGAAAATTGTCGACTCTGTCGTCTCTGTATTTCGATAGGTTGGCCAGGATTTAACTCCTCATCGATTTGGTCGGTGGTGATAGCTTGACAAATGTCGTGAAAACTTGGTGTTTTTTGAACGTTTGATTTTTTCGATGCTCGTCTACTCACCTTCTTTTCCGGTGCTTTGAAGATATCTTCGCGGCTACGAATCAAAAATTTCTCTTTTAGAAGCTCACCGGGTGTCTTTTTTGGCTTCTTCTCTTCAGTTTTCAATTCTTCTGGTTCAAAATTGTCCCTCCAACTTTTGATATTTGTACCATTGTCTGGTGATATCATGTCAGAGTGGACGGTGTGAAGACGTACCGTTGGTCTGTCCCTTCTGATTATTTTGTTGGGTTTTGCTTCTTTTTCTGAGCTTCTTGGACTTTCTAGATTGTCATTTGGACTTGGTGATTTTCTTTCAATTTTATCTTGTATAGGTTTAGGCCGTTCATATTTTCTGTATTTGTTCACAGAAACGTCAATATCAGCTGTGTTTATTTTAATGGGTTTAGGCACTATAACTTTAGGCGAAGTATGACCTCTCAATTTTGGCGAATTGAATCTTCTTAGAGGCGACTGGTTTTCGTTGATAGTCGATAGTAGAGGTTTGTACCCTCTAAAATTTCGCGGTTTGAGCAAGGAAGGAGGAGGTCTAGTGAAATTTGAGGCTAATAAAGAGGAATGYTTGGAATAAGGACCAGGTATGTATGAGCCCGTGTAACTACTAGTAGGACTCATATATATTCCAAGTTCCGAATAGTACGGCATTTCGGTATAATTAATCGACCAATTAAGATAAAAACACGTGATCAATACAATTCAGACGTGAGCCAATTTATTTGCTACCTGTTCGATGAGTTCATTCCACGTGCACCGAAGTCTCGTCTTACGCCACCCAAATAAATAAGAATCGCTCGTTTCACAACAAATGTGTGTTTTGTCGAATTCCAGCGAAATTTTCGGATGAACTCCCGCACCTACAAGCACCGAATGCTAAACTGGCAGATTTCTTAGCGGTGATGCCAAACAATTCCTATTTTTATCGTGGAAACTGTGACGTTGGAAAGCTCGGCTACACTTTATTAGCTCGAACACCTGTATGTCCGCATACAAGACGGGATTTGTCAAAAAGACCAAAAGGGAAACCGACTTTGACGTCAAGTTTACTTTGGACACTTTCCGATTAAAGCAAATCAAAGAGAATTTCAGTTTGATGATTGATCGACTTAAAATAATTTTAGAAGCGATCGGAAAAATGTGCTACAGGTGATAATTTGTCTCCGAGTCTTCCATGATTTATTATTTTGGGGCCTTGAATTTATGTAAGAAAGCAGCTGTTTCCATTTTTTAAAATTAATGTCTTTATGAGTCTATATCAAGGAGGAAATAAGACTTGGCGAGGCGAAAGCCAAATGACGCTTGTTAAAATTTTGCGAACAAAATTAACTTCTTTTCTTAATTCTGTTAAAACTTTTGCTTTTGAAATTGAGTAAGTGGTAAGTAGGTAGTAGTTAAGTGATGAACAAGAAAAATGAACCGTGTTGCAACGAGAACTACTAATAGTCCGAGCTTGCAAATGTCTTGCACACCTGGCGGAATTTGTTAAGGTTTTGTGGGTCATTATTTCATTGCCAATATCAGATATGACTATTATTAAATTATCTTACAAACGGTATWAGTATTAGTCATTACAACAATATTATTTACAAAAAACGGAAATATTTGTAAAGATGTAAAAATAAATTTCAGTCAAGACATTTGCATTCTCTCACTTTGTCAATGTTATTTTGAAAGAACAGTTGAGTGATTTGCTGCATCGTCACTGTTATGAGTTGACAAAATTTTAGACGATCTTCCTTATAAAACAACTCTAGCTTTAGATTACTGTTATAAATTGTTTTTTCTCGTAATAACTAAATGTTTATTTTCCTGTTTATTTGTTAGGTGACAACAAACATGTAGCAAATCGTGTCGAGAAGAGAAAAAAACGTGCATTGCCAACCGTTAGGTATTTCAGTAGTAGTATAGGTACATTTTCTGTTCCTCAATAGTGATTTAATATCAAATTATTCCTTAACTTCTCTGACATGAACGAAATGATTACTTTGTTGTAATTTATTTTTTATTAAAGTCAATGAAAAAACTCGACTTTTTAAACAATTAAGACAGATTGAAATARATTTTGAACATGTGTGGTAAATCCTGCAAAAATAGTTGACTTTGATAAATTAAAAACTCGTTTTCTTCTCTAATAAATTTATTTAAATCAGGTGGTGTGAGTAATAAATATGAAATTATATGATTTGAAAAAATACAGGGTGATTTTAAAAGGTGTAGAAATTTTAAGAGGTGACAATAGAGGACATCAAAAGATGCAAATATAACTCAGCTTACTTTATCCAAATGTTTATATAGTTTCTGAGATGTAGTTTTAGTCGCCGATCAAATTTAAATTTGATGCGAAGTCTTAAACTTCACCAACAAAAATATCGTTGACATATTACTTATAATACATCTTACTTATCTCAAATGTCACCGACTACTAGAAATGTAAACTTTCAAATACTCAATGTACTCAAAAAAATGCAAACTTCATTTTATTGTACCCTCTATATCTCAGAAACTATACAGAGTGTTCCCTTTTTCATTGTTACAAATTTAAACAGGTGATAGTACATTCAATTCTAATACAAAAGTTTCCTATAAARATTTATCGAAAAATGCTTAGTAAGGGAGCTACACCCCCTGGAAGGGGGCTAACATGTTTTTGCTAATATTTCAGAAACCATTTAAGATAAAGTTACAAAATTTGGTACAGGTGATAATCTTTATACACCTAAACGAATTCAAACATCAAATTTCGAAATTTTTAATCAGGGGCGTACGAAACTGAGGGAGTTTAAATACCCRATTTATTTTGGCTCAAATAAATCAGAATTTACAGAATAATAAAAGCAAGAAATTCATTATTTTTAATCATCCTCAACTAATTAACATTACATTACAGTAACAATAATAACATTAATTAAATGAATTTGCCTAAATCTAAAGCAGTTGTTCAAAGTGACCAACATTTTGATCAATGCATATCTAAAGAAACTAGAGCCAAAATAGATAAGTATTTTTTTACCCTAAACCTCACCAGTTTCGGACGCCCCTGATTAGAAATTTTGACATTTGATGTTTGAATTCGTTTAGGTGTATAAAGATTATCATCTGTACCAAATTTTGTAATTTTATCTTAAATGGTTTCTGAAATATTAGCAAAAACATGTTAGCCCCCTTCTAGGGGGTGTAACTCCCTTACCAAGCATTTTTCGATAAATGTTTATAGGAAACTTTTGTCTTAGAATTGAATATCCTATCACCTGTTTAAATTTGTAACAATAAAAACGGAACGGCCCTGTACATTCGGATAAGGCAAGTTGAGTTCTTGAGACTTTAAACCTGTACTCTGTTCTATCAACTCTTAGAATTTTTGTACAACAATTAAAATCACCTGTATTTAAAAAAATAAATTGGCATTTCTACAGTATGTCCCCAGATTGAGTTTACAAAAGGATTTTTTTTAATTTTTGATTTCACGCCAAAAGTGCAAAGGAAAAACATTTTTTGCTTCACTTGAGACGAGCAAATCTGTAATTAAAACTTCATTATTCTAATTTAGTGAAAAGAAAAGTTAAGTTTTCTGTTGATTTTGGAATAACTTTTCTCTGCTTTATGACTCCTATCACATTGGCGGTTTTATTCTTTTGACAATGAAGTCACTTTGATAAATGAGTTTACGCAAGTTAAATAACAAAAATATAATTAAACTTTAAAAAGAAGAAAGTAGAAACCTTGAAGATTGAACTTTATTATAAAATACCTAGAATGATTTTACAAAAATTGTGTATAGTTTTTTTCAATACATACACAAAAGTAATATTTTTGATAATAATAAAAAAATAGTTTTTGTAAATAAAAAAGTCACACATTATTTATATAAAACACTAACAAATTTTCCGTTTTCTTAATAATTGTGTTTATTTATTTATGTACAAATAATCGCAATCACATTAAAATAATAAATTACCACTAGCAAAAAGCTATCGAGACTGAAATAAAACACCAAAAAATGCATATTCTTTTACTTTATATTTGTATCCATGTTTAAATATTTTTCTGGGCTTCAGGCTCGATCAGTTTGCAAATGACAATAATTTAAACAAACACTAATGCACATTTCTTTCATATAACTATTTATTTTGTAACTTCTAGCAGTGCCAAAATTAGTTAAATGTAATTATCTAGTAACATCAAAGAGCAATGTGATGAAAGGAATGTCTGTTCCGCTGCCACAATTACAATTATAAACAGTGGTTGAAAATATCAATGAAGAGTGAATTTAATTTATTTCTACTACGTTACACATTTTTATAGAAATTACAAAAATTTTTAGATAATGCGTCACCCGCCATTAATATAGGGTGCCAAAAATTTTGTGATCTATTGTTTGCGTCTGTAGTTTTTGTAGACGCCAGGTTTTGTTACGCAAAGTAAAAATAACTCAATGTTTCAATGTAATTTATAATGCAAAAATTTGAAATGCAATTTGTTCTTGATTTATTAAATTTGAGCAGTATTAGATGAATATTAGATACAGTAACTGCGTTAGGCAACCAACAATACAAATTTTAACTGGCAAAACCTTGATTACGTTATTTTGTGAATTACATATTTGAATTYAAACTTACCTTCACATTTTAGGCCTTGTTTGTAAATGCCGTATAATAACGAACCACAATGATCACAAAACGTAGGAGACATAAAAGTATGAACTTTAAATCTATGTGGCAGATCAATTTTGAACCTTTCTCTCAAATACTAGAAAAAAAATTAATCAAAAATTAATAAAATTGAGACGTTTTACCTTACTATTGTACTCTCAGATTCTCTTCCTGATTCAGGACATTTCCCTAACAATTTATCGTGGCATCGTTTATGTACAGCAGTTTGACAAGCTAAAAAAACAAATGAGTGTTTATTTTCTCAGTCTAGTGTTTTACTAACCTTGACATTGGTACCCCTGTTTGCAAAACCCCCACAGAAAGTCTTTACAAAAGGCGCAAAAAGTCGGTTGCCGAAAAAACTTGGCAAGGAATTTGTGCCCTTTCACCTCATGTACTCTTCAAAATAAAATAAAAAACTAGATTATTCATTTTATATATGATAACAAGTACCTTTGATGTTTCACTGCACCTCTTCGTCTGGTAATTTCTCTTCCTCTCGTCCTTTGAAAGTCATCTTCATCCGATTCGATCGAACTACTACTTTTTAGTAACGAAGTTGTTGAATTTGAACCAAGTGAACCTTCGTAATTTCTGTGAACCATGATTGCTTTCGGTGCTTGACGTGACGTTCGAGATTTTCCCTACACATGAAAGTGAATTTGAGTAATGTTATGCACAAGCATTTATCTTGATAACAAGAGGTTTTACTATTCTGTGTGATAAGTTTAATGACAATTACACGGTATTTGTACTATTTATACAAGATATTACACACAAATTAATCCAGAAATATGTCCACAAGATTATTATTATATTTCACGGATTAACATTTCTTAATTAGGTGTGATTGTTTAATAAATTTGATTCATTACACTAGTTTTGTTGTTTATGTACCAGTGGGCGACTAAAAGTTCAAAACAAAAGCATTATCTCGTGATCCCAAATTAAGTAGTACTTATTTTCGGATTGTTAAAATGCTGAAGTCTAAAAATAGAATTTATTAATATTTCTRATCCAGCTTCTGTCGGTGTTAATTTTCAAATTTGATATTTGGAAATTTGTTCAAAATATTATATTTCGGTTTCCGGATTTAATTCGTTATGTTTTGACTTTTAGTGAACGTATGTTTTTTATCAAGTAACGTTCACAGATTGTTTAGATAAACAAGAACCACGCACGTCTAAAAACCAGAAAATTCTAGATATAATTTTTAGATTTATTAATAAGAGGCATAAGCTGTGTTTTAATTTAACACAACGATGCATGCCAATTAACAAATGTTTATTATGTACGTAGTAAACAGTAAATGTTATGATCTCTCATAATTTATGCTTTTTTAAAATATAAATTATTATGCGTAACTTCTTGCCGGATAGGTGAAACGACTCTTGTAAAAAATAAAAAAAATTCGATTTAAATTTTTATTTTTTGGATTCAGCCTTGCTTGGTCAAAGATTAATTTCTAACATAATTTTAGTGTTGAAAAATCAAGTATGCCTTAGAAATTTTCAAAAAAAACTATTGTTTTGTAGGGTAAAGTGCCTTTTATGTGGCAAATACGACAAAAAGTTATTAAGAAATGTTCTCCTCGTTTTCCTATTATTTTTATGCTACAATTGTCATCTGATATTATGAAACAGGTATAAAATAACAGATGTTCAAACAGAAATACATATTGTATACCTATACTATAAGAATAATATTAAAYACAATATTAATTTTTTGTAAGTATACATAATATACTTTTTGCTCATATAACGTACAAAAAATTTTGATGTGTCCCCTGTATAAACTTTGCGGAATAATGTTAAAAACAACATTCTTTCCAACGAGAGCTCAAGTTTTTTACAACTTGATATTTAGGTAAGTTCCTTATTTGAAATTCAGAGAAAATCATCATTGCTTGGAAATTGATTTCTTGTCAATATTTTCGTTATTTCCTCATTAAAGACACATTATAGCGTTATTTTGGTTGTCGTTGATTCATCCCAATGGCCAATAAAAATCATTATAATCCCAATAGCCAATAAAAATCCTTATAATCCATTTAAAATTGCAAACAGTGCCCACTTGGCCAGTGTTAAATAAACTCACAATACGCGAAAACAAATATGGAATAAATCTGTCAATAAAGAATAACGAAAGATAAATAAATACAAAAATAACTGGAGAAATAAAATTCACAAAGTTACAAATAAGAAAAATAAGCGAAGACAAACTTGTATTTTATAAATACGACATTTCAACAAGTCATATCAGTAATGCATTTTGAAATTGCGTCGGCGGAAATTTAATTTTGTGTAAATTCATACGAGTCGTGATTTATACCGTTTTATATTCTCCCGAATCGAATCAAAATTCTAAAAATAACCCACTACAAGCAGTATTTTTCTCTAATATATTAAAGTATCATTTGGCATCGTAAAATTTTAGCACAAATTTGACATTCAGAAATTGGCACAGAATTGCGTATATGTATTTATAAAATCGGGGAAAATATTCAGTTTGTTATAGGGTGATTAAAGTAATTTGTTTCAAGAAAATAAACAGAGCAAATTTACGGCGTTTACACTCACCCATCGCACCATTATATGAAATTTTCAAGATCACTCTATCACAAAATAAGACAAATTGAAACAATATTATACTATGCGTTCTTATTTAAATCTTGTTKGTCTTGGTTCAAAGTAGTTTTAATCTGATTCGAGGGCTTCCCTGACCTTAATCATAATTTTCTCCTAACAAAATTTCTGAATTGGGAGGAATTATCAATGAAGTTATTTCAGCCAAACCAAATAATCATCAAAATGATTGATTTTTATTCATAACGTTTAGTAAAAGTCACGTGTTTCAAATTAGAATTGATGTTTTCATAAACAGAGCGTCGCTCTGAAGCAAGGGCAGCGGGTTACGTAATGTGTGTGAATCCCCGGTGATTAAAGCCTATTTTTTGTTTCACAGTGTTTTGACAAGCTCTGTTTATTATCATTTTCAGTGGAAAATAAACATGACACAAAACTATTTCAACGCGTTATTCCCCCCGGTTCCGGATGTTCGCTATACTCAAATTCGGCATTTTTGTGCTTACACGAGGCGATTTTTGAAAATTTCTTACTTGGGCATTCTTGCGGGGCCCTCTTCGTCCATTGCTCGAATTCGAGGAAGTTAGTTTCTTGTAATGAGATCCACCAGTGAACATCATCTTGTCTTCTTTTAAACAGTCTTATCACAATAAAGTTTTGTCTTGATTTTTGTACTATTCGTCATTTTATTTGAAAAAATACGCAAAAAGTTCAGCAACGCGCCTTTTATAAAATAATGAAGCACAATATCACTTTATAAAAATAAACTGTTAGTCACATATTTCCCAAATATCAAAACCGGGGTCACAATCACTCAATTTTGGGCTTAAAATAAATGTATTCACTAGTTTGTTATTTGATACATAGAATTCGGCGTTTTATTACTAACACATTCTTGAGGAAATGCTTGCGATTTGACAGGAACAAAATCATTTATTTTGAAAACACAATACACACATGACAGGAGACACACCAACTGCCCTGGGAACAACATAAATCAACTTTAAACGTAAAACTTGGATTGATATTAAACCGAACTTTTTAATTTTATTAGAAGTGACTTAGTTTCACCATTTAGTAGTTCATTTTGACTCAAGTATGCGCTATATGTTTACACCACGACGTCGTGGCTGGCTTTTTATTTTTAGACAACTTATTGGGTTCAATTTAACACTAGTACAAGAAAACACTACAATTTCTAAACCGTTTATATGCAAATAACATTATGAAAATGTGAAACAGTAGTTTAAAACAAAATTCGGGACGTGAGGGCCAAAGCTCCCAGTTTTCATTACTTAAATTTTAATAAATTCGAATTTCGCGCTAGCGCTCAATTGAGTTTACCGGTAAAGTAGGTATTTACATCCTTTCAGTTTTCCGAATCGGAAAGATGGTAGGTTCACGTAAAATGTTTTAAATTTCGCAAAAAATCTCAATCATCTGTTTCTCAAATTCAGTATTGTTACATTTTTTGTGAAGTGCGATCTATTATGAGTGCTTGTGTTTAAATATTTACTTAATTTTTCCATTTTGTGATAAAGTTAGGTTATGTGAAGTGACAACACCGATTTGTTTTTTTGTTAGTAATTAATTGGCTTTTTCGTAATTTACAGACAAAGGGTACATCCAGTTTTGGTAAACGTCGTAATAAGACACATACTTTGTGTCGCAGATGTGGTAGGTCTTCGTACCACATTCAAAAATCGAAATGTGCCCAATGTGGGTACCCCTCTGCCAAATTGCGATCATGTAAGACAGTAAGAATTAGTTGTTTAGTTTTTAATGCAATTTATTTTAGATAACTGGTCCATTAAGGCTAAAAGGAGGAAGACCACCGGAACTGGCAGGCTTCGCCACTTGAAAATCGTGCGTAGACGTTTCCGTAATGGATTCCGTGAGGGTGGGAAACCAGTCCCCAAAAAGGCCACGTAGATGTTATAGTTTATAACAAATAAATTTGTCTAAAAAAGTATTTTTGTTTTAAAGACCCTCAACCCAAGTAAGTAGCGCATCAGCGAAATGAAACACTTATTCTTAACTTAAATTTCATTAAAAATATTATGCAACTTACTCTATATACATAAGAAAATAAATTATATTAAAATTTACAACTTAATTAATTTGGAATTGGTGAATGTTAGTGTCCTGATATGTATAAATAACCGTTTCAGTGCCCCCTGGTTCTGCAGTTATAACGTTTCTTGTGACTGTTGAGTCTGAAAAATATTACCATTATTCATTTTTACACACTAGAAAAAATTTTAATAAGCATAAAACAGTTCAAAAGTTACGCATTTAGCCTTACTGTAACTCTCTTCAGAGGTTTCGTCAAAGGTCATTTCACTTGGTTGCAAATTCTTGTCGCTTTTAGCAGCCTACAAGTTAACACAATTACACACTATTTCTGTCCACAACTAAGCAACAAACCTCTCGGTATTTGAGAAGGTAGAGTTTTAACGGTTCAACATAATTATCAAATCCCAATGAACTCATTGCATATAAAATGTCTTCTCCATTGATAGTTTTCCGTTTTTCCATGTAACACCTATCACTCGCTTCACTAGTGATAAAACTGATAAATTCCGACACACACTCCTGTACACACTCGCGGGCGTCTTTAGCAATCTGAAACCAATCACATACAGCCCCAATTACGCATCAAAAACACAGAAAATTCAGTCAAAGCAATGCGTACTTTATTATTTACCTTTCCCGTTTCTGGAATTGCTTTCTTCATGATTTTTGCGACGTTTGCAATTGGTAAAAACCTGTCTTGCTCTCTGAGAGGCGCCCCAACCTTGTCAATGGGGTCATGGTTTGAATCGTCAGTGTTTTCGGCCGTGAGCTGCTCCGTTTCGTCTACAAACACCAAAATAAGGCGCAAAACTTTCCGAAATTTTCCACTTACCATCCATTTCTTCTACTTGAACCATGTAGTGTTGGTCTGATAGTGCAAATGTGTGTGTGATGTCATCTGACAGTTCTGTCTTTTCCATTGCAGTGAGGGCAACGTTTACACTCAAGTGGACCGAAATAGTGGCTCACAAAAATTACACWCGTTTGATAAAAATGTAATTTGATCGATTTTCGAACGTAAACACTGTTTTTGTGATCTCTTTTGCCTCTTTTCCGACATGCGCAAAGGATGTGTATTGTTGGCTGCATACACACTTATTAACTTGTTACTTTCAGCGAAATTACAACCAGGGTTATTGTTAAAATCTATAAACAATAAAGAATTAAATGTCTGCAATTTAGGAATTTCTAATTATTACACAAAAATGTTTAAATCTTTTTAAACAACCAAAGGCAAACGACAACTTAAGTATGGCGCCGAAAATCAGAATGTCACTAGAAATGGGGGAAAAGTTAAACTCCCTATGTAAWGTGTAATGTCAATGTCAAATGAGCAAAATAAACAATTATTTCAAAATGGTTTTAAATTCATAATTTTAAGATGAAATTGTATACATGCCTACGAATAGGTGTGTCGTTTTCAGTACTTTTGSTAATATTTTATTTCTATAGCATTAAAATACTCAATAACAAAGATGACGTGAATGTGGAAGAATCTCACAAAGTAACAAAAAGTTATGAAGTAACAACAGGACGGATTGAGTTTAAACGGTAATTTCTTCAATGTCTAATAAATGTTTTTATTAATTGATTGATTTGTTAGGAATGACATTGTTGTGGCTGTGGTTGCGTGCGGAGATAGGCTTCAAGAAACCTTAAATATGCTTAAATCTGCTCTAATATTTAGCAAGGAAAAACTGAATTTTATTGTATTTGCTGAGGATAATTTAATTGAAAGTTTTAATCAAAAAGTGGGCTTCATTTTTTAAAATTTTTATTGYTGTATTATAATCACATTTGTTTCAGTTGAGTGAATGGAAAACATTGACAAGTAATGCTTTTACTTACAAAGTTATGGCTTTAACTTTTCCTGTGAAAGATGCAGAGGAATGGAAAAAACTTTTTAAACCTTGTGCAGCACAGAGATTATTTTTACCTGTACTTTATAATTTATTCAATTGTTGCATTATTCTGTAAAAATATTTTTTAGAATATTTTAAAAGACGTAGATTCTCTTTTGTACATGGATACCGATACACTCTTTTTGACACCAGTTGAGAATATTTGGAGCTATTTCCATAAAATGAATTCTAGTCAGATGGCTGCGTTAGCACCGGAACATGAAGACCCAAATGTTGGGTGGTATAATCGTTTTGCCAAACACCCATTTTATGGAAAATTGGGTACAGCTGCAAACTTTTTTATTTAAAATTTATCGTCAATTTTTTAGGAGTAAATTCTGGAGTGATGTTAATGAATTTAACCAGAATGAGGGCGTTTCAGTGGAGTGAATATGTAATTCCTATTTACAGAAAATACAAATTAAAAATAACATGGGGTGACCAAGACATTATTAATATAATTTTTCATTATCACCCTGGTATAATTTCAATATATTTGGTACAAAATAATTAAATCGTGTTTTTTTTTTTTAGGAAAATTGTATTTATATTCGTGTAGGTTTAATTTTAGGCCTGATCACTGTATGTATATGAGTGTTTGTAAGCCTGCTGAAAAATTCGGGGTGGCCGTAGTCCATGGTTCTCGCGGATTTTTCCATTCAGAGAAACAGCCAGTTTTTCAAGCTATTTACAGAGCTTTTGAAGAGGTATTTTTTTAATCGTGGAAATCGATGTTTACGAAGTAGTTTTAGTTCCGTTTAGGGGGAGATATATTCAAGGATTTTTATCAACCCCTTGAAGCCTATTTAGAACAAGCTCAAAACACTAATTGCGGTCACATTAAAGACGTTTTCCTCAAAAATGTGAGACTATATATTAACATGGAAGACAACAATAAATGAGCCAGGAATGTAAAAACTTTGAGTTATGTAACGAAGCTGTCCATAAATGCAGGAATATTTTATTTGCTAGTGTAATTTATACTTTTATAAGCATTATAGTTTTACTAAACAATTGAAAAATGTGTTATTTTACGAGTCATCAAATTTAAATTTATGGTGTTTTCTGTTTTTACACCAAGTCAAATACCTAGGTTAAAGGTTATGTAATTTAACCTAACTTTTTTGGTTCAAGTTTAAAAAAAAAATGTTGCGAAAAGTGATAAAATCGACTATAACGTTAAATGCCCTTTGGCCGCTTAATTATTTAATTGATTATGATAAATTAAGTCAAGAAACCCCCACAGAACAAAAAGTGGATTTATCAACTTTGCCAGAGGAGACAGGTTGGGACAGATTGAAACGGATTTTTGAGGTCGAGTCTGTACAGAAACAGTTGTTTGGCTTCTATGTAATCATATTGTGTTCAATTTCAGTGACTTTGGTGATGTTAGCAAAGAAATTCTCACTGTCTTGCACGTTGGGGGCATGAGTTTATTTGTGGGGGGTATCTATGGCGGGGTTATCCACAGTAGGGTAGCTTTTGTGAATTTTCTGAAAAACAATCAAGCGACAGCTTTTAATGATCATTTCGAAGCAAAGGTATGGCAATTCTTAAGTGTCCTTACGAAATTTAATTTTTTGGAATAGAAAAAATTGCAAGATGCTGTTACCAAAAGTTTTGGTAAGGGGGCCTGGATGTGGTCTTGGAGACTTGCAACATTTACAACGTCTTTTACGTAAAAAGACTGACTGCTTCATGTATTTTTTATAAAACAATGCAATTTTTAGGGCTATTTCAACTGGAATTTCTGTGTACCGGGGAAAATCAGGCATTCTTGAATARGTAGTTGCAGGCTTATGTAGTGGTTCATTGTACAAGTGGAATATGGGCCCTAGGGGTTGGATAGTTGGGGGCGGATTAGGTATATTTTGTAAAGGTGGTTTAATTTTATTAATTTATTTTCCGATCAGGGGCAGTATTAGGCTTCATAGCGGGTGGTGCCACTTTAGGTTTGTTAAATTTAACAGGAATGTCGATGGATGAAGTTAGATATTGGCAATACCATTGGCAACGTGAACGAGAAAATTATTCTAAAAAGGGTATGGCGGAATATCTTGCCAAGGAAGAAGGGGAAGTCATCTATCACCACAATAAGAAAATTGGAGAATCTGGAAAAACAATCGAAAATTTAGAATAATTAATTGTGATAAATTTTATTTCATGTAACACAAAAGCGACTGATAGTTAATACTTCATGATTTATACAATGAGCTTTCAAATACAAAAATATTTGTTATGAAAAAGCTATAAAAACACCTAGTTGAGCACATGTAAACTAAATAAATAATTTATATAAAGCATTACAACCGCCGTTTCAATTGTCCACATTTTGAGACTTAGTCATTCGTTTTGGTCCTCTATTGGGTGGCCCTTTTGGTTTGGCAAATTTCGGACGGTGCAAATTTTTTGTTGGGTGTATCTCCTCATACAGGAAATCTTCAGTTAACTCAGACCCTGAATCAATTTCCAACTAAAATTTTTCGATCAATTTCATCACATGAGTAAAAAAATATATACCTTTTTCACAATTTCCAAGCCTAGACTTGTAATGGTGTCAGTTAACGGATTCTTACAACTAGAATATAACATGCGCTCTTTTATTGGGCAATTGTACCCTGGCATTGAATATATAAATACTATATTTTCCATATAATCACCCTCGTGAGTGTGCTTAAATTTGTACAAGTGATATCTACCACTGTCTGCAGGAACTTTAGAAGGAAGTTTTTCAATGCTGAGGTTCTCAGCAGTGACTAAATGAATAGTTTCTTCTTCAATATCTGAAAATTGTCAATTAAAATCTTGGTCTTTTTGGTAAAAAATGCAACTAACTTATTTTAAATTGTAAATAATCATAAGACCCTTGGGCCATATCTACAATAGCTTGCCTTGCGGCCTCTGTTAGTGGAAACGCAACCCCACTTAGAGTTTGTTGCTTACTGTCCACACTTATATCAGTATGAACTTCAGTTCTTCTGATTTCTTGGAGTTCTTCCTCTCTTGTTGTTAATGGGGCAGGGGCGATAGCTGCTTTTTTGTGTTTCTGATATCCATTTAAAGTTATATCACTCTATAAAAAAAAAATAAAGTGAAACAGCCGAATTAAAATTTTCTCAGTACCGTAATAGTGCCATGCAACTCTTCTTTAATCTGTGATGTCCCGAATTCCTGTTTCAGGGTTGCTTTAGTTGACGCATACAACATTTTTTGTCTCACAGGAGCCGTGTCAGGTGACCAACTTATAAAAAGCCATTCATAGCCCGACGAATTTTTTGAATCTAGTCGATATAAGAGATAACATGGTTGATTTTCCTCAATTAGTGGTGTTATACAGGCATCAAAATCTTTATCCCAAGAATGTTTCACTTCTTTATGACTGGCAAGAGTTAATTGTTCTAGAAAAAAAAATTTGATCACTGTTAAAAGTAGTGTTTTGTTTACCATTTTCGATTGAGATTTTCACGATTCTAACTTTCCCATCTCTGCACTTTCCAAGAAACTTTTTCAATTCATCATTGGCTGCACATGAGAGAAAAAATGTTACTCAAGTGTTATATTCGACAAAACTGAATGAAAAAACAATTTAACCATTTAGGTTACAATTACCTTTAATTCCCGTTTGATGAGACATTTTTTTCTTACAAAAATAAATTAATGATCTGCCACAAAACCAAAATTATCCCCGCCCACTATTTTTGACAAGTGACTTTGACAGTTTGACAAATTTATTTCTAGTTATTTTTTAGTCAAAGGTTTTATAACCTGTTTTATGAAAACACTTAAAAATAATTAGTTCAACTAATAAAAAAATTCATGCTATAAATGCGAAATTGTTCCTGTCAAACTTATTGAGATAATGGACAGGAGAAATGCTAAATTCCAAACTGATAACCAAATTTTCTTAGAGTTTTTTTCTTAAGTTGCCGACCATGATAATTCGATTTGTTATTAACTGTCAAAAATATCAGTTTGTCAATCAACTCAAAATGGTTTGGTGCAGTGTTCCTAATTGCAATTTTATTGCAATAATAAAACGATAATAGTAAGATAAAATGTGAAAATAATTAATATATTAGGGATTCCGTTACAGAGTAAGTGAAAAATCAGTAATTTTTTGATCATTCTTCATCCGTGTCTTTGTCTCATTCTTCCCATGAATAAAGTCTTAAAAGGTTTTTTCAATTTTTAGATGATTGCAATGGAGAATAACAACACGATGACTTTTGTTTGTGCGGAATTATCATCAACAATGTTTCAAAAGTTATACGACCAAAAGAAATCGAATCGATTTTGCGATTTGACTCTTCATGTAAACAATAAGATTATAAAAGCGCACCGTAATGTACTAGCATGCAGTTCCCCGTATTTCGATTCGATTTTAAAACATCACAAAATAATTAGAGAACAATTAATAATAAAATGTTTAGATAGTGAAATTTTTAACACGATTTTAAACTACATGTACACTGGTGAAATCACTATAGAACACTCAAATGTAGAGGAACTCCTCAAACTAGCTGATCACTTTATAATAACCAAAGTAATTGAATATTGTATAGAGTTTCTTGGGACTAAACTGAATCTAGACAATTGTCTGTTTACTTATTTTTTAACACAACGTTTCAAATTAAAGCACTTAGGAAATATCGTTGAAAACTGGATAATGAGTCACATTGATGAAGTTTGTGATGGTGAAGAAATTATTGGGTTAAATGTCACCGAATTACAGGAATTTTTCAAAAATAAGAGTTTTGTTCTTTCGACTGCAAGAGCTTTAAATGTGCTTTCTCAATGGGTGTTACATAACGTTGAAAAACGCGAATCACAATTTGATAAGTTGATTAGATGTTTCCATACGAATTCACTAGAACCTGCCGAGGTTTTCAAACATTTGGACACTTGTATTTTGTACAACAAAAGCGAGTTGTGCACGTACCGGTTTTTGGACTATTTGGTCCAAAATAATTGGATGCTTTCCAATTTCAAGTCGAGATATGACAATCTACATGTTAAATATGGACAGGTAGTTTTGCAAGTAAAATAACCGGATTATAAACAATTTAATTTTAGATGATTTCTTGTAATAAAAACGATGAAGAAGACTCAAAGTCGGATAAAATCGTCGTGTCAGAAAAAAACGATTCCAGCTCACTACAAAACAATTTCAGTTCAGTGTTAGTTAAAGCGAAATTACGCAACAAGAAACAACTTATCCTAAAAAGACTGATGTTATTTGGTTTAAAACCTAGTCTAAGAATGGCAGCTTTAAAAATGTTAACTTCAAAAAAGAAAGTTTTGCCTTTGATCGATTCAGGTCAGGAAGAAGGTAAAAACCTGCTATCACAACACCAAGTAATTAACTGTTCAATTGTAGAAGAAGACAATGACGAAAAAATGGACATCAAATGCCCGATTTGTTTCACAATAATCAATGATAGTCTTCTGCTTGAGCAACATTTGGCTCTAAGTCATGCAAAAGATGTGACTTATAAGTGCGGCATTTGTTCTTTCGTATGTCAGTACCACGGCGATTATTTGAATCATATGAAAAGCCATTTTTCGGGGCCACCCTATAAATGCGACTACTGTAAGATGTGACAAACAGACGTGGCTATGGCATTTTGACCAATCTCATTTGCAAATTTTGCTGTGGTTTGGGGTATTTCATTGATTAATACAAAGATCTAGAATTTTTTGTTGAAAGTTGTCAAAATGCTAAGGTCAGATCAAGTTTATCTGTGATTTCTGTTTGGATTTTTTATTTAATGTTTACTAGTTTCATCAAAAAAGATGAAAGCTTTTATTAACTTGATTTTCGATTTATTTGAAAATTTTGCCATAAATCAGCCAGAGATTTTGTATTATTTTTACAATGTTCATTATCCGTTTTTATTTCCTAGATGTGTAAATGTAAATTTATTTTTCACTTTCGGTTTCTACAACTATTTTGTATAATATATTATTCCGAACAATTAAAATGAATTTTCTTGTTGATAAATGCATTATAGGTGACACTACAACTGATCAAATTTCCAAACTGATCTCTCATCGTGCCCAACACTTGGAAGAATCCGTTTACCAGTGCACATTTTGCTCCTTCAAATGTCGCCTCAAGCAAAACTTCGTCTCTCATTTAAAAATCCACACCCCCGAGAAGAACTTCAAATGCGACCACTGCACGAAATCCTTCCGTTTCAAGCAAAACCTCGAAACGCACATGCTGACCCACACCACCGACAAAAACCTAACGTGCGAGTCGTGCGGTTTTCACACGAAATTTCTAAGTCACATGATCGCTCATAAGCGCATCCACGCAGGTATTTCTTCCCATCTTGCGAATTCTAAAATAAATTCGTGATAGTTTTTTCTCCAGGAGATATCTATCGCTGTTCTTACCCTCATTGTAAATACTCAACGGCGAAAAAGAACCAATTAGCGAGTCACGCCAAGAGCCACAATGGGGTCAGACCGCATTCGTGTGGGATTTGCGGGCGGGGGTTTATGGAGAAGTCGCATTTGGTGAGGCACGAACGAATTCACTTGGAGGAGAAGCCGTTCAAGTGCTCGAATTGCGATTACGCGAGCTCGAGGAGGGATAAATTGAAGGAACATTTTACAAGACATCATGGGGAGAATGCTTCGGCGAAGGTGCCCTACAAGGCCCGCCCGATGCGGAATAACTCAACGCGCCCCAAATCACAGGTATTTTGTTTCAGTGTTGGGAGAAATTTTCCTCAATTTTTTATTGTAGGCTTCACAGGAAGCCACCACGACCACTTCGAATAATGCCAATAATAATAATAACAACGTAAATTTCACTCAAACTAATAGTAGCACCACTAGTACCGGAACCGGAGTAAGTCAACCAATAGGCAACGAAATACAAGACTTGATAATGCATCATCAGAACCATTCTGCAACGTCTTCTGCGACAAATTTATCAGCGATTAATTCGAATTATCATCATTTCGGCGATCCAACTGATTTTCATCACCACAATCACGCACATAATATACATAATCAGATTTTAGCTTCTGGACATAATCAAAGATCGGCTACACAACATCATAATAACAATATTGTTAATCATCATATGTTGGCAAGGACTAATCATTCCACGGCTACTTCGACCGCTGCCGCTGTCGCTGCTGCTATGATGCTTGACCCCAGGTTTCACCACAATACTTCCGTAAGTATGGCCAAAATGTTGATAGTCTTTCTTTCTATTATTCGATTTAGTTAGTAAGTACACGATCCAGATAGCAATATGTTGTAAATAATTATATGCAATGCTATTTTTTTAGATGTATCTTTATCACTGTCCATATTACGGTTAAACACTTAAGATTGTCTACGTTTATTAATTTTAATATTATTATTTCAGTTAGGTATTGACATTTTGATGAAAGTCAATATTTTTTCTCAGGTTTCATACACTTTGATTCTTTCTTGACTAAAGTTAATGACAATATATTTTTCTTGGTATTCACTTTTCTGTAGTTTTCCAGCCATATATTGGACCTTTTTAAGAATTAATATCACTAAAAATAAATAAAAAAATAATAACTACTCACATGTAAGTAAAGATATATCCAACATATGTGCTGATTTTAAAGTATTGCAAATATTTCAACAGGTGATAATAGAGCTCAAAAGAAGTCAAAATAACTAAACTTGTCTTATCCGAATGTTTATAGTTTCTGAGGTATATAGCACCACTTTGGCGTCGGAAAAATTGTCAAAAAGATGCAATATAAAACTTTTGAGTATTTTATCCCAAAATTTCCATTGCTATTTCTATTGCTAATAGTTGACGGTAACATTTGAGGTAATGAAATTCGGTGGTACCTTCAATATAAAAATGGTTCCAAAATTTTTACCATTTTATGATTTTTTTTTATATGAGGACTTTTTTTTCTGTGTTTGTGTTTGCTAATTTTAACTCAGTTTTTTAAAAACAATGTAATAGATTTTGAAGAGATCACATTTGTTTACAATTTGAGTCGGTGAAGTTATAGGCTGCGCCCAAATTTAAATTTATTCGACGAACAAAACCCTCTGTATCTCCAATAAGATACGGCAAGTTGACTTTGATGTTGAACTCGTTTATCACCTGTTAAAATATTTGCACATACTTTAAAATCAATATCTAATAAAGTTTATAAACATCTGTAATAACATAATGAAAAAATCAAGTTAAGAAAGGTTTAATGCATAATCTAATATTTTTGTTTTGAAGAGATTAAATTTGTTAAAACACTCTGTATCTTTTTTTCTTGAATTATGCTTTCATTTGTTTCATAGCAGTTATTTTTTGCCAGTTTGATTACTTTGTTTAGGATTTATAGCGACAAGTGCTAATTTGATGGTGTCTTCTCCCACACATTTCTACCTGCCAACACGAAAAACGAAATTCTTTTAATGAAATATTTTATCGTGTTTAAAGGTGCCCTACCACCCAACCACAACCCCAGTCTCAATGGCAATGGCTGCTGTTCAATCATCACAACAAATCCAGGCATCGGGACAACATTCCGAATATCCTCCTTCTCTCCAGAACTGCATGACACTATTCTAGTCTGAATAATTGTGATTCCTATTTTGTTATCTCATCAGTATTTGTTGATCTACATAAATGTTGTAACCTTTTTTGTTGATTTATTAGCCAATTTTTGTTGATTTATTTTAATAGTTTTTATAATTATATTATGCACTAAAAAGTAATAAATAAGGTGTATCGTCTTTGAGCGTTTTACTTGTTTACCTTGTCATTAACTCACTGCCAATAAGAAAATTGATATGATTATAAATAGAATCCGAAAATCAGAAATAGAAATATTTTTTTAAAAATAGGTGAAATTAGGGGACTTCTCCAGTCTAAGGAAAAATTATGAGTCATTTTGTAAAAGCAAAGTGCGTGAAAAAAGCGGTTTCTTTGATGTTCCGTCAAGCTTATCACAATTTTTAAACAATTCTTTATCTAAGCATAAACAAAACATTGTTATCACAAACTATAAATATGTATCATTGTATCAAATTTTCTGTAAAGAGTTTCTCCTTTTAGGCCTTTTTTCTCAAATATTATGAATTCGCGCCAAAATTCAAAAACTACATTCCAATGTCGTGTAGAAAACTATTTTTAAACTGAAGAAACATGGCGGCTAGCAGACATATCGGGCTATTTAAAATGTTAAAAAAACTCTTATTACATTGATAATAATAATGTAAATGCAAAATTCGCGCAACTTTAAGTGCTCAGAATCGAAAAAAACGTGTTGTGTGTAAATTCTAGTGAAATCCTGCGAGTTTGGTGACCCGCTGTTGGTAATTTCAAATCTACGGGGTGTTTCGATGAATTAAGGCGGGTAAGATGAAAAATCAAGGGTGTAGTGATTGGTGTGGGAATTTCAATTGTTGACAGCTTTCATGTACAAAGTATTTAGGTTTGGGGCGGCCTTTTCGCGAAAAGTTTTATATTACGATTGGTGTCAATGGGGAGAATGAATCATCGGCGAATTTTTTTTGCAAATGAATTTATTTAATTTCCAAATTCCATGTGTGATGAGTGTACCCAGTGTACGTACGGAGCACGCCCACATGTGGTACACTCGTAGCAACAACACGTGGGCTAATGTGGGTTTTTGACTTTTCTTCGGCAGTGAAATCATGAATTATTTATTGCTAGACCGATGGCCGTATTTGGAAACGATTATTCATTGAAATCTAACCCCAAGAAAAGCGAAAGTTTAAGTTGGCAATCACCTTCAAGAAAATTAACAAAATTTTGCAAATTAAGGGCCCAAAGTGCGGCTCTTGTCGTTTTGCTTCACGTCGTATAATCGCCAGTTATTTAGTTGAAGGTAGACAAGGATAAGTTAAATTTGTTGAATAAAAATAACCGAGTAAACTATTCAAACCTGCCATCCGATGGTCTTAAAATAGATGTCCCGTCTTGAGTTTGTATGCGCTCTTATCCTTTTCTATCGCGTCTCCGGACCCCCTTTTCTACTTTTTTCGATCATTAATTTTTAAAACCTTCCATTGATTTTTTTTATTCTAGCAAAATGGTTGTCGGAGACCCGAGTATAAATAATATAATGAGCGGCATTGAGAATGCCGGCGGAGTTAAACAACACAATCACAAAAAGAAATTGAAACAGAGGTGAGTAATGCGATTTCACGGTACGCTACACAGCCCTTCCTTAACAATTAGAACAATTGTATTCCGTGAATGACAGAAATTACGATGTTTTTGGCGATTTGGCACGAAAATTGCCATTGGACAACCTCCAATTTTTAATAGCAGTTAATAACATTGCCACTTTCTATATTTTGCAGTTAGACGCCGACTTTAGTTACCACTTTTTAATTATCTACGACATATTGAAACGGAAATTTTGTTGGTATTGGATTTCCTCCATTGGGAGGATTTTATTAGTTAAACAAATTGGGAAAGTAGAGATTTGGCCAGCTGAACTGTGTTTAATACATAAACACTGGATTTTATTYTATGATTCGCAACAGTTGCTGTAAAAATTGCCAACGTTGCTTTTAATTGAAAGGAGTTTAAATTGGAGAGGACCGCAGACTAAACGCCTAGAATTTATTTGTTGAAAAGTCTCGAAGTATATTTCTCTAAAAAGGATCTGTCTCCAGTTTGTTTGTGAGTTAAAGCGTCTGGATTGCGCCAGTTTTGTTTTTGCAACACTGGGTAGCAAGTTGGTTGCAATAAATTTTATCTCATATTACTGACATTAACAACGTTATTACAGATTTTATGGTTCATGTTTTGCTCTTTTAGTTAAGACAACTTGATACAAATTTATTAGCATTGTGTTTTATTCAAAAACAACATTAAAAAGAGCAGGATCACAGCCAGTTACTTATTTTAAAAAACTTCATTTTGAATTTTTAAAAAATATCGATTCCAAAACTATCACGACCAAGTAAAGAATGATCTTTGCTTATCTTTGTTAAGATTAAAAACATTTTTTTTACTTCAACATTTTGTAGATATGTAATTAAATTCTCCAAAAATAACTTCATGCAGTAGTAAATTTTTGTAGGAAATATTGAGACAAGTAAAACATGAAGATTAGTTTATGTTGATATCATAGATATAATATGCATAAGACTTATGCATATTATTTATATCTTTATTATACTTTTTTTTTAACTTATTCTACATGTTTTACTTGTAAATAGTTATTATTTATATTTGATTGTGAGTAAAGTAACATAAAAAGTAAATGTTTTGATGCATGTTGTTAAAAATACGGGGTGTTCCAGAATTCGCGTCCTAGAGAAAATTGCCAAATAAGATAAAATATACCTGGAATATGGAAAAAATTGTGTAAAAAATCTTTGACATTTATTTTTTGACATTAGACATTTTTTATGTCTATCTAATGTGTCTGATGATCTTCTAAGGGCCGGTTTTTCAATCGCTGGTTAAAGTTAAACCTCAAATTAAACTAAAAATGCAGCATTTTGATTGGTTAATTTGCAAAATTTCCATCGAAACCTATTTACTAACTAGAGGTTAGTTAGTTTTTCAACGATTGAAAAACCGGCCCTAAGAATATGTTTTTTTTTTAGTTATTAAGTAAACGTATAAAAATTTTGCCAATAAAAGCCAAAAATAACAATTTAGGATACAGCTTACTTGTTTCCTCTTCTAATAGCCTGTAGCAAAAAAACTTGGAAAATTATTTTTCCAACAGAAATAAATAGAGGCAAAGTGCAAACTTTAAACTCTCATAAGTAAAAGTTAAGTTACAATACAAAATTTAAACTTAGAATTTTTTTATTTTGAAATTTGTAGGTATTCTACAGTTTTACTCATCATTTAAAAACAAATTTTCAGATAAGAATTTATTTAAATTTTATGGCAGAAAAGTAAAGTAGAAAATAATACATAAATATTAAATATTAAAATTAATTAATAAGTAATGTATGTAATGCCTATTGTAGATACATAACAAATTATGAAATATTTGGATAATTTTTTTTAAGTATTACTACTATTTATTATTTGTCTAAGGCAAATTGGTTGTCATTTATTTTGGTAATTATGATGAAAATGATTATTTAACCTCATGATTTTCCATTTTTTGCATTTTATAACGGTTTTAGCAAAACTTTGCACGTTTATTTGGTTCAAAGAAGTAGAGTACGCATTTTCTGAAGAATGAAGTAGCCAAAAGCCATTGACATTTGTSCGACTAAAAACAAATGAATCTACTGCGTATCAATACTCGTAGTGAAATGCGCAGATTGTAGCCCCACATCATCCAGCGGTTGCACATTTATTGAAGTGCAGACAAACGTACGTAATACACAAAATTGTAAATTTAAATTATGTTTTGTAAATTTATGTGCATATCGTCTGAGTAAACACAGTGTTTTTCTGCACTTGTAATAGATAATAATTTAAAGGACAAAATCATGTTTCTTGTATTTTTTTTGTCTGTTATCAAAATTTGACGCTACAGTTGTTAAAATAAAGATTAAGACTTATCTTCTTTTTTGTCATTAAATAACTAAATATTTAGTGTGCAATCATTCTAAAAATATTCTTCGGGAACATTCACGAACATTCAATTGCAAAACTTTACGTAAGCAAGGACCAAGGATATTCTTAGCAGGGTTCACTCAAATGCATTCTGAAATTGTTTGTGAAAAAACATGTTTTGTCCAACTGTTGACAACTAAACAGATTTACAATTCTGTCGAATAAACTTTTAAACACAATTAGATTTTTTATTTATTCCACGAAACCACAAAAATACACCGAGGAATAAGCAAATATACAACGGACTGCAGACTAAACGCTGGGATCTGTTAAATTCTGCATTATTAGACACGGTATGAGAAAGTTGTAGGAAGTTCAGTTTGCCAATTTTTTTTTTATAAATAAAACTTGATACGATGCGTACCATTTGTTTCAATTTTCCGAGAAAAAATAGGAGTTAAATTTAGTTTTATTAAATACCAACATTTCCATCAAGGTGTCGTATGCATATTTGTACGATTATTGCACAATAATTCTTTTAAGGTTCGATATAATAAAGAAACTGGGTCAAGGCACGTTCGGTAAAGTGCAYTTAGGAATAAATAAAGAGACTGGTCAAGAAGTAGCAATAAAAACAATCAAAAAATCCAAAATCGAATCTGAGGCCGATTTAGTCCGAATAAGGCGCGAAATCCAAATTATGTCTTCGGTGCAACATCCTAACATTATCCACATTTATGAAGGTAACCAGCGGATGAAAAAATATTTTTGATTAATTGTTGGTTTCAAGTGTTTGAAAATAGGGAAAAAATGGTGCTAGTGATGGAATATGCAGCAGGGGGCGAGCTTTACGATTATTTATCGGAACGCAAAATTTTAGACGAGACCGAAGCCCGTAGGATATTTAGACAAATCGCCACTGCTTGTTACTATTGCCATAAACATAAAATTTGCCATAGGGATTTGAAACTGGAAAATATTCTTTTGGATGAAAACAATAACGCTAAGGTAGTTTAACTTCAAAAAAATTCAGAAATTGACAAAAAAATTTCAGATTGCCGATTTCGGACTGTCAAATGTTTTTGACGATCAAAGACTGTTGAGCACTTTCTGTGGTTCTCCTCTATACGCTTCTCCCGAAATTGTTAAAGGGACACCCTACCAAGGACCAGAAGTCGACTGTTGGTCTTTAGGTGTACTTTTATATACTCTAGTCTACGGTGCCATGCCTTTTGATGGAAGCAATTTTAAACGTTTAGTTAGGCAAATTTCACAAGGAGATTACTTCGAACCAGCCAAACCCAGCCGTAAGAAATTACCCGTAAAAAAATGACCAAAAAATAATTTTTCCATTTTAGCTGCTTCACCTCTCATTAGAGAAATGTTAACCGTGAATCCTAAAAATAGAGCAAATATAGAAAAAATATGTACCCACTGGTGGGTAAATGAGAATTACGATGTTAGCTGTTTAGAGATCTCAGAAGAATTAGCCAATCAAACTCCTGTAAGATTAGATTTGTTATTATCATTGGCTCCTCCGCCTCCACAACTTGAAAGTGACAAACTTGTAGTTACTGGAGATGTAAGTAGAGTCAATTTTTAAGAATTTCGCCTGATGTTTGGACTTTTTCAGGTTGCTGAAGAGATGAAGACTGAAGTTGCACCACCTACACGATCCCAATCTGTAGGCAGTTTAATGGAATTAACTCATCCTGCTGAACGAAGAATCAAAGAACTTTTAACTGAAGAAAAAGCTTCACCTAAACGTAAACTCGAAAATACTGTTAGTACAGATCGTGTCAAAGATGGCCTTAAGAGAAAAGATAAGATAATCAAAGAAAATACTGTTGCTGATATTACTCTCCATGGTGCAATTAAAGAAAACGCTTCTTTAGAAGATGCAAGTATGTCTGAGACAATTCCATTGGATAAAAGTCTTACACAAACAATATCACGTGATATGGATGTTGAAACAAATGAAGAATCAATTGATCCGTCATTACAAGGGGCCGCTTGTACTGAAATAATCGAAGAGGCAAAGAAAACAGAAAAGAAACCTAAGATAAAGAAAACCTTATCAACTAGTGTCAGCAGTAAAGCATTGGAGGGCATAAATGAAATTCCTAGTCAAGAAAATGTTAACAATGTAGATAAAGAGAATAAAGAGGTTGTTGCTCAACCTGAAAAAACCGAAAAACCAGAATCCAAAATCGCGAAAAAGAAGACAGTTAAGAAGAAGGTTTTGACAGATAAAAATGAAACGGTTAAACCCAAAGAACCATCGCCACCCTCTCAACCACCTGCCGAAGAAAAACCAAAAGAAACAGAAGAAAAACCCACCAAACCGATAGAACGGAGAAAATCCCGTATTTTCGAAGCGGCCGAAAAGTTCCAAAACATGATATCATCCCCCACCGAATCCAAATCCGCCCCTGTGGAAAAACCAAAGAAAATTGTAATTCCCGGGGTCAGCGTTGATGGTTTTAAAAAGGAGTTTGAACGTAAAGCAAGTCTCACATCAACATCCCCACCAAAATTAAAAGGGACTCCATCTAAGAAAATTCTAATCGATCAACAAAAACCCTCTGAACCCGAAACCGGCTCACCACCTAAAGAAGAACCCAAGGAGGAGTCAAAACGTGATTCTGAAGTCACCGAAACACCAAAGCCTGTGATTGACGATGAGCGCAAAGAGCGCGTGCGGAACGCTGTTAGTATTATCTCAAGTGCCTTAGATAAAGAAGGAGCGCGGAAATCAAAATCTCGGCCGTGTTGTGTCCGGAAACCTCCGGTGCCGTTTGGGGTTGGCGGTCGGTCAGCTTCGGGCAATATCGGGTTGCTTGCCTCCCCCTTATCGCCACCGTTGGGGCCCAAGCCGTTTGTGAGACCACAGTTTGATAGCAAATCCGAYGTGAAGAAAGTGGAGGAGAAGCCTGAAGTTGAGGAAGAAAATAAAACCTCCTCGGCGGAGATTACACTCAAGTCGGCGACGCTGCCYAGAAGGAAGACCACGAAAGCGGAGATTCAGCTCAATTATCCCATGCCTAAGCCAGCTACGATGGAGTTTAAGACTGAAATGGCTCATAATGTGACAGCACCACCCAAGTTGGCGACGCAGAGGAGTGAGGTGGTCGTGCCGGTCGCTGCGCCATCTGTAGCCAACTTCAGGTAATTAAGAGGAGACGTGATCTTAATTGTTGTGCCAACAGTTTGTCTAACGAAAATGTTACCTTTGGGTCATTTATTATAATAAAATGTTATTAAACATTCATTTACAGTATTCCATAATCATAATCACACTAATTTCGTCTTTCACTGTGATGAAATAATATTATGTAAGTATATGAAAGAGTCAAAAAAGTGGATTACGTTTTTTTCTTTATGTTTTTATGGTAATTATTTCAATATTTTGTCTTTTGATTTGTGACAATTCAATGTATTAATAGTTACCAATTTCTTCCACTGTTTTTTTTTTGCTTTTTTGTATTTAAAAAAATGTAGGTAAATTCTTTAGTCTTTAACTTCTAAAAATCATTAAATCATAATTAAATCATTTCAATAATGGTAAACGTTCTAATTTAAAATTACATCTTATTTCTTTTAATCTGTATAATACATCCCATACCGAAATAATTTGAAAAGGGGTTTTATGAAGAAGATCAAGTTTAAAAAGTTTTTTGAGTGTCGCAGAAAAGGAAGGGATTTTGATTTATGTAAAACGCGAAAATAATTACAAAATACATATTACGAGTACTAGATTTATTATTTGATTTTATTTTAGAAAATAGTAGTTTTTGATTTGTGTATGATTTTATTGGCTTTTATTCTCGATATCAAGAATTACTTTATGCTTTTACTTACAGTTTATTTTTAATTTTTTTTTTTTGAAAATGCTAGATAGATATTACGTAATTGAATTGTTAAGTTTTATTATTTTCAACAATTTTTCAAAAACTAATTTTAATTTTAGGTCATCATCGCTGGAACCCGAATCCAAGGGCTCCCCCAAAGAACGAATCATCCCGATTTCCTTCGAACAACAAGACGTCAAGGAGGCTGTTCAATCGCCTCCAACTAAACCACCAATGCCGCGACCTTTCCAAACCCAAAAATCGACTACATCGCAAAGGTAAACGCTCATTTTTTTGTCTCGCGAATACAATCCTTAATTTACTTTCTCCAGATCCAACAGCTTGTCAAGACAGTCTACTCAAGACTCCGACACTGAAACAACCTCTGGTGAACCGATCAAGAAATCTCCAAGGGAATACATCATCCCGATTGCGGTCGAAGGTGGTGGTTATGTGACTCCACGCGCTGGTAGCGTCGAGCCGAATGACACAGCGAGTACAACAAGCACCATGACAAATAAATCCAGGAACAAGTTTGGCAAAACAAGGAGATTAAAGTAACGATTTGATCTTTCTTAAGTAATTTTATAATAAATTGAATTAGTTCATTGTTTAGTGATCGGGATTCAGAAGACGAGACCTCATTCCCCAACTTGTATCGTCACAGTTCGTTCGGGAAAGACAGTGATAATGAAGATTCACGAAAAGATGCGTTCCATTTGCACAGATTGAGGAGTACAAGACCGAAGAGGACCATTTTGGAACACAACGATTCGCTTAGTTCTGGGGAGGAGGACGATGATGACGGGTTTGAAATTTTGACAGCTGAACATTTATTCTCCAATCTATTATCGAGGGTACTCCACAAGTACAGTAGTTTATTACTTTTTACTACTTATGTCTTGTAGGTGCGCGATTTGACCCAAAAATTGAACGTCGAAGATGGTGGCAGGCCCGGATTTCCCAGTAGTCGGTTATTGAGCCATTTTGATCATGGTACCAACTTCTGGAATTTTCACAACCGATTAGACCCCTTATCAAGGTAAGTCGCAGTGTTACTAATAGTTTGAAAGTAATAAATTTGCAATCGCAAGCTCACAATATAAGTATACGTGTGTAAGGGAAACTAAAACATATAAGTAAGTTACTTGTTCGATGGATTTATTGCAACCATTTCGTAGTGTTGTTGCATTTCATCGAAATTAGTCTAGGTTTTCTTGCACTTGTTTTTGCATGTACAACTGGAGAAACTAGTATTCATTCATGTCCGCTCTATTGAAATTGTGATTGAAATTGTTGTCTTACAGTTCCAATAAAGCATACCATAGGTTTGTCTCAACAAAATGATATTTGTGGTTTATAGATTTAATGCTCSTTTTTAGTAAAGCGTGAATTGACACATTATTGACAAAAATCAGCTTTCTTGTTTTTATTGATTTTTATTATTGTGAATTTTAAAAACGAAGGAATCATAAATGTAACTCAAATAATATTCCGAAACACAAAAAAAAACACAAAAAATCACTTTTTTACACTATTTGTTAATTTGTATTTTTGAAATTATTTTTTTCAGGCATTCAACGTTGGGTAGGAGCCTAAGCCGCGAACGCAGCAACGAAACCTCATCCACGCCATGGCGACGTAGCGTCAGCCGTGATTTAGCTTCAGATATCGAAAGTGTCTTCAAAGACCCCAATTCGACTACGACACGCCCCCGAGGTAAAATTTTCTAAATTGTATTTCGTAGTTTTGTGTTGTGACACGGAATTTTTCAATCTTCTCCGTAGATAATTTTTGTGCCCGTGTAGAATAGGAGGTTTTTTTGCATACTCCTGTTTTTGTATTTTTGTTTTTGTAATCTGTTAATTTTGTTTAATTTTTTTACAATAACTTTTTTTTAGTTGTAATTATGTATCGGCATATTTTGATGTATTGAGCACATGTCAACTAATTCGTCCTAGCAGTATTGTGTAAGACAACCACTAACAAAACAATTTTTTAATAAATATTTTTTAAAACTATCCTCACTTATTAATTTAGCCYGAGTCAAGGTAAGTCAGTAAATTATTATTATTGAATTAACTGGGAAATTGACAAGTGGTGGAGGTTTTTTGCACAATACTGTAAAAAAACGTAGTATAACCCAAGTAGTGATGAAAATCCGAGGATGATACATCAGGATATGCCAGGGCAATGGGAAGCATGGCCGTGACAGTGTTGTGGTTGCAGCGCGAGTGCGTGTGACGGTGCATGTGCCCTGCGGACCAGCCACACAGAAGGGCACCCACTAACTGCCTGGCTACCTGCTGCAACACAGACTCGGTAGGCTGCATGCACTAATTCATCACCATTATATCACTTAACACACATCCATTCATACGTTTTCTATTTGACACCAGAGTTCGTTCATTCATCGGGAATAATTTTTGTTCCCCACGCATGCGCTAATGCGTATAGGTTTTTTTAATTTTTGTTCACTAATTTTCTTTTTGTTTTGTGTTTTATTTCAAGCAGCCGCAGATGTTTTGTGCCAAAAAGTCACTAACTGAGAACGGTAGGTAGTGTATTGTTGCTTTTGATACAACCAAATGAAACAAGTGCAAGTGTTTGATTCCGATTCGTCGTTTCAGATAAAAAAGRCAAGAAAGAAAACCTTAATTTAGCAGATTTAGATCTTAAAAAAATTAAATTAAGTGATGAAGACGCATTAGCTTTGTCGTACTTAACACCTGGCTTATCACGAAGGATTCAAAAGCATTTACTCTCACAACTAGCGCCATCTGAAGCTCAAAAATTGCAACGGACCTTATCCTCAAATGGAAATAAGAATTATGAAGACAATCACAAATTTGCACGAAGATCAGTTGATCGATTGTCTTCAACGTTACCTCGTCGCTATTCAGTTGAAAATAACCTAAGTCAACAAGAAAACGAATCAAATGACACCACTTACCGTAATTATAAATCAGGGCTCCCTGTAAAATTTCGTGATGATAATAGATCGGCTAGTATCGRTTATGATAACGATTTTGGTTACAAAAGACCAAAAGCGGTTCGTTCTGTCTCACTCAGAGAACCCAAAAATTATGTTTTATCAAACAAAGATAAAAGTCCCGATTCAAGTCTTTCCGAAAGTTTGTCACGAAGTGACGTAACTGATAGTTACACCTCCTTATCCCGTCCTTCCTCATATTCGAAATACTCAGAATTGTCAAATAAATATTTAACACCAAAGACTGAAATCAAAAAACCGTCCTCAACGCCTCGAAGAATCTCAAGATTTTTGCGACCTGATTTTTTCGATCCACCGAAAGAAGAAAACGTTTTAGTAAAAGAAAAGAAAGAGCGGGAAATGGAAACGCAGAAAGTTTTAAAAGAGATTAGGGACAAAAGAAAGTGTCGACTGAATGCCAGGAGAGAAAGGTCAGCTTCACGTGAGAAAAGTGCCGATTTTGGGGACGAGAAAAAAGATTCAAACAAATTGGCAACACCTGAAGATGGTCCGAAAGAGACCGACCACTTGTTGAGCAAAGTTTCGAATAATATTAAAAACCTTGAAAATAACGTAAAGACGCTTCATGATTATGTTAACGTAACAGTTCCAAAAGATAATAAAGAAATCGGGGGAAACAAAAAAGAAGTTCACGATTATGTTAATGTTAAAGTTACAAAGCCTGAGGAGACCCCCGTTGTGAAAAAAACTCGAATTTCGAAACTGGTCCGACCGAAAAGTTACCCAACTGAAAGTATTATCGAAAAAGAGAAAGAGAAAAAAGTTTCACCGGAAAAGGAATCCAAAATTAGTAGATTACGTAAAGGTTTTACGCGTCAAGGTTCGAAGGAACGCGACAAAACAAAAGAAGACAAAAATGAGACTAACAAAAGTATAAATGAAGAAGAAAAAGGTCACAAGAATAAGTTACTTCAGTCGATTGAAAAGAAATTGGAGAAGTTCCGATCATCATCGAAAGACCCCGAAGAAGCCAGAGCCATAAAAGAGAAAAAATCAGGTGTTGAGAGTGCCATTAAGCGACTTCGGGAGCAAAGTCTCCCCCGGAATTTAGACCATTGTACTGAATCGGGACTCATCAAGAGGGCCGTTTCGGTCGAAGACGTGTCAAATTTGAGTTCGAGTAAGCCGTTGCAAGCGTCGCGTAAAAGTGTRACAAAAATTTTGGGCCTGTTTAAAAAATACGAAGAACAAGAGAATAAAAAGAACGACAAAATTGTGAAAAAGAAGAAAGTCAAAGAATGCCCAAATCGTGACGAAGCTGTGATTGAAACTGTCAATTCTAGTCAAGAGACGAAAAAACCCGAACGTCCTCGATCACTTTTACTCGACAAAATGAAACAGTTTCAACCCCCGGAAAACAAAGCTAGTAAAGCGTCGCGTTTGCCAGTCAATTCATTTAGACGTAGTTTGAATTTAGAAGTTGATGTTCCTAAAAAAAACGAAACGAAACGTAACAGCGAACCTCGCAGTGCAGCTGAAGACAATCGGGAAAATCGGAATTCAGTCGCGACTGATGACAGTTCGACTCTATTATCACCAGACGATAACGTGAGCGACTCGTGGTCGGTTTGTTCTGACTATCACACTCAGGATTTGCACTCGCCTGTCTCACCCAATGGGATTTTATGTTCTGGTGATGAAAGCGAGTCGGTGATTGACCGGATTCGGCGCAAGAGTTTCTACACGAGGTTTAACGAGAAGAAACGAACTCGTAAGCCAAGTCTGACTCGAAATTACAAAGATCTTGATTTGTATAAAAACCCGGATTATGGGTCTCTGGACCGCAGATCGGCTTATGACTATAAAACGCCCTTAACGCGTCGATCGTCTTATGTTTCCACGCTTCAAGACCCGGTCAAGAGGGATTACAAAAATTATACCCGAAGTTCGTCGCTTTTGAACGATTATGTCAACGTCCCGAGTCGGTACCAGACTTACAACGCGAGGGTAAGTCGACCAACTACGGTTTTTTCCGACGAGGAAACGACTTTGGATGAGTTGCTATCAGCTGCAAAATCACGAAAGTAAGTTTGTAAGGTTGGCTGGATTTGGGTTTATTTTTTTTTGTAGGTACAGTACCCCAGTTCCATCCATAAATAGAGGCTCTGTTTCTCCCGTTAATGGACCTACGTCTTCCGTTAATTCCTCTGCACCTGTTTAAATTATTTTTCTCAAACTATGTGATCACTAGTATACAAAGAACAGACTCAAAGATTCATGTTAGGATTAGAAAGTAGTCATATCAATTTTTTTCTGTTAAATTAAGGTTTTTAACTAACGAAAGTATTGCAGTCTTATTTATTTCCTAGAGAAATGTAGATACATAAAAATGTATTATTTATATGTAAATGTTGTTTGCTTTTTTATTTATTGTTAGAAGATAGTTTCCTTCAAGTTTTTCTAGTAGTTATTTTGTAACTTATTTATTATTTAACAAAAATTGGATTGAAAGCGTTATAAAACACTATTGTAGCAATTGTTCAAGTTTACATAATTTTAATTCAGTTGACTCTGTAAGACAAAATCATAAGTTTAAGTTGAGTTCGTGTGAATTGTTAGAATTGTATGTTGAATTTGGTGATTTTATAAAAAATATATTTCAAAAATAAATCGTTTCTTTATCCCATCCACAAGAATAACAAATTCGTCCCACATTTTTTGCAAAATAAGGTTTCTGCATTTTTCTATTTCTACTTCTATTTATACTTGGCTTTACATATGTTTTTGTTATAATGATTTACAGGTAATGATGATTTGAGGATTTTTGCAATAATTTTATTCTACATAAATTTGGGATTCCCATGTCTACGTAATACTTATGTATCGATTCAAATTCGAATTCAAGTGGTTTCAGATAATTATGATTTCTTTAGCGTCATCTACCCCTACTGCAAAAGCCGTACCACCCGGTACCAACCCACCTTGACATAATTCACTCACCCTGACCTATTATTGATCACAACTGTTTTGAAATGGGTGCAAAAGTGTGCAAACCGTGCAAAAAGCGGAAAGGTAATATTTTCCAAGGGGGCTCTATTCTCGATCGGGTTATTAGCCAAGCATCGAACCAAGACCAATGCCTACTTTATGATTTAGCAAATTATAAGAAAGGTAAATCAAGTCGAAAAATTTCTTTGTCTCATGTGACTCGTAGGGGGCGAATTAATCGACGCATACAATGCGAAGGGTCAAGCCGAAGTGGAAAAATTGATCCGTGAACAATTTAGCCAGTTCATGTATCAGGAAGGCAAAGGCCAGATCATCAACAGATCGGAGTATTTGAGGTGGAAATTCCGCGATCACGAGCAAGTTATTCTTCCAATTGAGGCGTCTTTGAGCCGGTATGATCCCCTCGCGAAGTGGACAGACCACGAGGCTTGCTGGCAGATGAAATACAGAGGCTCCTTAGGCGAGTCTTTGCTTCATGTTCTTATAATTTGCGATACAAAAATTCACACTAGACTAGCTAGAACTCTGATTAAATGTTTCCCTAAACTGGCCCTCGATGTTGTTGAGGGCGAAGAGTACCTAGGGGCGAGCGCCCTACATCTAGCTATCGCTTACAACAACAATGAGTTAGTCCAAGACTTGGTCGAGGCGGGAGCAAATGTGAATCAGAGAGCCATTGGTAGTTTTTTCCTCCCTAGGGACCAACAACGGCAAAAACCGGCCAAACACACCGAATACGAAGGTCTTGCCTATTTAGGGGAATACCCCTTAGCGTGGGCCGCTTGTTGCGCTAATGAAAGTGTCTACAATTTGTTGTTAGACAGCGGAGCTCACCCCGACTATCAGGACAACTTCGGAAATATGATTTTGCACATGGTTGTGGTTTGTGACAAGTTGGACATGTTTGGTTACGCTTTGAGACACCCGAAGCTACCGGCAAGTAATGGAATTGTGAATAAAGCAGGACTAACTCCCCTAACTCTGGCTTGTAAGTTAGGCCGAGCTGAAGTTTTTCGCGAAATGTTGGAACTTTCAGCTAAGGAGTTTTGGAGGTATAGCAACATCACGTGTTCGGCGTATTTTTTAAATGCTTTGGATACATTACTACCGGATGGACGCACAAGTAAACATTATGCACGAATTTTAATTTTAATAAGCCCGACATTTTTTTTTAGACTGGAATTCAGCCCTGTTTATTATTTTAAACGGAACTAAAGAAGAACATTTGGCTATGCTTGACGGTGGAATTATTCAAAGATTATTGGAAGAAAAATGGAAAACATTTGCACGCGTAATTCCCAGGTTTTGAATTAGTTTTTCACTAAAAACCGTTTCTAGAACCAATTTTTGAAACGACTTCTTATCCTCGTTGTTCATTTGTTATTTCTATCTTTGGCTGTTTACTTGAGACCGGAAGACCCAGACGAGTCTCTTTTAACTTGGTCTGATGATGTAACACTAATAGCTAGGTAACGAATCCCTAGTTTAGTTACTTCTACTCGTTAACTAAATCATCTCCCCCCTCCCAGATACGTGTGTGAAGTTGGCACAATTTTAGGTGTCCTCAGTTATTTAGTTTTGCAACAAGGGGATGAAATCCGTAATCAAGGACTTACTGCATTTTTGAAACAACAAGTAATAAATTGATTTCGAAAAAACATCTCTAATTTTAACTTTCAGCTGAACTCACCCCCGAAATTAATTTTCCTTATTTCGAATTTTCTCATCTTGGCTTGTATTCCATGTAGATTATATGGTGACAAAGAAACTGAGGAGGCTATTTTGTGTTTTGCAGTACCTGGATCTTGGTTTCTTCTTATGTTTTTTGCAGGGTACAGGTTTCTGTATTACCGACTTTCTTTTATTTTTTAGATTTCTGATTTTAGAGCCGTGCGTTTAACTGGTCCTTTTGTCACAATGATTTACAGCATGATTACCGGCGATATGTTGACTTTTGGGATCATTTACACGGTTTTTTTATTCGGTTTTTCGCAGTCGTTTTATTTTCTCTATAAGGGATTTCCCGGCGTTAAAACTTCTTTATATAATACTTATATATCGACTTGGATGGCTTTATTCCAAATAACTTTGGGCAATTATGAAGTACTTTGTTCATTTTATTTATAAATTGATTTAATTTTGAAATTGTAGTATTCAGAGTTAGGTGCAACCACGTACCCGGCTGTAAGCAAAACAGTCTTTGCCATCTTCATGGTTTTTGTTCCAATTTTACTACTTAACATGTTAATCGCCATGATGGGCAACACCTACGCTCATGTTATCGAACAAAGCGAAAAAGAGTGGGTCAAACAATGGGCTAAAATAGTCATAGCCCTAGAACGAGCAATCCCACAATCCGACGCCCAGCATTATTTACAAGAGTACAGTATTTCACTAGGACCTAGTGAACAAGATCCTAGTATCGAAAAACGCGGAGTTTTGGTTATTAAATCCAAGAGTAAAACACGAGCAAAACAAAGAAAAGGAGCTGTGGCCAATTGGAAGGTAATTATTATTTCGTGATTGAAAATTAGTGACAATGATTTTTTTGTAGAGAGTAGGTAAAGTAACAATAAACGCTCTCAAAAAGCGAGGTTTAACCGGTGAAGAAATGCGTTGTTTGATGTGGGGCCGCGAGTCTATTAATACACCAGTGAAAACAAAGAAACCTGTGAAAGACCCTCTGCTTGACCCGCAAGGGCCAAATTTAACTGGTGGTTTCGGGGATGCTTTAACCACAGCTTTGGATGTTATGACTTTCACGCACGATTTGGATATTGTGGGGGCTTCCCAGGGCCTAAATTTGGCCACGAATCCTAAATCTGGTCCACCGACAACAACAGCGAGTGCGGTGGCTGTCAATAACCAGATAAATTCAGCTTTGAACGCTCAACAGACTGGAGTGGGAGCCTTGGCTATGATAGGAACAGTGACCCAACTTACCGAATCTCAGGGGTATAACACCATGCCAAATAATGTYAAAAAAGACGAAAAAGTRGCAAGTTTGGAAGACCCTTTCAGGGAACTTGTAATAAACGCTAATGACAGTAATTGCGACCCGGAAAAATTAAAAATGCTTGCGTTGTCGGCCGCAAATTTAAAAGATTGCGAAGAGTTATCAATGACAAAGCCACAAACGAAAAGTGTTAAAAGTTTAGCTGGGATTTTTMCCGGAACTGAGACTTTCGTGAGAAAAGTTGAGGAAACAATTAAAAAGAAATATGCGGCTTTAGATCCAAGTGATAGTGAAAGTTTTGGGGGTAAAATTGTCTCAGTTTGGGGGTTTAAAATGTCAATATSTATTCTAGAGCCTCCTCTGCTAGGAAAAATTGCCAGGACGAAAAGGGCCAAATCGGCAAATGTGCGAAACTCCTCAGCTCGATCTAAAGCTTCAGATAAGAAAAAACTGGTGCCGGGATCACAATCAAGCTCCACTGATACGGTCAATAATGAAACCAATGAAAAAAATGTCGAAAWCTCTGATTTAGACTATGCTGAAGAGAGGATAAAGTTGGTGAAAGAGTCGTTAAAACAGGTGGTTGACGTTGCCCAAATCAGACCAATTAATATCGATGTGGCCCTTGAGGAAAACGTGTAAGCTCCCTCTTTATTAAAAAAAAAAAACTATCGGTACAGTTACCCACTTTAGGTCGGTCACAATTTCGGAAACGGTGCGAGTTCAAGGCTCCGGTGAAGGTGCCGAAGTTCAGTCATCCAACATCAAACCAAATAAGCGTAAAAAACGGAGTAAAACTGCGAGAAACAATAAGTAATTTCTAGTTATATAGCGAACGTTTTTCAATTGTTTTTTAGGGTTGCGCCCGCGGTTGAACCGAGACCTTGCCGGTCAGCCAACGATCACTTCGACTCCGATGATACTGACTCACCTGACCCTTTAGAACCCTGGAGTACAAAAAAAATCGCAAATATGAATAAGATTCTCGCTTGGGAGAATGACCAAGACAGCATGTAATCTTTCAAACTTGTCAAATAAAATTTATTTTTTTGCTTGTTCAAAATTCTCGTGTTTTATTGCAAAAATGGCGCCGATTATGGGGGTTGAAGCTCTTGCGTTTTTGAAAGAGCGGTTTGAGAAAGATTTAAAACATTTTCAAGTTTACGATACGTACACTCCGGACTTTAATAGTGAGTTCTGGGGGCGTTTGGACGGTTTTGAGTGATTTCTTGTAGAGACTTTGCTGACGAGTAAATTTTATTCAAAATATGAGGGGCAGAATAGTAATGATGTGGCTGACCCGGTGCTCATGGAAAAAATCAAAAAAGTCAAATATGATACGCCGAGAGAAAGGCATCCCTGGCCTTCAACAGAAAACCAATGGTTAATGAATTATTGTCAAATTTATTTTTAATTAGACTTATTGTAGTTACGGGTGGTTTCATGAACCCCTAGTACCCATCGAATTTGATGATAACAGATACTATCACCCCCACAAATCATCAGATTTTATCAAACATGAACTACAATTAAAAATGGATGAATCAGCCTTACCCAAAGTCAAATTTGCTGGAATTCCTTTCAAAGTCCAGTGATTCACATTTTGAGTTTCCACCCACAAAGTCACCTAAAATAAAATTAGAATTAGGCAAAAAAATACCATTTAAATAAAAACAACACACTTTTTGCAATGGAGGGACAAGTTTTTGTAATTTTTGTGAATATTTTAGGTTAAAAAATCAAATTTGAAAATTTGCGCTAGCGCCCTCTGGACTATTTAGCCAGAGCCTAACCTCAAAAATGTTGCAAAAAATAATTGTAATTTATTAATGTATTGTTGGTCGGAAAGTGTAATCATAAATGTTGTCACACGCCACTGTAATTCGTAATGCCCCCCAACAAGACTTACTAAACGAGTTGCACACGTTCATCAAGGGGGCCCTTAAAAAGGAAAGATGCAACTTACTAGATCTCACAAAAACAGCTTTAAGGCTCTTTAAAAACATACCAGCGGCTCGCACAGCTTTATTTGAGTATTTCAGTAACGTCTTCAGTGAAGCTGCTTCTAATTATATTCAAGCTGTAGAGGTGGGGTTTACCAAATTAATTCTTTGTATTAATTTCTTATTGTAGAATGAAATCAAGACGGGTGAAGTTGCAACACAATCAGAAACCGACGAAGCAGTTGTTTCTGAAATTCACACAGTTTTGAGCAACTTCATAAGTGATAACCCTACAGCATGGGCCCCTATCGTGAGCACCTGGTCTTTGGACCTGCTAGGAGAAGTGTCTACAAAATTCGCAGGGCGAGCGCACATCTCTACGAGTATGTTCCAAACTGAATCATTTTTATTTATTACTTGAAATTTTCCAGATTTAAATGAAACTCTTCAACTGTGGATGAACTGCAGAGCCACCAAAATCCTGGTTGATATAAACACGAAATGTCTCTCAAGTCTCATGCACTCAGACACCGAATCTTGTATCAATGCGCTTTTGGACACCTCAGTGAAACATTCGCCTAATTTTGATTGGGTTGTGGCTCATGTCGGGAGCTGTTTTCCCTATACTGTCATCACGCGAGTCTTATCTTGTGGTCTGAAAGACTTTTGTCAGATTAAATCTTATGAACAGGGGAGTAATTCGCCAAAATTGCGCTCGGTTGTGGGGATTTTGGGGCACTTGGCTGGAAGTCACAGCAAGGACATTAGATCAGCTATTTTGGAGATGTTTCAAGTAAGGGGGACTTTTTGGGGGCTAAATATGATTACTTTGTTTCAGTGGAGCATTAAACAGGAGAGTCAAGATAGTGACGCAAATAAATTACAGAAGAAAGCTACAGTGCCTTTCATATTGCAGTTGTCTTTTTTGTCTTCAACGTTGTTTTCGTCCATTTGTAACGACATGAAGCACATACGTAAGTCAAAATGTGTAAAAAAGTGATTCTATTTTTGGTTTAGTTTCAGTTGACACAATTTACAAACTGTGCTCTTTTATTGAAGACTGGTGCCGGTATTTTGGTTCAAATGAAATTTTGGAAGACCTTTTACTAACTCTAATACTAAGCTGTGATAATGGCGGTATTCAGATTATCAATTTATTACTAGATTGCATATCAATTGATTCCAATCCAAGCGACGCAACAACGCAAGCAATTAAAGAAAAATCACTTGAAATATTGCGTAAGTCTAGATTTTATTTCACTTTAWWATTGTCAAAGTTGATCATTACAGAAAATGTGATCTACAGAATTGACGAAAATGTCCGTAATGACAAACAAATCGAATTGCTGAKTTCCTGTTCACACGACTTGGACGAAYTCCACAAYAARCTTCTAAATGCGAAAGAAATTAGATCGCAAGTTGCTGCCCAAATAGTGATTTTTTTGGGTCACAACAACCCTTCATTGTTAGTTCGTTCAGTGAACTTTATGTTTCAAAATTCCAAGACTTCCGAACACTTGAGTTTATTGGTCAAAATTTTAACACACGAGCTTGTGAACAAGACTAGTTGGCCGTATACCGAAAAAAAGGGCTATTTTTCTGTCGTACTTGAGCAGATTTTGAGCAGGAATGTGCGAAAAAATCAGGACATGGGTCGGACTTGGGACAATTTATTGACGTTGTTAAAGTAAGTCTAAATTTGTGTGACGCTGGAGATTTATTGTTGGTTTAGGTGGGAAAAAAGTGGCCGAGTTTCGATATTAAACTCCCACATTATATCAAAAGCAATTTTAACTAATTTAGTCAAGTTGACCTCGATATTTGGGAACGAAACTGACCACGTGCACATCATTTCGGAAATTTTGAGCAACTTAGACATTCCGGTTGGTAACAACTTGGATAACTTGCCAGTTGAGGTTGTCTTAAATTTGACTCAATCAACGGTGAATTATTTTTTTATTTGTTGTAACGAAGAAGGTGCCATTAACATAACTTGTTTATTTTTGAATAAATTAGTGATTATTTTAGGCACGTCTAAAAAAACGAAAGGTTTTAAACGCATTAACTGCCTTTTACGCCGATTTTGTACCCATTCCAAGGTTGCAAGGGTTTTGGCTTTACGCGAATTGCTGGAACGAGCCCTATTTCGCAAAGACAATATTTTATTTGGTGCTAAAAACATCACACATTATGATGAAAGCTCGGAGAAATTGTTACTGAAACAAAACAAAAAAATTGTAAGAGAATTAAGTGCTCATTTTTTGAGAAAAAAATTAATTTAATATTTTTAGAACAAAACAATTCCGTTGACGAAACACTCCTCGGTGTTCAACGGTGGGATTATAGGGAGAGGCAAGAGAAAACTCCTCCCACCCAACGACTTGCCTCCAAATGTCGTCGCCTCCAACACTTCGGAATTAATCAATGCTATAAAATCTTGCTGTTCTCTTCCGGAAGACGTCGATTCAAAATTCTCAGACATATCCCTCGAGAGTGTGACTTTGGTTTCGCTTTTGTTGGTCCAGTTTGTCAGTCCTGACGTGATGTATAACGGCCTGCCATGGCCCGATGAGGAATTTTCGAAAGTTACCATCGAGCGAGACCTCTTTATTAGACGCCTGTTCAGRAACGCACCGGTTTTATGGGACTTGCTTAGCTTTGTAGCTGTGTATAGACCGGCCCTTTGCTACTGTTCCGTCTTAATTCGGGCCTTAACGGCCACTCTAATCCACCAATGGAAGAGTACAGGCGAACAGAGTAAATCACACGTGACTGAYAATTACAAAGCGTTAATGAATACGACAATCAAAGTGATCGATGTGATGGCTTTGGGACAGTTGTTACCGCCCCCTTTGTCCAGTATTAGAGATGTTTTGCCGAGTTTGAAGTGTTTTGAGGTGAGTTTAAACAATTCGAGGATTGAAATTTGATTGAAATCAAAAATTGATTTCAGATTGTTGCAATTTTGAAAGATTGTATTTGGTGTTATATGAGGGATCACATACCGTCACCGGCTTTGTTCGTCTGTGACCAAAACGGTATACATTGGAGAGACCCCACGTTGTCAAGGCCGACAGAGGTTTATACCAACACTTTGAGGATTATTATGCAGAGGAACATCGAGGCCTTGGGGCACATGTATGCACAAATGTTTATTAATATACCCAAACATGAAGGCGAATAAATGAAACGGTGGAAAATATGGGTATTTTTATTCAAGTAGAAATGTAAATTGACACTTATCCGCGTTAAGTTTTACAAATTTACATAGTATCACACTGTGGGTTTGTTTAAGAAGCAACGCCTATTTCATGTACAAGAGAAAGAAATCTCTTATTTTAATAAATGTAAAATTTTTATTTAAAAAATACTCGCACGGGTGGCTGTGACGATTTCTCAGTTTTCAAAGAAATTCAGGTGTCATCATTTTTGGAAAAAGTGAAACATGAATTCTGTATAAATTCAGTAATCCCAATTTTTCAAACAAAGAAAATGATCATTGAATTCTTTGCACATGAAACAAACAATGCATTTTCTTAAATATAGAGGTGTTTTAGAATTGTYTATTACTGAAACACCTTTTACAGAGTGTTACGTAAATAAATCATCCTTTTATTATTCACTTAACGCTCTGTATGAAATTATCGATTACCAAAAACTTATCTTTAAAATAAACCAAAATGCAAAGCCAAGCAATAAGTAATAATCAAAATATGAATTTAAAACTCGTGCAAATTGCAGTGCAACTTTTTAAATTGTTTATCATTCAAGAACTGCCATCTCCGTCCCATAATTTGACTGATTTCTTTTTCTACTAATTCATACGAACGACTATTTATTTTAAGCCAGGTGTAAAATTCGTCGCTCCACTCGGGATTTTGTTCCCAATCACAACGTATTATCACAGCGTTTCCTCTAATAAATAGATATTTCAAGTTTTTGCCGGTGTAAGCCAACAGTAGAGCCGTTGCGGTTGAAATTCTTTCAGTAACAACCTTAAATTTTTTTTATTAGAGTGACACCGAAAATCTGTCAACTTACTAAAGTATTTAAGTAAGAACATTGCCGTACAAGGAGCATCAAACTACTGTCAACTCTCTCATCAAACGATTTCTTTCGATGAAATCGGGGAATATTTTTATGGCCAAAAACTCGAAGAGTGTCTTTGTAGAATTCAATAGCAGTCATTAAAGCATCCTCTCTCAACTAAAACAATTACTGAAACACAAATTTAATTTGAGTAGAATTGTACCATAATGTGGGGCGAGTCGTAAAGTACTGTACTGACAGGGGCCCCTTGTTGCCAGATTAGGGGTTTTTCTTTGAGACTTTCGAGCTGTAAGTGAACCCTCAATTCGGGATTATTTTTGCGGGCCACTTTCCAAGTCTTGAAACCCACTGGTTTTATATTAATGTCGTTAGGAGTGTACCTATTTTGTAAAATATGAATATGTTTTATTTTTGTGTGGCTAAGAAGCTCGATTATGTCATCGCCCAAATTTTGCGGACTGATGTACAAAACCTGCAATTGTTATTTTAAAATCACGCGAGCAAATGTCACAATAATTACTTGTAAATTTAGGAAAACACCGACGTGAAACAACTCATATTGGATACGAGTCGTGTTAATCACTGATAAGGTGTCCAAGGTCAAGCAACAGCCCTCGCAGACTTCGTCTAASAGAAATTGCGCTTCTTTGGGGTCCAACATCAAGTCGATTAATTCCAATCGTTTCAGTTTTTTCAAATTTGACATGAGTCGCTTTAGGGCTGCCAACAGTTTGCCCCCAGTTCCGAAAAGTCGGATTCTTTCCGTGTCGTCTCTGTTGGTCATATTGCACGGAAATGTGAATTTCAAGGTGTGGATATTTTTGCCGACTCCAAATTCCGGATTGTCTTTATTCTGCGACTGTTCCGTGCACCACGACACCATGTTCATGAATTCATACAAGTTGTAGAAATTGAGCATCGGCTCGAATGTCAATTTACGGAAATTGCGACCGACTTGTGAGAGGCAGTTTTGGGTTCTCAAGTGGTCCAAGACGTATTGCCACCCTGAGTAATAGTTGAACCTTCCTCGGGTCAGTGTGTTGTCCTCGAGCACAAACTGGGACCACACATAGGGCAAATGAAAGGCACGGTACCATGACTTGCATACTAAACTCGCGTAATATTTTTCGCGGATTGACAAATAGGAGAAGATTTTTTCCAAGAGTAGGTCGGGTAGTTGGGACCATTGCGAGTACTGCCGCTCCTCGTCTCTTTGCTCTTCGTCTTCCAAGTCAATGTAAACGGCTACAAAACATTGAGGGTTATGCAAAATAAGCCGAAATGCGGTTTTATGAGATGAGATTTTAGTGCGAGGTGCTGTTAATTTTGAAAATACCTTTCGAGCCCGTATTTTTGGACTTATACATTTCGGTCCATAATTCGTGAGAGAATTTATGGTGTTTATCACGCTTGTAAAATGTACTCGAAACACTACCTAAAATCATTTATCATTAACTATGAAAGAACCAAGTCAAATGAATGTCATTTGATGTAGCTCTTTGGGRAAAACATTCAATATTTTTTCAATCGGAAAATATCTACCTTCGTCGTTTTCATCAACTTTCCAACAGCCTTTTTGCATTCTGTTTTTCTTTTCGATTTGTAAATATTAGACGTGTACGCCGGTCTTATATAATTTAAAATTCAGTCCAAAACATCCACTCTTAAAATAACTGCGCTAAAATTAAACTTGGAGTAATGCGTATTTGAAGAATATCGCTCGAAATTAATCATTTCCAGATTTTTTACTACCCGAATAAGGCAGAGTGTAAGTGTAATTAATTTTTAGTTGAAAATCCTTTGTAAAATTAGTTACATTTTTACCATGTTTGGTAAAACTTTTCCAATAATTAGCCTGAAAAGTACAAGAGAATTATAATAAAAACAAACTATGTACACAAATTACAAACAAAACTTGACGATATAATTATTTGGAAAAAAAATGAAATTTTGCGGATTTTGGAGTAAAATAACCCCGTTCCATATTTTTAGAATTACAGGTTTTTTAAAATGCTGTTAAAGGATAAATTTGATCTTTAAATTATCTCGCGCCAAATTTTAAATTAATCTTGCACTAGTTATTTTCGTGTTGTTCTGTTGGCGTTTTGAATGTAACTACTAACTAGCCATTTTTCAAATMTGCATCAAAAGTGAGCATAACGGATGGTTCTCTTAAATTTTAATAATTGGTGTTAATGTTTGAAAATGTGATTAATTGGTGACAAATTAGTGTTTTATTTATGTTCTTTTAAGTGGACTTAATGTAACTTACGTGGTCAGGAGTTATTTTTTTTAAACGTGAGTTTATCAAARTGTGATAAATTTTACGTTTAACCTTGTTTTTTAGTTAACATGGATGATAAGATGGATTTTGCTGGTCAAGATTCATTCACGGACTCCCCAATAAGAAACTCTTTGCCAAATGTTGTTACATTTTCTACCGGTAATGATTTTGTTGGAACTTCAAAGTTTTTACAAACTGATGATTTTGGAAGAGAATCTTTGGGCATAATTGACCCAAATAATCTTGATTTATATCGTGATTTTGGGACACATTCTTCAATATTTCATTCTCCTTTGCATAAACTAGCTAGCAATCTTCAAAATGAGGATTTCGGTAAAGAGTCTTTGGGTATTCTCGACCCAAATACTTTCAGATTTTGTCGAGATTCGATGGAGTTTTTGCGAGATGATTCTGGTAGAGAATCCTTGGGAATACTTAATTTGAACAACTTGGATATTGGGAGAGAATCTTTGGGAATAACAAACATAAAAACTTACGATTTTGTTGTCTCAAATGTTAATTTGCCTGAAATTCAAACTACAGATTGTGGTATGTCTGAGTTAACAAAACAGAGCGGGAGTGGAAACAGCCCCAGTATTGATTCTTTGTTCAATACTGCGTTTTTAAATGTCCCAAAATGCTCAATCAGTTCAAGTGTTTCATCCATAAATCCGTCCTTTAATTCAGCTAGTCTAGAGAGTTTTCCATCAAGAATTTTCTCATCTGCAAGCAGTAACACTGACATCATGAATGAGCCCTTTGGAGATACTATAGATTTTTTTAATAAGATATTTACTAAGACACCTTCACCATTGGGGGTTGTAGATGCGTTACAATCTCATCGCAGAAATAATTCTCTGCCAATAACTTTAGAGTCTAAAATTACCGACTACGAAAATTACGAAAAAGCCACCTTTAACAAGAGTGAAAATGTTGGTGAAAAGACATGTGAGGGAAAAGGAAACGACAGCGAGGAGCTTGTAAGAATTTTTTTTTTTTTAAGTAGAAAATAATAATTCATATTTTTAGAATGATTCTGTGTTTCTTGAAAAAATCCTCACATTATCAAGAGTAGACTTAGGTAATATTGCATGTAAAAATAATTTCCTTTTTATATGCGTTTGATTTTTAGAAGACCCTGAAAGAAATATGCTGGATTCAACCCAAGAACCTGAAGAACTAGCGAATACCATTGATGATTTAGAAGAACCTGTAAAATGCGACAAAGAATCAGTTTTTAAAACCGTTGATAAAATGTTTCTTACTACTCCAAGCTCCGAAAATGGTCCTAATTTGAATGTATCAAAAGCTTCTCAAAACGAATCCAACAGAAGTAATAATTCTAAATCAAAGGAAGCTCTTGAGATGATTTCCACTTTATCTGACATTCTATCAACTGACAAACCAAGCGAGAAACAAAAATCTGAAGGCCAAAACCTTCTTTCAAGCCTCGCCGAGATTCTCCTTTCTAGCGCTAGCACTCGSTCACGTTCGTGTGTTTTGGAGGATTCTGGTAATTCTTCAATTGAGAGTGAAGCAGTCCCAGCGTTAGAAACAGCCGAATACTACGAAGTTTTGGATTTGCGGAAAAAAAGTTTCTCGGAATCTAACTTACACCAAAACGAATRCTTCGAAAATTGCGTCCCTTTGGACCTGTCAATGAAATCAAAATCATCCACTGAGAAAACTTTCGAAAGTCCGAAAATTCTACCACCGAAATTTAAAAATCAAAAATRCGTTGTTACTATTAATGTTAATAAAAGCGTGGYAAGTAATTGCTCTAATTCGAGTAATGATAGTAAGAATTTGAGTGACCCCGCGAAAAAATTCAGACCGAAAAAGATCGATGAGAAGTTGGTGAAAAGGGGGCCCATGAAGGCAGTGCTTCCTGTTGATAATATGGCACGGAAAAGTGGTAAGAATCAATTGATTTCCGATTTAAATTGCAACATTCTGATTTCTTTCAGGTGGAACACTTAAAGTGACCCCTACGAAATCCGAATCAAAAACTTTAAAGTACAAATTGAAGAAAACRAGTACTCCAATCAATGAATCTGATTTAAAACCTATGGCACAATCAACACCAGATGGACAGAATTCTGCTCGTGTTATATCACCACTTGCCAGGCCAGGGAAGCCAATTCCTAAGAGGTAATTTTTGAATTTGTTTGWAATTAAAAATAATTAATGTTTTTAGCCCAACCTTGGTGAAACAAAAACTAAATTACTCAGGATCTGGTTTACCAGTTAAAAATGAATCTAAACTTAACTCTAATGCGTTTATAAGGAGAGTCTCCAGCGATAATTTGAAAAGGAATCAAAATACTGAAAGAAAATTTGTTAGGAGCTACAGTGTAGGAGAGAAAACGGGACTTCCCTCGAAAACAACCGATTTTAAGAAGCCGCTGAAGCGACAATCATTACCCAACAAGACTGATACCGTGTTGAAAGAAAATAAGATAAAGAGTGCTAATAGACTTTCAGTTGGTAAAAAAATTGGAAAAGAAAATTTGCATTAAATGTGTTTTTTGGTATTATATTACGTAATCTTGCAATTTGTTGTGATATGCTTTGGCTGCTGTTACGCTAATCGATATTTTATATTTTCACAAGAATAAACTTTTTATAAAAGATTTGAGATGTTGGGTCTTTTATTGATAATATTTTTTAGGTTGGTATTGCCAGGTGTTCAAAAAAATTGACGTAACATATGTGACTGACAATTCGTGGTTACAAATTTAACAGTTTTAAAATGTAAATATTTATATTTTTTAATTAAACATCAAAACCTGTCTTTTAGTAATAAACAATGACCAAATCATTGATTACGGTTCAAAATTTATCACGAAAATTCATAAAAACGGGGWTTCCCGGTTATATAAAATTGCACCATATGCAATCATTCAAGATAAACCCATTATTTGTTTATATGAGCACAACATTGCCACATAACAGGTTAATTCCAATCTGGTTGTTTCAGTGTCAGGAATGCAAATCAGAAGAGTAAACACCAATTATTCTGGTTGCAAATTTTGGACGCTAGTGTTTGCAAGATAAAGGAAAACAATGAGTGACAGTAAAGAAACATTGAGTTCTTTTGTTGACAAGTCGCAGAAAAACACCGACTTTGATAAAGTGCTAGGACGCAACATTTTAGTAGCCCCATCTGAGGAACAGTTTGAGTTGTTGTTACAGCGACTAAAGCAACAGCTGGGCGAAGGCCGGGGCGAAGTTATTTTGGAGGTTGTGTCCATCTTTTTGAGTTTTAGCACTAARAAGCTTTTGTAGATTGGGGGCTCGGAAGATGGAAGCGAAAACGGCTTACTTGAAGATGAGTTGGAGGCGGCGGTTGCGACTTTACAGTCATTGGCGACAACACTGGAATGCAGTTGTGTTAAATTAAGAGAGCGCAAGGACGTTAGAGGGATCATAGCCCAATATTTGATCCGGCGGGTGTTGGGACAGTCAGGTATAAAAATTTGAGCGAGTTGACAAAAATTGTGTAGACTTTTTGGAGATTCGCGTGGCCGTTGTTGGTAATGTGGACGCCGGCAAATCGACACTGTTGGGTGTCCTCACCCACGGCGAGTTGGACAATGGGCGGGGACACGCGAGACAGAAGCTTTTCAGACACAAACACGAAATGGAATCAGGACGGACGAGTTCTGTTGGTAATGATATCCTAGGTTTTGACGAGGAGGGTAAATTTTTGGCTCAAAACTCGATATTTTTTCTAATTTGAATGACTCAGGGAATGTTGTGAATAAGCCTGAACATGGGGCCCTCGATTGGGTCAAAATCTGCGAGAAAAGCTCAAAAGTGATAACATTTATTGATTTGGCAGGACATGAACGTTATTTGAAAACTACTGTGTTTGGTATGACGGGGCATGCGCCCGATTTTGGGATGTTGATGGTAACTCATTTAATTTTTTTTTTGTTATTCCTTTTGGTGAAAAAAATTGTTAGGTGGGTGCGAATGCTGGTATTATTGGCATGACTAAAGAACATTTAGGATTGGCTCTTGCACTCTCAGTACCTGTGTTTGTAGTCGTAACAAAAATAGACATGTGTCCGGCTAATGTTTTACAAGACAATTTAAAAATGTTGATCAAAATTTTAAAATCTCCGGGCTGTCGGAAGGTCCCTGTGATGGTCAAAACGACCGATGATGTCATTTTAAGTGCTACAAATTTCGTATCAGAACGGTAAATCGATCTACATTCAAAATATCAACAAATTTTAATTTTTACTTTTTAGTTTGTGTCCAATTTTCCAAGTCTCTAACGTCTCCGGCGAAAATTTAGAGTTATTAAAYACATTTCTTAATTTATTGACCACAAGAATGGAATATCACGAGAATGAACCAGCGGAGTTTCAAATTGACGATACTTATTCAGTTCCGGTAAAAACGTCATTTGTTTCTTTTTGTCGTTAATTTATTTTTGTTAGGGTGTCGGTACTGTGGTTTCGGGAACCACACTTAAAGGAGTGATTAGATTGAATGACACTTTAATGTTYGGACCAGATCCGTTGGGGCATTTTCAACAAATTGCCGTTAAAAGTATTCATAGGAAAAGAATGGCCGTGAAGGAGGTCCGTGCGGGCCAGACGGCGAGTTTCGCCTTAAAAAAAGTACAAAGACACTGTGTGTCCCCGAAAAAATAAATTTTCTTGTTGTAGATTAAAAGATCCCAAATTCGTAAAGGAATGGTCATGGTATCGCCCTCRCTGAACCCCCAAGCGTGTTGGGAATTCGAGGGCGAAATTCTCGTCTTGCATCACCCCACCACAATCAGTTCGCGTTATCAAGCGATGGGTAAACCCCCACAATTTGTTTCATTTTTGTAACCAATCACGTTACAGTTCATTGCGGGAGCATCCGACAAACTGCGAGTATTGTCCGAATGTCGAAGGATTGTCTCAGAACAGGCGATAAAGCAATAATTCATTTCCGGTTCATCAAACACCCGGAGTATATGACTRCGGGTCAAAGGATGGTGTTTCGTGAAGGTCGGACTAAAGCAGTTGGCAACATTGTGCGAATTATAACACAAACGACTCCCACGCATCCGAATGCACGAACGAAGCAAAATAAGCAGCAAAGATACGGAAACACACAAACCAATCAGGTGACAAAAAATAACGTTCAATCTGGCTTGCAAGAGGTAACAATTTTTAAGTTATAATTCGAGGAATCGTGTTTTTAGTTTTCAGAGATTGGTACTGCTGTTGGAGAGACTACGTTTGAAGGAAGTACCGATAAGCGTGAGCATGGTGGACAAAAATCCGGGTCGAGGAAAGGTCGAGGTAGGCGCGGAGGTCGTGGTAAAAACAATAATGCCAACTCAAACACCGCAAAACCTCTTACTGAGGCTAATATCAATGCGATTTCAAATCTTAATTCAACAAAAGTGCAATAATCGCACAATATTTAATTTTGTTTCGTTTTTAACAATGGTTTGTGTACGTCCGAGTAAGACAAAAAGGCAGAAATAAAGTAATTTATTTTATTACCGTTTCTTCATMAACAAACCTTAATTTGATTGAATTCTTACGAAACAAAAGTCCGATGCATGTAGGCAAAATGTAGAAAAATCACAAACAAGATATTACAAGTCGAGATAAGCGAACAAATCAATAATCGAGCCGCTGGTAGAAACAGAGTTCCCAGAACGACCAATGCAATTCTTAGCGTACTTAAGCCACCAAAAATAATTAAACAGACGAAAAAGAAAAAGTTGCTAGTTTCCTCAAATATCAAAAATGATACGAATAGTGTAAAAATGTGGCCGTATAAGCCATACCCGATTAGAGAGGTCATTTCCGATAAAGTGATACAAGAACGCCCGATTTTGCACACAAAAAACGACATTACCGGCATAATTAAGCTATAAATAATGACTGTCTCGGTCGGCGAGCAAAATGTATTGGTTGTTTTAAATGAATAACCATAATTTAGAAAAGCAGTCAGTAGGAGTAGGGCCAAAACCGGCCCTTGCAAGTCAACGTAAACTTTCTGATACTTTTTAGAAAACGGAGGAACAAAAGAGGCAAAAATCCGAAAAATTACATCATGGGGTGGTACAAAGAATAAGGTTTTCAATTTTTGGGTGCAACTTTTGGGACTTTTTTCCGGGGAGCCGACAAATATTACAGAACTGGCCATTGCAACTACTTCATTTTGTGTTTGAATTCGTCAGTGGCTTGTTTGATCTGTCCTTGCAAATTCTGGGCGATTCTTCTCATCAAAGCCCGGAATTCTTCCGGTGTTAACTTCTTGTCTAGACCCTTTTCCTCAATGAGATTCTTGCCGTGATACACTGCTCTCACTACAATTTGCGCTGCTTTGCGCATAGGATATGATTCACTTAGTCTTTGCACCAATTGTTCATTGTTTGCAAGTAGACGGACCAGGAGGCGAAATACCATGCTTGTGGGGCTACTTGGAGATTTCAAATGAATACATGTAGCGGTATTTGCGGAGGAGTTCCTGTTTGAGTTTCAATTGGGTTTTGAGGGCTTCCAAGTGGTTCAGTTGTTGCTCCTTGCTGTAGTCAATCCCTGGCAATAATCGGATCTGGAAATRTGAGTTGTCATCAAGTGAGAAGAGCTAAAAATCGGTTACCTCGGCTCTAGCTTGGTCCAAACGTTTTTGCAACTCTAAGACTTTCTGGGAACAGTCTTGTGACTCTCTGGTCTTGGCGGTATTGTCGTGGTGGTCTTTCTCCACACTGAAATGATTATGCAAGACTTACATTACGATTTTGTCTGTCAATCTAATTTTATCATTGACTTGTAAACAAACCTGCGTATTATCTCGTAGATAATGGGCAAAATTTCAATGTTCAAATTTTCCACTGTGACATTCCTCTCAGATTCTTGGTTGTGCTCGTCAGATTCCATATCGAGGCATTTCTTAAATTTTCATTGAATTTTCCTGAATAATTTTCCGACTTGTCACATTTYCTTAGGGATTTGATGTCCCTGATGTTGGCTACAATTACTTCAAATGRCAGTTTGACAAGTGTCAAAATAATAATGTCAAACTAAAACAACAATAATTTCGAATTTTCGCAAAATTCTGGCAATTTCAAGCCCGAAGAATGGGTTCGTTAGCTAGTAGACAACATGCAGGGGTCGAGGAAGTGGACGTGGTGTCAAACCACGCGTACAAATACCCGCCCAGGTCTGGTATGTCGCTTTGCATTTTTRGCAATAATTACCTTGAAAAGTGTTCTTCTTAAGGGAACTATTTTGGGAGCCACTTTATAATGGGCGGTGAACGGTTTGATACKCCTCAACCCGAGTCGTACCTGTTCGGCGAGAATTCCGATTTGAATTTTCTGGGGAGTAGACCGACCCCTGTAAGTRCTGATTTTGAGGTATTTCGTTCTTATCACACAATTTCTAGTTTCCTTACCCTCCACCCCAACCTAATGAACCGACGAAAACGCTCAAAAGTCTCGTAAATATCAGGAAAGAGTCGTTGCGGTTTGTTAGAGCTCCTGCTGATTATTCTAAACCAACTGATAAGAATGAGAGAGACATCAGGGATATTGAGTTGGGGAAAAGTTCGACGTTTAATATCGAATTTACGTTCGATTGTGACGTTAGGTGTGCAATAACAATCTATTATTTTTGTTCAGAGGAGTTTACACCAAATGGTGTCACGTAAGTTACTTATTTTGACAAGATTTTGAATACATAAGTGGTTTAAAGGTACTTGCCGCGTGATCCAAACATGACCTCAGAAACTTTTCATTATAAACGTGGGGCGAATCAACAGTTTTGTCAAATGACTCATGTTTTTGATCCCTCAAAATTCACAGAAGAGGAATTATTGTATGATGTTGACAGGGAGATAATTCCAATTGCGATTCATTGTGTAGCTGAGGAAGGCACTGAGGGTTGGTTTGATCCGTTTTTAAATATTTTGTATTTTATTTTGGGTTAATTATTGCAGAAATGAGACAATCACACACAACTATAGCCACAGCCGAAAAATTATCTGACGGTACTTATGTTTTAAAAGCTCTCAAACAGAAATTATTCGTCGACGGTCTTTGCTATCTCCTTCAGGAAATATACGGCATTGAGAATAAAAATAATGACAAGGTAATTAATTACATATTGTTATTTTTTTGGGTTATTAAATAACACTTTGTAGCAATCTGGCGACGACGAGACTGAWGATAACGGTTCAGAATGCGTAATTTGCATGTGCGACGTAAGAGACACTCTAATATTACCTTGCCGTCACTTGTGTTTATGTAATTCATGCGCTGACTCACTCCGTTATCAAGCAAATAATTGTCCGATATGTCGTGCCCCCTTTAGGGCGCTTTTGCAAATTAGGGCTTTGCAAAAGTGCGCCAATCCGAATTTGGCCCAAATCAATCCACCAGATGTAATAAATTTTTAATTTTTRGGCAACTTGAATTAATTGCGGTTTTAGGGTAGTTGCGATAATATTCCGCCAGGTTACGAGGCCGTTTCGTTGATTGAGGCCTTAAACGGCCCGTGTATTCCTCGTCAGCCCCCATCTGCAATGCCTGACTTGGTTGAGACACCTGAGAGCGAACATGCCATTCAAGCAGCCCAGATTTTGAACCGGAGTGCTGATCGCACGCCATTGAAGAGCAAAGGTTCGGATCCCACCACCCCAGAGGTATGTATTTCAGAAAAAAATCAAATTTTTGTTGCCGAATTTACAGTTTTCTATAATTTTGATTTCCAGTATGGGGTTTTGATGACGACTCGTATGGAGGAAGACCCTAAGGAGACCCCTAAATGCCCCCTTCTCGACCAAAAAATCTCAAGTCCGCGCGTCAAGCACCGCATCCACGATGCAGTGAAACACGTGAATGAGAAAGCAGGAAAAGATGAAAACGGTGATGAAGACAGCGACGCTGAAAAACTGTCTCCACTATTGCAAAACAGTGAAAATCTCAGAAATGGGAGTTTGGCATTGAATATGGTAGACGTGGTTGAGCCTATTGATGATACCGACACTGATCATGAAGAAGTTGCTTCAAGGCCGGCTTCTGAAAAAACAAAAACCTATCGTAAGTGATTTTTGTGAGTAAAAAATTGGTTATTGTTCTTTTTTAAAGGGAGCAACGGTGAAGAGCGAGGAGACGAATCTGATTACTACACTCCTGAAGAGCCAGCTCCGACTCTTGGACCTCTATATGAGAGTACTGGTGCTACTAGTTCTGTTGAAAGTACTCCACAAAAATTGCCGGGGACACCGATGTCYCATGCTAGTGCTAGAAGTAGTGGGGATAGCTATACTAGCGGGTCTAGCACTAGGCATTTGTTAGCTGTTGTGGCTCATAATGGGTTAAATGAAAGAGCTGTACATATTTAATTATGTACGTTTTAATTTTATTYGTAATTATGGGCACACAATTATTTTATTTATATTATTCGAGCACGATTTTCAAGTTTGCAACTTGCATTTAGGTAAGGAGATTATTTTTTTTAACCAAAATACTCATTTGTGATAAATTGAGGCATTTAAACGTCCCAAATTAATGAATTTTAATGCGAAAATAGCGAAATTTTTTTATTTATGTATATATTGTGCAGATGAACCTAATTTAGTTGTTTTAATTAAGTTTACAGGTTTGGATAATTAAGTAGATTATATTTTAAAGGTGATATTGGTTTTGTATATAGTTTGTTAAAATATATGTCTATCAAACATTTTTGTATTTATTTTATTGAGTGTTTTGAAGGCAGTGATGATTTTTAGCGTGATAGGTGATAGTGACTGCTCAACATTTCACAACTGAAGGCAAATTGTTAATTAATTTTATCAAACATCTCTTAATAATTCAACCATATTTATGGTGATTTTAAATAAATAAATTATTATCAAATATGTACTGTTGCAAAATTAAAATTTCGGGTAGTATTGTCACAGAGTATTGTCATTTTAATAACCTCATTTTTTACTCTTGTRATGTTTATGTTATTTTGACTTATTTACTTTCAAAAATAGTGATTTGTGGCAAAATAACGGGTAGGCAGCAAAGCGATGATTTAATTATTGTACACGTAGTTCAATCATTGATTAACCATATTATATGAATATGGTTAATCAATGGTTCAATTAATAAATTTCCTAAAATATTTTCCTAAGTAACAATTTTAACAACAAAAAAAAAAGTTTAATTGTCAAATGTCAGTCATGATGACGGTAAAAGGTAGTTTACACTGAACTTTTTAAAGTGACTTTTTAGAATTAAGCCATGTTCAAACTATGGACAAATATAAAAATCTGACATTTTTATGCTTTGACATTTTCCGATTTTTTTGCATCCAAGTGTACCTACCTAAACTACATGGCAGAACCCTAACTGTTGTCCCGAAACTTCGACCACAGATTAGCTGGAACTAGCTAATCTGTGCTTCGACATAAATGAATAAAAGCATTTGGAAAAGTTGTACAGTGGCGGACACGGAATTTTGGACAGTCAGTTCAAAAAATGTCAATGTAAGCCAGACTTMATTGTCATTATGATTGACGTTCGAAACTAAAATTTGAAKATTTTAGTTGAAATTTATTTTTGGCGTCGATTTTCCGAAACAAAAATGCCAGCAATAGGTAAATGCGTGTTTTTTTTATATAAGCTCAAAATTTTGATTTGTTGTCATTTTTTCTCTAGCTATTAAAATAAAAACTACAAAACCCGAAAGTTGCCCAAGGCTCGTTTTACATTTTTATGTCAATCGAATGACAAATCGTCCAAAATTCCGCGCCCGCTAGTGTAGTAACAAAATTTTCCAAAAATTATTTTGGAATTTGAAAAGCGTTTAGGAACTTTTGCCACATTCGTATCTKTCCATTTCAGGTTGGCACAACTGACTGTCAACCTTTTCATTGTTGTCCTCCTATCACGTCTACTTCGTAAGTAAATTTTCGCTATTATTTTAATCATCTTTCACTATTTTGCCACAAATTTGTTATTAATTTACTTGTTTTTTCATWTTCTGTTTGATTTTAGTAATAATTTCGTTTATTTCTTTCCAGATTAAGATGGGTAGACGTCCAGCGAGATGGTAGGTTACCTTTACCACTATCAAACGCTTCCATTTATGTCTTTTTTTTTCAGTTATCGTTACTGCAAAAACAAACCCTACCCCAAGTCACGTTTCTGTCGTGGTGTGCCCGACCCAAAAATCCGTATTTTTGACTTGGGCAAGAAGAAAGCAACAGTGGACGACTTCCCACTTTGCGTTCATTTAGTCTCTGACGAATATGAACAATTGAGTTCGGAAGCTCTTGAAGCCGGACGTATTTGCGCCAACAAATACCTTGTTAAGAATTGTGGTAAAGACCAGTTCCACATTCGGATGAGACTCCATCCTTTCCATGTTATCCGCATCAATAAAATGTTGTCATGTGCTGGAGCTGATAGGTACGTTGATGTGTCATAGCGTGACTTGCATTAATTTTATTGTGTTTAGGCTCCAAACTGGGATGAGAGGCGCTTTTGGCAAGCCCCAAGGTACTGTCGCGCGTGTCAACATTGGCCAACCAATCATGAGTGTGAGATCTAGCGACAGATTCAAGGCTCAAGTCATTGAAGCTTTGCGTCGTGCGAAATTTAAGTTCCCTGGACGTCAGAAAATCTACGTCTCTAAGAAATTTGGTTTTACCAAATATGACCGTGAGGTTTATGATAAGTTGAAGGAGCAAGGAAGGCTAGCACCTGACGGTTGCAATGTTCGGTACAGACCTGAACATGGACCTCTCGCCGCATGGAAAAAGGTACAAGAAGAGCTGCTTGCTGTTTAATTTGTACATTTTTATTTCTGAATAAAAAATACAAGGTATATGATATTTTCACTTAAACCTAGATTAAAAATCAGAGATGTTCCTGGAACCACAACAATGAATTAATCAAGTTATCCATTTCATTAGGTATCTGGGCCAAGGGATGATTGTCCTCGTACAAATTCATCCTGAAAGCAAATGATCAGAACAAAAAAATATTGTATAGTTATTTACACACTTGACTTTTACTCCATTTGCCTTCAATCTGTGATAATATTCCAGCCCTTGATGCGGGGGCACCCTCAAGTCCTTACACCCTATTTGTAACATAGTAGGCGCTTTGACTTTATGCGCATGCTCGATTGGTGAAGCCTTGCGCATGGCAAGTAGCGCATCTTCGCTAGGTTTATCAGCCTGGTTATATTCGAAGCCAGCTTCGACGTAACACCAATCCGGAATATCCGAAGTAATGCTCATTGYGGCAACATCAATGACCGGATTTCGGGCAACCACAGCTTTGAACATATCTGGGTATTTCCCACTCAAATACGTGACGAGGAAACCACCATGGGAACCCCCGAAAAGCACCAAACCGTCCGGATTCAACCAAGAATACTTTTGCAGAGCTGTTTGAGTGGCGAGAATACAATCGGAGACGTCCGACTGACCAATTTTACCAAGGAGKAAATTCACACTGTTTTGGCCAGCCCCAATTGAGCCCCGATAATTGACAAAAATAATCCCGAAACCGAGCGAAAGAAATAAGGAGGCTTCAAGGGAGAAATTGTTAGCGAAAGCGCTATGGGGGCCACCGTGGGGCCATACGACCAAGTTTACCGATTTTTCTGATCCGGTTTTGGGGCCCAAATAAATGGCAGAGTAAGTTTCTGAAATATAATTTTTAGTACCTAATTATGAACCCCATGTTTATAAAAAAAAAACGTACTGACACTATCATTGCCCTCTTGAACCAAGTCAAGATACTCATAAATGCAGTTTTCTAAGCCCTCTTGTGTAGTAGAAGTTGTGAGCTCAGTCCAATTTAGGGGCACTTCGCTCTCCTTTGGAGGCAATTTACAAATTGCTAGTTTATCTTGCATTAAATAATTTCGACGACTGACTAAAATAATGTCATTGCAGACGTCCAAAACGATTTGGCTTCCATTTTCATAAATCAATTCAGTGATTTTTCCAGAGTCTACAAATTCTTTTCAATAAAAATCTATTTTATAACAAATATTTACCAATATCGATGATATAACTATTAATTGTATTTTTCTGATTAGTTGAGACTACCAATCTATTTCCACTAGCAAAGCAACGTTTAATAAAACCAATATTGTACAATCCGTAAAAGTTCCTATCATTGTCTGTTTTAATTTCAGTTTTTACAACGTCTAACACGGCTCTTGGCACTGTCTGTTAAAACACAGTTAAAGGAATCCCCACACATTTTTTACTACCTTGGTATCCAACGGTAGGGGGACTTTCATAAGACTCATGGCAGAATGATGGGGCCCCCCTGCGTTTCTTTGCAACCAGATTAAATTCTTCCCGTCTGGAGTAAAAATCGGACATTTGACGGCTTTATTATCCAAGGGAAAAGGCACTAAAAAGACGTTTTTTATCATAAATTCAAACAATTTATAAATTCACCATAATTTCCTGCAAAGTCTAGCGTGAATATGGTACTCGGTCTATTGGTACAATAAATGAGCCCCAATTTTCTGGGTTCTGTCTTGTAAGCCACTCCCACAACAAACGCTCCATCTGGCGAATAGGTCACTTGTGCTGGGCAAACATCTTCAGGCAAACCGGACAATATTTCAACTTCGTCTTTTTCCAAATGATATTCCGCAATGACTGAACGTTTTTTACCAACTAGCTGTTCTCCCCAGTCTTGTCTGTACAAAAACTCCTCCCCTTTCGGGGCTTTCTTGTCAGACTCGTCATTGGCTTTGGGTTTTTTGGCACATCGCTTGTAGAAAGGCTCAGATTTGGGAATTTTCAGTTCGGCAATGTAGAGTAATTTGCTTTCATCTGGTGACCATTCAAACGAGCGAAATTCGCCTTAAAAATACTTTTTATAAAACAATTTTTTTTTGAAATGACTACCATCAGTGTACACGTCTCCATGAATATCCAAGGCGTTTAAATCAACAATTTTTGTTAAATTCTGGTTTTGCCACACTTCAATGAATTGTTTTTCATTGGAGGTTCGTAACACGGCTTTAAATTTTTCAGATGGTGAGATGGTAGACAGTTGTCTGGAAAAATTAATTGGAGGGAGGACAGACACGTATTTGTACTTACTCATTAGTTATATCAAAAGGTAATGATTCGTATGTTTTGCTTAAATCAGGGGAAATCCCGATGCTTCTCACAAATTTTGTGTTTTCGCCCCGTTCCAAGTTTCTTTGTGACCATACACTATGGACAACAGTTTGATTGTTGATTAATTTAGCCCCAACCAATGATGGCACAAGACTTAATGATCTGTATATTTTTACAACTTTGTCCACCTTCAATTCATTATTTTCAGAACGAATCGATTACAGTAATTACTTACGTTAGCTGACATTATTTCAGGTTCTTATGATACTAATTTGCTGGTAATGGCTCTAAAAATAAACAGAAGTTATTATTTTTAAAAAGTGAGGTTAATTTTGTACAGTTAGAAAATTAGAGTTAAGTTTACGTAATTCTTGATTTTTTAAGTCTAATTTTGCATAGTATTTTGATTTTTGGCGTGGGCTGAGTCGAGTAAATTCAGAAAATTGTTAGAAAACGTTCAAATAAAATAATCGCTAAGTTGGTTTTGTTAGGTTTGCGACATTGCCTGTTTGACAGTTCTATTTGGGGGATTTTGCGAATTTTTTCAAATGTTGGCAGTTGTGGATCGCGAACCGAAAAAGAAATGTCGTCACAAATTTACACATGTGTGGAATTTTGCATATAACTTGAAATATTTCGTAAGTTGTCCTGTGATAAGATAAAATAGTGTCTTGTTGTTATCAAGAAATTATCATGTGTTGTGTTTTATTTTGATGTGTGTGTGATAAAGATTTGTAAATCTCTTTGTAATCGTTACACCCCTCAAACGTCTCCAGAGGTCGATCGAAGTAATTGATTTTGTCTSGATTCGCATCAAATTGAACGTTTTTACGAGCCGATAATGATTTTGAAACAGGAGGAAATTAGATGAGCCGTAAGAATTGCGAGTAAGTATTAGGTGGTTTTTCGTATTTTGGCAGGTCGCCAGGTATCAACGAGCACACCCACTAACACCTGCTTGCTCAAAACGATTATTACATTTATTTGAGCATTTTTTAACGTCAAAAAGTATCGTTATTTGATGTACTTGAACGGGGCGGCGCTTCCGCAATTCCACAGCCCCAAACTTCTCTCACAATCGGACATTTCTGATCGAATTTTTCACTACTTCCAAATTTAAAATAGATTCTATTTTTYATAGCACAGACAGCTTGTTTGTTATTCCGATTAACTCTGTGCATGTCACTACTAATCAGCTAATTTCGCATTAAAACAARTTATTTTTTTCGATAAATAAAGGTCATAAGCAAATTTGTCTATCGGGGGCCACTTATCTTTATCAAAAGTACAAGTAAGTAGATACACTTCCAACATTCTGTGGTGGCTTTCATTTCCGTTTCTTTCAAAAAATTGTGGTAATAGATATGGTACACGAGCAAAAAGTCACTCTTTGATTAGTTCGTAAGACCATAAGTTCTTACTAGATTACCATAAGCACGTTACGTTTTTATGGTAGTTTTAATAGCCATGTGATACAATCTACGATTCGATTAAATGAGCTACAAAATGCAAATTTCTTAAGAATACGGTTTTACTTTGTCTTTTATGTTAGTCACAAAAGGTACGTTGAAGCTCTTTCTTTGCTCAAATGTAAATTCCATGTATGTTTACAGTAAACTTGGTAAAAAAACAAATGAATTCCATTTGTGCTTGTTATTAGGACAGCTTATTCTATGTTAGGAAAGCTAAATTAGGATTTAAATTGAAATATATCGACATAGACAAAACAACAATGTTTTTTACTTGAAAATAACTATTGATCTTACATTGAATGATAACAAAATTTGTCAATAAAGGGCTTCAACTTGATACTGTGAAGACCAACTTTATTTATAAATATTTGAAAAGTTAACGAAAATTTGTTGTAGAATTAAGGAAAAATGTATACAATGTAGAAAAATGTGAAACAGATAAAAATGTTTACTTTAAATTATGATAGGGGAGAAATGTTTTTGTGAATAAAATTGAAAATAAATGTACTTACAGGGTGATTCAAAAGTGTCGGACCAACTCTCGAATGGTGTAGAAGACCTTCGCTAAACATAAAAATTAATTAAGATTTTTTTCAAGCCCTTATATAAAAAATAAAACTGTCAATTTCCATATTCTCATGTAGACACCTTAGCTCTTTTGTTTTCGTTGTTGTCGAATTTAATTTATTTTTGCAGTGCTAGTTTGTTAAATGTTTTGTTTACCTTAAGACACAAATTGGTGATTTTTTTCAACAGCTCTCTGTTGAATGTTGAAGATCTGCCGTTTCCGCTAATTAAATTCAAAAAAACATGATGTGAACGGCCAAAAACTTAACCCAAAATGTAAGAGCTATATCTCGTGTAAAAAGGCTCAAACAATTTTTTGTCATGGGAACTTTTAACTTGTTGGATGTCTGTTCTGTATCATGACGCAAGAAATGGTCTGACACTTTTCAATTGTTTTCTACGGTTTTTTCTAATTTTTGAATATTTTATAAACATTATAAGATCTATGATTTTAGAATTCTTAATTATTTTTGCGAAAAACAAATAAATAACAATATATAACAGGACCGTACGTCTACTACTTTTTTACTTTTAAATGAGTGAATGTGAAGTTTGTTTCAAATTCTATTGGACAATCATAGTCCCGAAAAATCACCTGATTACTTAATTTTTTTTTCACGGCTATTTAAATGGTATACTAAAGTACAAGTTGCAAAAGGTATGTATTCAAGCACAAATTTGAAATTGCGAAACGAGCCGCGTAGCGGCGAGTTGAGGAACAAATGAGTGCTTGAAGAACCTTCTGCAACAAGTGCTTTATACTATTTTTTGTATTTTACCGCTTTATATCATTTTGTAAATTAAAAAACGAAAAAAAATTTTTTTTCTAGAGAATTTTGCGATGGTTAGCGACATTTATGTGGAATAATTTTACGAATAGGCTGCAGTAAAAATAAAAATAATTCTTATTTTCACACTTGAAAATGAATTGTGAAGAAAGTCCGTCACTAAAATTAAATTAACGCCAACGACTTATTCCAGCACTCAAATGACGTCATTTGGGTGCTGGAATAGACTTATTCTAACACCGAAATAGAAAAAAGTACTTTTTAAATTAAAATTAATTTTAACACAAACATTTGATGGCGTCATCACTATTGTAAAATATTTAAAATTAGATTATCTCGTTTTTAAAATGACATTATCTAATTAAAATTTAATAAAAAAATCAAAGCAAAGTTTTATGTTTATTGCAATAATATCAACTTCAATAGAGTTTGATGTAATAGAATTGTCTTGTAAAAAGTTTAAATATTTAAAAATAAATAAATTCGCAAATAATCAGTTACCAATGAGATTGAGACATTGACAACATTAAAGGCTGTACAATTACAGACACGGAATTTTGGACGATTTGTCGTACGATTGATATAAGAATGTAAAACGGGCTTTATGCAACTAACCTCACTTTCGGGTTTTGTAATTTTTATCCTGAGCTAGAGAAAAAATTACAACAAATTAAAATATTTTTTTGAACCTATTGTTGGCATTATTGTTTCGGAGAATCGATGCCAAAAATAAATTTTAACTAAAACTTTCAAATTTTCGTTTTAAACGTCAATCATAATGACAATAAAGCATGGTTTACATAAATTTGACGACCAAAACTTTGTGTTCGCAATTGTAATTGTAAGTTTGTAATGTCTGTTTCAAATTGCTATGATGACAATGCATCAGATTTTATTTGTACGATCGACAGAATTCCTAAACTTTTTGTGCATCAATAATTAAAAAGGAATAATTGTTTTCGTGTTATTAAAAAAAAACCTTTTCAGAGTTTTACTCAATTAGCTTTCAAGATTTGTCTTTAAACTCTTGTGGTTTTTCGTGTATTTGACCTTAAACTTGTTTTCCACTACATTTTTTTAAAGATACTGCCTTTTTTTATTTATTAAATACATTTTTTTTTAAATTTTATTAAGCAATATGTATACATAGGTATGTAGAAACAATTTAAATTTACAAAAATATTAGAGAAAGAATCTGATTTTGTTGAAGTTTTGGTTATTCGACAATTCTAGAGTATTATATATACAGGGTGCGCCAGAACTCGCGCCCCAGAGAAAATTTTTAAGTAAGGTAAGATACCAGGAACATGAAAAAAATGTTTAAAAAATTCTATCTGTCAAAAAAATTTGACATTTATTTTTTGACATTTGACATTTTTTTATGTCTATTTAATGATATTAATAATTAATGAAAAGTAATTTATTTTTTTACAATTATTTAGTAATAGTACAAAAATGTTGCCAATAAAAGCCACAAACATTGAACAGAGTTATAATTCCTGATACAGCTTCCTTGTTTGCTTTTTTAATAACCTATAGCAAAAAAACTTGGAAAATTATTTTTCCAACAGAAATAAATAAAGTCAAAGTGCAAAATTTAAACCCTTATAACTTTGAAATTGTTATGGAATTTTTTTTTACATTTTTTCCATGTTCCTGGTATCTTACCTTATAAAGCATTTGTTTCTGGGGCGCAAGTTCTGGCGCACCTGTATATACCTGTATTTTTTATAATTTTTAAAATCATTTATTTTGTTTAGTTTTTTAATCTTTTAATCAGTGTTTGGTTTGTAGTAAATTAGTTTGTTGTGAATATCTAAAGAATATTTTTTAATCCGATTTCGGCGCCAGTTAACGATCCGCAAATTTGGCAGTAAACACGTCTTTACCGTTTCGTAAACATTTTTAGTAATTTGGTAACGAAATTGTTTAGTATTGTCCTCTCTTACTAACCCCTCTAACCCAACTATGGCCTGTTGTGTTTGTCCCCTGTGACGTTTCTTGTGTATTGTCCAGGTCTGGTGTCGGTGTTGTCCTCTCCGGTAACTCCTCGCCATGGACGGCGTTGGCGGCCGAAGACGTATCGCAGCCAAATCGTCTGCAGAGGACCAAGCGCTCGACCAAATCGCCAAAGAGGTAACGTATTGTTACACATATTGTATTTATAAATCGGAGCTATTCGGAGATGGAACGGATATAGGTGAGGATGCATACAAGACTCCCGGAATGAAAATAAAGCGCTATATTTGTAACGAGAACGCCGTTGTCGTCGGCGGCTGATAGCTGTACTTTTCGGTTAGATTTCGACGGTGGATGTCGGAAACGTATTTATTTCCGGTGTTTTTTACCCCGGAGATTATTTTCGGAAAGGGTTATTTCGGGGTACTTCCGCAATGTCTGGATCCGGTAAACGAACCGCGATGCAAATAAATGGAAGGATTAAAGTACGAATGCTATGAATTTTAATTAATTTTATATTATGATAACGCTATCTTTATTATGTTAATTAAATTTTTATAGCGTCAGTGACAATTGCACGTGATGAAAAGTAATTTATTAACTAGAAGTTAAATTATGGTACTTACCTATAGGGAGGACACCGTTATTTGTCWTGTATAACTGATTTCTTGGCATAAATACTAACTATAATCTTATCTTTGTGGTCTACTGTATTTTGTTTGTTAAAAAGATAATAAGATTGGTGTGTTTTGTCAAAATAGAATTTGGGATCTTATTGTCTCTGTAGTCTTTGTTAAAAGAATAATTTTATCGTCTGACTGATAATAACAATTTTATGGTAATTATTTGAGTATTTTATAAAGGGTAATTACGTACGAATCTGTCACCTGCACACTTTAAAACTTACGTGCCAATTCGTTCTAAAAATAAAGTATTTAAAAAATACTGTCGACTAGTAGGTATTACTTTCTTCAAGGTGAAATTTAAATGAAAAAAATTTGTTTTGTTTTAACTTTTATCACTCTACGGACATGGTACGTGGGAAGTGGAAGTTTTGATAAAAATAAAATCGCTGATTACACTACAAGCAAATACATTAATAACGTTTCAGAAAAAAATATTATTTCCATATTTTTCTGGCTACTCTTCTTTCTTCTTTTTTTATACGTTTCTCCTAACTTTACTTTGTATATACCAACCTGGACAATTAATAGTTCGGTCATTTTTATGTTTTTATTTTTATACAATAGTTATACAACAATTACGTTCTATATTGTTGTTTAATTCGCTCCAAGTACAGAACTGCTACCGCAGCAGCATTTTTCTTGCATTTTGGATTAAGAGCATACGTTATTTGTGTAATAATAAATTCTAGAAAATTGACTGTTACTTTTTAAATGTCAAAATGAAAATATATGCAAAGTATTCTTGGATTCAATTTTATGATTTTTAAAAATGAGGAAGCTAGACGCCTATATGAATTGTACAGAATTGGAATTTTTTTGCATGTAACTTTATTTGTGCCGCTCTACTTTTTTTGAAAGCTCTAGTTCTGTCATTAGTGTCACTTATTTATTAATAATAAATTGTTGTTAAACTTTTATTGTTTCAACTAATTTCCAATAATAATTGATAATAATGTATACTTTTGAAGAAAACAAGTTTATAAATGAAGTCTATTTCCGAAGTGGACGCTTAGTTAACGGCGATTTTTTAATTTTGAGTTAAAACAAGTAGGTACCCCTATTTTCGTAAAGCGGCATTTTTTATTTGACATGGAAAATTCACAGTTGGCTAGATGAAAATCATTTATAACCACTTTGTATAATGGGTCGCTGCCCAGAAGTAACTCTCCTGTGACTGACCCTGTACAGTGTGTCCCCGGATAGGTGAAACGACTGTTGTAAAAGATGACAAGTTCTCGATTTAAAATTTATTTTTTTGAGATGCAGCTCTGCTTGGTTAAAAACAATTGTTTTATAGTTTCTGACATAATTTTAGTTTTGAAAAATCAAGTATGCCTTAGACATTTTCAAAAAAAACTTTTTTTACTGTAAAGTGGCTTTTAAGTGGCAAATACGACYAAAAGTTATTAAGAAAAGTTATTTAGAATCAACTTTTAGGCTCCTATAGCAAATTTCGAAATCGTCGGGCAACTATGATTCCTCATTTTTTTAATGTTTATTTTACAAATCCGAAAATATAATTTTTAAAAGTTCTTTTATTATGAATAATAAAAGTTTTACATTTAGATTATTATTACTGTCTGTTAAATATTAAAAAGCAACTATCTTAGAAAACAAATTAAAAATCATAGTTGGCCGAAATATTTATAAATATTTAATATCTATAATTATCGAGGTGACCGCCCGTGTGGCGATTAGTACTTTTCGTGTTTACTAGAAAATTTTTGCAAAATTATTTAAAATCAAGTCAAACAATGTCAAACTTAACGCAAGTAACCTTTCAAGTAACAACGTTTGTTAAATGGAAAAACGTAGGCTTTCGCGGCCATAGTTATTAGATTGAATTCTAGGTCTTCCTAGATGGAGCGCGTCAAATTATAAGTAAAGGCCGACGCTCTTGTAAGGGGCATCTTCAGGACAAAGGGCTGAATGATAGGAAGGGCGATGACACGGTAACTCAGTATCTGAATCAAGGACGATTAATAAACGTTATTTATGTTTTGAGCTGAACGATACCACAAGCGAAACCATAACAGTTATGGAAGATGAGTCTTACAAGAACGGTCGAAACGTCGACCTTCTCATAGATGTTAAACTTTGACGGCCTAGGCTGTTACCGTTCTCATAACAAATATGGAGACAGTACGAATATGATAAAATAAATAATAATAATGAAGTAATCACAAAAAACATACCGTGCGATCAATTAAAAAATAAATTAGAGTAAGCGTCGATTAAATTCTACAGTTGGCAACACATTGGCTGGGAATCTGGGCTGAAAATTTTCCACAAACAAACTGAAAGTGAAAATGACCATCTACCGTTTTCCTCTTGTACAGCAATAAAAATTTTCTACTCTAAAGTGAACATTATTTCATTCAAAAGGAATAAAACGCAAACTTGTCAAAGTTTCCGCTGACATTTGATGTCAAAAATCAGGATTGCCATCTGAAGGACCTTAATCACCGCCTACTCTAATTTATTTTTATTATCGCACGGTATTGTTTTGTATACGCTCCCGAAAATTACTYCTTTAGGGACTCATTTGAGTTTTTCCGGACGAAAAGTCAATTTTGMCGGAATTTTTTAAATTAATTAGAGGTGTGAATTCGTTTTTTGGGAGCTTTAACAAAAAATGTTGTTTGTAATACGTATCTAAAACGTTTTTGAGAACTGATCTGCTATTCAGTAACAATTCGTCTGCAAAAACTGTAAGTATTTGTAACAAAAATGACTAAACTTGATTAAAAGTAATTTTTTACATATGAGTATTTGCATGACGAACGAACTAATCGAGTAGAGTAAGTTCTTGTACCTATTATACAAGTTATCAAAATTTATTTTTATGAAATTTGTTCTAATTAAGCACAATTTATGAGTACAGTCGATAGGCTTTACCAGAGCGAAAGTTGCTTTTATTTTCATGATAAGTAAATAAAGTGCGTCATATTATYTTTATTATTATTATTACGATTTGCACACACATCAAAGCTATTTCATCGATTTTTCTTCCATTTAAAAATACCCTTCAAAAACTTTCGGCCGCCTCCACTGATAATTCTTCAACTTTGGTCGATTCCGTCGGTATTTTTGGGCGAATGAACTCGGCGTCTCTTATGAGGGGTTTCGCTCGTAGGTATTTATGTATGAATAGTTCTTGCCGGCAGTCTTATGTCGTGTCTCTGCATCGCCGACATCATGAAACATCTCTTAAAGTTGTGAAAGGAAAAATTTTCTGTTKATTCAAACGCGTGTTTATCACAAAAATACAAATATTTATTCAAGTTTAGCGTCAAGCCGGTAGTTTTCTGATGGTTTTATTCGGTATTGTGAGGTGTCGCGTTTTTGAAAAAATCTTTAGGACGATGGTCGCCGCACCGGAAGTAGTTGTGCACTCGAAATGGGGCTATCAAATCGGAAGGACGCCTTCCTTGAGCGATTGTTTATACGAGAATGCTTCAGCTCATGTTCTGTTCGTGACGACGGTTTCATTGTGCAAGAAAAATGTAAGTAGTCGAGTAGTGAATCACGTGCGGGGGTGGTAATGGTGACAAAAATTATTGTTTGCTGACATTTCGTTTCATTTGTGTATTGATAAATAATCACAACATTGATCAACTGCGTTTTGACAAGACCATTAATTAAAAATTTTGAGTTTAATGAAAACTCGAGATAAGGTCACATTTGCAATTATAACTYATGATTTCATTATTATTGCTTCCATTAGTGCAAACCCACGAGAGTGTAATAAAATCTAATGGTAGTTCGGGGAATTTGTAAATTTTCAATAATGGGCGATACTACTTTTGAAATTTGTCATCTGGGTTTTTTAAATATGGACGTGATTAAGTAAACAACTTTCCTTTTAAAGTTTTTTATTAACGAAAGTTTATGGAAAAAAAATTAATATGTATGAGACTACTTATGGAACGACTTCAGAATATAACAAAAATTTGTTATATTTTTGTGAAATTTTGTGGTGAAAGCAAACAACATGAATGTTTTAGTTTTAATGAGGTGTACAACACAGGCTTAATAAACACAATCGTTATCTTTATTTGTGCAAATGTTAAATATTAAATAAACGACCATTGTTTTTTAAGGGTAAATAAATAAAGATTATAACTCGTAATTATATTATTTACTAGTTAATTAGTACAAGTTGTGCAAATTTTTGTTTCGTATTCGTATGTTGCTGGATATTTTATTGATTTTTACTTTTGTTGATTTTTGTAACGAAGGTATGTAGGTATAATAAGAGTTACCAATATGTGGCTCATAGGCAATTAGAAGATAATAAATATTTATTCAAGGCTGGATTATCATGAGACGTTGCAATATTATCCTTAATTTTAAAAATTAACGCACTCAAAGGGGTTTTGTTTACATTTTCTTTTAAAAATAATGTCGTACGAACGACTTTGTTCATTAATATCATTGTAATTCATAAATATACTTAATACAAAAAGCAAAAATATTTTACTTGTAAAAACTATTTGGAACCAACTATTTGGAATTTGACAGAATTCTAATAAAAATTAAAAATCGCCCGTAGAGCAATTTTTTAAATTTTGAATTACGATTGCCGAAGAAAATTAACTTTTTGAATGGTTTTATCTTTAGTTTGATTTTGGGTTTATTTCTTTTACTTTAAATTTGAATTATGTATATTTGTTACTGAATAACAAAAGCCTAACCCAAAAACTCTTACATAGGACAAGTTTAAAGTAAGGTATTAAAAAAAATATATATTCTAAAAAATTGTCTGAATGCGTTTTAATTGCCTGGTTTTGTAAAGAAATACATAAATTAAATAAAATAGGGGATTTAATTTAAAACAGGGTACTGGAAAATGGTATTTTGTTTAGTTTTAAATCTATTTTTAAAATTAACAGCTTTTTATTGCCTACTTGATACCTCATTATTTATTGATTAAATGTATTTTTATAAAAAAAATTAAGAAACAACATTCTATTCTGGTAAGTGAAGAAAGAGCGCATTTATTAACAAAATTATTACTCTCTGATTATATATTATTATAATTTAATAAAGTCGTAAAAACATGTAGTAATTTTCTTTAAAAAATATTAATTATGAGGATTTACGACAAAATAAATAAAAATTCTCCCATTTTTATTCATCTCTACCTGTTCTTCTCGTTTTATTCAATAAATTGAAAAAAATGTGTGGATCAAATTAACCAGATTTATTTGCTCGTAAAGAATGAAAATAAAATGGAAATAAAACAGAAAGTTAACGTTTAACATAGTTGAAATAAAAATTTCACCACTAAAATTCTTTACTGTGTTTATAAATAATATTCCCAACATCCTACCGCATCATAAACAATGATGTAACAATATATTAAAAATAAACATGTCGCCGCTCATGAAGTTTTCTCATTTATGGTTAAATAAATACAAATGAAAACTTGTATTTTTATTTATTTATGTTTTCTCTGAAATGCAGTGAAATGATGGCATGGAATGCTCATTCCATCATCCAACGGCATTCATTTGTAATGTATTGACACAGACCAAACGTGGTATTCTTTATTTAAGGATGATATCATTTCTCTTTGAGTCATGGTTTCGCGAGATGGTAGCTCCATCGCCATTCAAAATGTATCAACGAACTCGAATTTTTAATTTTCACAGATTTAATAATTATTGTTTTTCGTACGTTATTGACAACACTTTACTTTGTGACTTTTATCAAAAAATCTGTCACCTTTAATTTTTATCTCAAGTCAGATAGGCTCTTCTAAAAACGCAGTTGTGTTGTTGCCTTTTTGCAGATATAAAAGTTTCGAGGTTTATGTGGAACTATCGCTTCAATTTGCATAAAAATTTATCAAAGTTTGAGACTTGTACCTTGTTGTAATTACTGTTTAAGTAGGTATTATCACAATTCTCTGTTACGCTTTGCTGCGATGAATCAAAAGTGAGTTAACTGTGAGGCACGCTTCAAAGGTGTTGCCTATTCGATCTATCACTTGTAAATTGTAAAAAAAGTGTCACACTTATCAGTTGATAAACTATGGTAGTGATAAGAAAAACCGTTTTGTGTATAATGAACGAAGTACAGTTAGTTGCAAAAAATAGAAAATTTTAGTAAAATGAGCACCCATTCGGTCCAAATCGATGGGGTAACGAAATCGGAAACTTCGACCGATAACGAGGGGCCGAGAATTCAAACGGATTCTAACAATGTCATCCACGAATTAATGCAAAGTTGCAGCAATGAAGTAGAGGGCGATTTAGGGAGTGTGACTTTTTGTCTAATTTTGGATGTCTTGCAGGCGGAGGCACGTTTGTGGGCCAAGAGACAGGCCAGAGCTGAAGCTAGAGAGATACGTATGCGCGAACTGGAGAGGCAACAGAAAGAACAAGAAGAAAATGCCGATCGACAATTTGATATGTTGGCAGAACCGATGGCTAGGACGGCAAGGACGGCCACTGCTGGGAGCAGATATCTCTCCAGCAGGAGGAGTTCCGAGGACTCGCTGGAGGACGGCGGCAGTCTCAGGGATTTGCGGGTAAAAATAAACAAAGAAACGCATTGCTGTTTTCTCCGGAAATTTCGGAAATGCCAGCTGCAGGCTGGATTTTTTAAATATCCTAAAAACGTTAAAATCACTAGAAACAGACAAGTATTGTGTTTTGCGTCTTTTATGTTGGTGGTCTCGGGCCTAACAGGACGACTTTAAGTTTATTTCTAGGGATTGTTTAGGAAAATTAAAAATAATTTTGAGATTAGTTATTTATTCAATCCTCTATGTTAAAATTGAATTTTATCTACTGTTTTCGTCATGTTAAAATGAAATGTTATCATCTAGATGATAAAAAATACATCCATTGTATATCTGCGGTTGTTAGTTGCTAACGATCTTTGACATTAGATTTCATTGTTGATTTTTACTTTGACATTTATAAATATCGACCAAATTGACTACAGTTGGAGACAAAATACTTTGGTCGTCAGTGACATTAAATTGTAAAGCATGCTTTAAGACTGTTAACCTTATTTTTAGCTACTGTCAATCATAGTTGACAAGTTGTATGTACATATTTTTGATATAAAGATATAATAGCTGTCATTAATTTGAAATTGTCATTTATTTTAACGTTAAAGCTTGAATTACATTAAAGTGTCAGAAAAGTGACGACCAAAGTATTTTGTCTCTAAATTACAAAATTAGTAAGGATTGAATAAAATTTTACATTGTACACGACGATAAAATTTTCATTATCTTTTCGAGTGTATTAGCGTCTCGGCTGACGCCTCGGCGCTAAATTGCTCTCAAAGATAACATTCAATTTTATCGTCTTGTATAATAACTAACTATAAATTGTTTATGTACGAGTGAAAAGGTTAAGTTTACGAGTGACGATGTTCCGTGTGGACTTTTTTCACGAGTAGCTAAATAGTTATTTATTATACAAGACGATAAAGAAATTGTTTATCTACGAGTGAAAAGGTTAAGTTACGAGTGGCGAAGTCACGACTTTTTTGGAATTTTTTCACGAGTAGATAAATAATTTTTATCGTCATGTATAATAATATTTCGTTTTATTTTGTAGGTACTTACCTATCAAAATTTCTTGAATATAAACAGTAGATAAAAATTACTTTACTTCACTAGACGATAAAAGACTGCTTTATCTACTGAAATTAGTTGATAAAATATAAACAGTAGATAAAAATTTCTTTATTCCACTAGACGATAAAAGACTACTTTGTCTACTAAAATTAGTTTATAAAAGCACTCTTTAACATTGAATACAAAATAAACAATTTTTATCGTCATGTATAACATTTTGTTTTATTTTGTACTCACCTACCAGAATTTCTTGAATTCTGATAAAAATTACTTTATTTCACTATACGATAAAAGACTATTTTATCTATTAAAATCAACATTGAGTACAAAATAAAAAGAATTATGACAGGTTTTCTTAATCTAATACGTTACAAAATATAAATTATTTTGTTTTCATACTAAAGACTAATTTTAAAATAAATTCAGAATTTAATTAAAAGCAAAACAATAAAATTTTGGATATAATACGTATATAGTTTTCATTGATAATTTTCACTCAAAGAAATTCTGAAAATAAAGTTTTTTATCTGCAAACGTCACAAAAGTGACCACTTTTATGACTAAATGACACAGGTAAAAGTTTTACTTTTCAGACATGGAGTAAAAACACTGTTTTTACGCCTAGGCGTTTTCACTTTTACTTGACACTTACTTTGACATTTACCACTGTTGTCCCTTTCGATTTTTCAGCATTTTCTGGAGAGGTACAAGGTAGATTATCAGCATTCGACATTTTGCACTATAAACTACACCAGTTAAATCAATCAATTTCGAAATCTCAACACAAATTCCGAAACTGACGCGTGACGTTTGTTATGATTTTATTGCAAAGCGTCCTGATTATTGAGGTGATTTACTTGATTATTTTTTTCGTTGCATCTGAATCGTTTGCAGATAAAATAGTATATGTTATTTGGAGTAAAAGTGAGTTTATGTGGCTCAGCTGAAACCATTTGCCTCACTCCGTTCGGCAAAATGACCGTTCAGCTTCGCCACATAAACAATCACTTTTACTCCTAATAACATAATCTACTATTTTTAATAATTATTTTTGTCAAACTTTCGGAAGCTTTAAAATGGAAGAGCTTAAGTAATGTAAGATATACGAGTACATTAGTTTAAAAAAAGACAGTGCTTCCGCTACCAGCAACAGTGCTCCAAGAAAAAAATCGAGGGATGGCCGCCGGCCACTGTTGCCCTCCCATTGTTGGTTAAGATTCCTGATTATTTTGATCCCTGCATTGGCGGTATGAACGGTGACAGCTTTCGATCTGTCAACTATAAATACATAATATTAAAAGGGAAGCTGAAGACATGTGAAGAATTTAATAGTCTTTTGCCAAATTTCTAAAAGGTTTTGCAATTTTTTACTTTATAATGATAAATAATAATAAATTATGAATAATTAACTTTTGTTGTTAACAGTTGTCAACATCTCGGCTCTTAATTGAATATAAAACCAACTAGAGCAGGAAAAATCCTGCTGCAAACGTGGTGAGATTTGTACTCGTAAGGTCAAAATCAACCACCTATTTCATATAGGAACGAAGATATTTACATCACATAACTCTTATGAAGAAACTGAAGTGACAATACCGTCATGCTACCTGAAGCGTTCTCTTTTAATGTCAAATATTTTTTAACTGATAAACTACTCAATTTTATGCCGAAAACCAATATCTTAAATCGCGGCCCTTGAAAACTAAGAACATCGCCGTCRCCATAGAAATAATTCTTTTCACGCCTGGGCATTTTTTGAGTTCAACTGATTCCCGTTGGCGCTTTAATCTGGGGAAATTTTTTTGACAAATCCAGTTTTTTAGCTTAAAGGGTTCAACCTTATAATATCAATTCTCCCTGGCGTATCTGGTTTTGTTATAAACTTCCTTCCCAGCTTTTATTAATTGCATTATTTTTCGTTAATGATTCAAAATCATTCAGTTTTTCCTTAGTAACCCCCGTAACTAAGAAAAAATCGGAATCACTGCTCCAATGCATTTTTTACAAAATGCCCATGCGGGATATTGATACATTTCATTAAGGAGGCGGTGACTAAGACATTCACTTTTGTTATACTTTTGCTATTTAAAAAAAAAAGTGTAAATTAGGTTTTTATCAAAGGTGACTATATCCATTTTAAATTTTTGGGATTCGGTTGGTGCTGCAATAAAGTATTAGTTATTTCTGTTCAACAAAGTTGAAGTTTATTGTTTTGAAGTTAAGTTTTCTACTCTACGACACTGACTCGTAATTATTTGAATGACATTTTATAAACTTCAGTTTCAGGCCATTTCACAATAACAAAATTTTGGATTTGTCAAAGTGTCTTAGTTTTAAACAACCGCGACTGTATACAAGAGTAAGTTTAATAGGTAGATATTTTAAGAAATGATTCCAGCGATCAGAAGAGGCAAAAATAATTTAATTTACATTCTGTGAATGTTTATACTAGTTTGTTATACTAGCAAAATATTTATGGTATTGTTTAAAAAAACTAACTTAAAAATTCTTTACCGGCAGTTGGTACGAACGCCGTTGCCAGCCTAAAAAATAAGTTTCATGAATGGAAAAAAATAATTTTCCTTTTTTTTTGTCAGTGTATATACTTACGAAACTATTTTAATTTGCAATACATTTTTTAATAAAATTCTTAAGCTCAGCATCCGTCTCGAGATCCAGTAAAAAAAGATTTATACGTTAAAATTGTTATTATTTCTCATTAGTTAAAATCGTATAAATTTGGTCAAAAAAATTCCCTTAAAAAGAATTTCAAAATCTCTTTTTTTACCCCGTATTGTCATAGTTTACTTTATTAGTCAATTATTATTTACATAACATTTTGATCTTATGTGTTAATTAAAATAACACCTTATTGTTAATAGCCTTTATATTTTGTCGGTAATAAAAATGGAACTTTTCTAATAGTAGTTAACTTTTAATAGTTACTGTTGTTTTGTAAATTATTTGTCATATTATTTGTAAATTTGATGGCGGAGCCGGAAATTCGAATTCTCTGACAATAATTAAGACTCATCAAATTTATACTACAAGACTTGAATTTTGCAAAATAAGCAGTAATTACGTTCATACCGTATCAGATGTCAACAAACGACAAATTTAATTGCTTGAGAATCGTTTCTTTTTCAGAATGAACTAAAGGAGTTTGAGGAGAAATTCCGCAAGGCGATGATCGCCAACGCCCAACTGGATAACGACAAAACGTCTCTCACATATCAACTGGAATTGCTTAAAGATAGGTAAATAATTTGAATAATAAAAAAATGCAATTGACTGATCGTTTTGAGTAGGTTAGAAGAATTAGAAGAGGAGCATTCGCAGTTGAAGCGAGAGCACCGCGAAAAGTGCCGCGATTTCGACCAATTAAAACGGTTGTGCGCAAAATTAAAAGATGATTTGGCTGTGACTAGAGCTGAACTAGAAGAAAGAGATCAGTTGATAAACGAGAAAGGTTTAGTCATCGTCGGCGAGGATTCGATCAATGAAGAAGAACAAAGGAACGGCGATATCAGTCTTAGTAGTATAGGTACACCGAAAAAGGCTTTAGTTAGTGTAGAAAATGCCCAGTTGTTGGAAAGCGCAGGAGAAGGAAGTCTAGATGTGCGATTAGCGAAATTGATGAAAGAAAAAGGTGAATTTTTGGATCAAATTAGCCATTTAAAATTAGAATTAGAAGAGGAACGAAGTAAGCGGAAAAAATCGAATGCGGGCGGGACGTTGAACGGGCCGTCATCAGATCACGACTTAGACGAAATAGATATACAAAGTAATAAAAATAATATGCAAAAWTTTTTTTTGATTATATTATTGCAGGGGAAYCGAGTAAACAACTCGGCGATTACAAATTTCGAGCTCAAAAAGCCGAACAAGACGTCGCCACGTTACAGGCGACTGTCGCAAGGCTTGAAAGTCAAGTTATTAGGTATAAGGCTGCGGCCGAAGTCTCGGAAAAGGCCGAAGAGGCCCTAAAGGCCGAAAAACGGAAATTGCAAAGAGAGGTAATTAATGCATGCAAAAACGCTAATTTATCACCAAAGCAAAAGCACGCTTCTTTTATTGATTTTGCATGATTTCTCTTACTTGCAGGCTTCTTTAACTGACTCCACTGATGTCTCAGAAAGTATATAGAGGTAGTAGTAGTTGCTTGCTAACACTATTGTTTGCTTTCATTTTCACGGAATGAATAAATTTGTTTTGTTTTGTCTTGATTTTTATTTCAAAAGGGTGAGTTGTATTAGGTTGTCAACTTGAATCAGAGATTAGTACTGGTGGAAGCCTCAAATGTGGCCTTGATACGACAACGAGAACGGCTTTTGTTCCGACAATCCCTAGGAGCCCTATAATTGTCATGACCTATAGTTCATTGTAATGTAGCATTTTCATTACTTAATTAACACACATCTAACACGTCATTTCAGTATGTACAATAACAATAAATAAACCCTTAATTTATCTTTTTGTTGTTTTTGCACCCCTTATTAGATAACAAAAGAAAACCAACATTCAAAGTCAAAAAACTCATTTGAAAAATAAAAAATCACATAGAGGCTACAAACGTTGCAAAAATGTATGGATGATAGGGTGTGTGTCACCACATTCCATTGGTTTTACTCTACTTTTGTTATCTAGCTACTTGTACAAAAATGTCGTCCTAGATAAACAGTACAATTTTATTGCATTTGGGTTTGTACATAATAAATTATGTCGGTTTCAAGGCTTTTGCGAGTGATTGAGTGTTTGCAAAAATGTGTTACGTAAACTAAATTTTGTTAATTTTAGGCACGAGAAGCACAAAGTCGAGCTGAGGAATTGGAAACATCAAATACACACTTACTGAAACGTTTAGACAAATTGAAGAATGCGAAATCGGCATTATTGAAAGAACTTTGACAATCATCGAATAGTTAGTGTGGATGTCGGAAGGAAAGTGCAGTGAGTTGTAAAAACGGAACCAGTCTAATAGTCATAATTTCATGAAAAATTAATTTTAATTTAACTCTTTTAACAAATTTTAACACATGAATTCGTCATTTTAAAGTGAAATATGTTGTGTTGTTTATTTATTTGAGTTTTAAACCTTGTGTAAATCTGTTTTGTCAAATTATTTTGTATTTATTTGATAGAGTAAGATTCTATTTTGTACATAATATGTAGGTGTGTAAAAATTTATCTCAGGATCGTTATAATCCGTACCAATTGCTTGCGAAATTGCAATATCTACCAGCAACAAAATTGCTTCTATGTACTATATCAGGTGATACTAATACTTAACTTAGCTAAAAAATCAATATGTAGCTCAATTTATACAAAAAGTTAGAAATAGACGTATTCTGTAACAACATTTGTTAGCTCTCTGGAACATAGCTCAACAAGTTGGTGATATTTTTAACCACCTTGAAAATTACCAAACATCGTGTGATGCGATTTTTACAAAGCAAGCTAACACTAGAAATTTGTACATATGAAATATGTGATTTTTGTGTATATTCTTTTGGTAAAAGGTATTTCAAGAAATAAACTAATTTATAAAATAGCTACACTTGTTTACCGCAACCCCATTTTCACACTAATCCTTTCATATTATTGAATAGAATCCTGAAAAGAATTTTCAAAGTTTTATCACGTGGAATGTGTCGACCAATCACGGCTCGACTTTCGACGTGAAGTAATTTTTTAACCTTAATTCCATGACGTCACACTAGGAAATTTTACTACTAAAATTAATCAATTTTACTTCTGACTTTAACCTCCCCCTGTAATAACAAAAAGATGTTTTTGGAGTTGAGAAAGATTATTTGTTTGGGTTGGCCCACCTGTCGTCAATATTTTGAACCGGCAGTACACAAAGCCGGCGGTGGGGTTATCTCGCCCGTGATTGGTCGAATCACGTTTCAGGCATTTCAGGTATCACGTTTACATTTCTTATTGTGGTTGTCCTGAAAGAGGACGAAACGAAGCAGGGAAAGTGTTAATGAAGTGTTTGTTGACAATACTACAATTTTTCCCATTGCGAAGGTAAGCTTTCATCGTGTGTTAACTAATCCCTCGGTCATGTCATGCAATTCCAGATTTTCCAATAAATTTTATCAAAATGGTGTCTGGAGGAATGACGTGTATTAAATATTTGCTTTTTGTGTTCAACCTCTTGTTTTTCGTGAGTAAACTTGGGGAAATTTCCGCTTGAAATTCACTGTTTTTCACTTTGTGACAGATCTCAGGTGTTGTGATTTTGGCAATTGGGGCTGTTATTTACGTGGTGTATGGACACTATTATAATTTCGTTTATGACAGTTTCCAGTCTGCCCCCCTGGTGTTGATGGTTGTGGGGGTTATTATTTTCCTTGTTTCGTTCTTTGGGTGTTGTGGGGCTTGCAAGGAGAATCACTGTATGATCATCACGGTAGGATTTTTATCAGAATGCTATTTAAATATTGATTGCTATTGTTCCAGTTCTCCGTATTGTTGCTTGTGATATTTACTATGGAGATAGGCACAGGCATTGCTGGGTATATTAGAAGGAATGAAGTTGAGGTCATGTTGGAAAACAAACTCAACTCAACAATGTATGAATATTACAGCAATGAGAAAATTAAAGAAACTTGGGACATTGTTCAACATGAGGTAAACATTTTTTTTAATTGAATTTACGATCAAAGTAGCCTGTCATTCTCAATTTAAGTTTACAACACTGGATAAATTAGAGAAGAAAAGTCACAGGCAACTCTGATTAGAAATTTAATTGAGCGTATGGTATTTTTAAGTGAGGATAAAAGGTTGGGCTAAGGCGCTATTCATTCATTCGTTTCATTAAATGTCGCCCACCTAGTAAACTGATAAATTCTGCACTAGATGTGCTATATGAGGATAATATGCTGAAATAATTAATGATTCAACTGTATGATTATTTTAACGTCTTTCACAACGTATCATTATGTTACTTATCCTTCATAAAGTACAAATATTTTATTACTTTCACACAAAGTTTCTTATCTAATGTAAAAAATTAAATTTGTATTACATGCATTATTTACAGCTTTTTTGAGCTAAAACTTTCAAGTGTCGTATCATTTGTTAAATTTAATGGTATAATTTTTGCCGTGGGTTGATAATTGCTTAACAAGATTCTATGAGAGAAACAGGAAACCGATTTACGTTAAACTAATTAAACGTCGAGCACTGAAATTGGAGTAAATGTTGCGAAATTCTTTTTATTTGGTGCTATAAAAAGTCACTTAATGTAAACCAAATTTGAAAAATTCTAATAATAGAAATTTTATTTCACATTAAAGTTCTTTATTTGGGTAAATTATTTTTATTTAATGTTACTCACGTTTAATTACAGGAATGATTATCGTTTAAAACTGAACGCCTTCTATTTATGAAGTTAAATAATGTTTATAGATAAGTCTTATCTATTTTCGTTGTTATTTTGTTTGACCGAACTAACCAACCCTAATGTGCTAGTTGATAGTGAAAATTTAATATTGGAAAAATTGCAAGTTTTGGAATAACATTTTAATACAAAGAGTAACTTGTGATTAAAGTAAGCTTTGATTTTTTTTACGTCGTTGGTAATTTTTGAAAAACCATAGAAATAACAGAATATCTTCAATTTGTCTTAATTACACTTCAATAGAATTTTATTTCAATTTTACAGTTTCCTTTAGTTTTTTTTTTGTATTGTCATTCAGTTTTAAGCTTCAAATCTAACATGTATTTCTTGACTAGGGACGTAAAATAAACACAGAAATCCTGCTTAGATGCTTATTTTTTACATGTAGGTTTACAATAAAAAACGTATGTTCATTTTTTTTAATTATAGATTATTTAACTAAATGATGATTATTAAAAAAACTAAAATCTAGACCATTTTACAGTTTCTGACTTCATAAGATTTAATTATAAAAACTCACTTCTTTTTATAGTTACATAACTTCAAAATTATATTAATGTTAAACCATGTAAATTGTATTACGATTTTCTTTTTTATTGTACAGTGATGGACAGTGAATTTCGTCCACCCAATTTCCTTGACAGATTAAAAATGTAAATTAGTCTTTAGGTTTTCCTAACCTTGTTTCAGAATTTTGATTAACATTTGTCATGTCAGAAGGCGCGATAATTCTTGCTACTTTTTACCTTTGTCCTTTGAACTGGTAGTCCTTGGTATGCCCAAAAGTATAGAGACACCTTCTTATACCAGAGAGATAATTTTTATTTTATTAAACGTACTCACTGCTGGCATGTACGAATTTGATTAAATTTGACAATACGTATTTGAATGTCAGTTAACCTGACAATAAAGCACAAACTACAGTGAATTTTTGTGAATTCACAGAAATTGGGTGGACGAAATTCACTGTCCATCACTGTAACCACAATAATTCAATTCAATAATTAATAATACACGTATCCTCATAATAAATTCGCTTATTAAGTTCGATCGACGTCCATGATTTATTTTTCATGCTCTCAATAAATATTTCAGTTACAGAAATAATAACAATTATTATTACGTATCTTTTCTGCTAAATAAGTTAAATTTTATCACTGAAGAGTGAGGATAACTACGTAGCCTATTATTTATGATGTTTGCGTAGTGTAATTTCAGTTGGGTCAAGGTTACATATTTATATTTTTATCTGAATTCCAGATTTTGATTTTTTTTTATTTTACATTTTTTATGGTTGATGATAATAAAAAAATGAAAATTGATTTTAACCAATTTAAGTTGCACAATCAATTTTTTTAACATTTTATAAATTTAAATATTACCTAATTTCATAAATTTCTTATTTATATGCTTTAATGGACACCAAATAGAAAATCTTCGTTGTTTTTAACAATGCTGTTGCGTTGTTAGTAGATACACTTGTTTTTATCAGTATTTACATTTGAGACAATTTACATAATAAAACTGGAGCCCTTATCTTCATTTTCACCTGAATGACCCAGTTTAGTCATGAAATACAAATAGGAGTTTATTAAGATTAAGGAAATATTAAAGTTCAGGATTCTTTTTTAGTATTTTTCTCAATGTGTAGCTTTGAATTACACCATTTTTTTGCAATTGTGCGTTCAAATCTACTCTTAAATACTTGATAAAAATTAAAAATAAATTATTGGGATCATAGGTCAAGATTGCCAATAAAATTCAATTTGTTGTGACCTGCATAATGACAAAAAATTCTAGGCAAAATGCTGCGGAATGAACGGTTACAAAGATTGGGATAAGGTGAACCACAATGGTAGTCTCCCTCACACCTGTTGCCCAGATACTCCCGACGATGGTTCCTGTACTCAAAAGTCGACCAACATTTACCAAGACTCTTGTTTCGTAATACTCAAAGAAGTTTTTACCAAGTATGGTTCGATCATTGGTGGTGTAGGGATTGGAATCGCCGTTTGTCAGGTAGTTTATAAATTGGATTGGTTTTGTTGATGGTTCAACTTGATTTTTTAAGCTCATGGGCGTGATTTTCGCTTGTTGCTTGGCGCGTTCGATCCGCCAGGGATATGCAACCGTGTAAACGTGGTAATCTGACTTAAAAATTTATGTTTTTATTTATCGTATTGTTGTATTTTTGAGATTTCTTTATTACTCAAGTTTTTAAATAATGGGTCTGATTATTCTCGAAATGGTACAATCTTAAATCACTTTCACTTCTGACTGATTTATCGCACTTTTCTCAACTTTGCTGAAAGATACTATTTTTTCTATAGCGTTTCTTATAGGATAAGTTTTTAAAATGGCATCTATAATCGAGTATTGTTTGAACAAATTATATTGTATATTAAGAAGAAAAATTACAAAATGTATTTTTCTGAGCCAAATTGAGTACGAGGGGAGTCAATAAAAATCTACTTTCTATCGATTTTTGATAAGAAAAAGTATTTATTTGTATGTCTTATGCTATTTATATGTAAGATATTGAACTGAATTTTTACAATAGAGGCTATTAGAAGAGACACTTAAGTTAGCGAAATGTGTATTTATCTCTGGTTGTTGTAAAGGTTTGGTTATCCTTTCTATTATGTGACTGTGTATACAGTATGTTCGTCTAGAATCTATAAACCACAGTTGAGCTCTATGTCTAGTTGTACACTCAGTGATAAATACCTATTTATTATTGATGTTATATTATTATAATTGTAATAAAGTTAATGAAAATTTATTCGTTGTTTTATTTGAGGTGTTGTAATAAAAGTCTTGTGTCGGTTACATACTAAAACTTTATTGTTACAATTAAAACTAAACAGTACTCGACTCCTAGAAGAATAGTCCATATTCTCTTAATTTAGTAAAAAAAGTATACTTTACACAAGCGGATTGGGAAGGAAACTGCACCAATATGACATTTCCATTCAAATGTTTGTAGTTTGCTGAGGCAACCTACATGTTATAATAATTGCACAAATTGCAGGAACCTATCTGCAAAAAAATCCAGTACACAATAAATTACACTTAAAAAACCGGCTTGATATGAAGAACAAGATCTTATAATAATGCTTAATACTTTTGTCCCGCCATGTGAAAAAAACCTAGTGAAAGAGAAAAAAACATTTATTGTCCAAAACTTTAATAGAAAATAATCACCAGGAACTCAACACTTAGTGCCTAAAATACACTGACTACTTAAAAAATCATCAAGAAATTCTGTTTGGCCACTGAGGGTAATTTCTCACCACGTTAAAAAAATCACCAATTTTACGTTTGCTCATTCATAATTATAACTACGTTATTATGTATTATTACCAGAAGAGTATATTTTTTAGACAGTAATTTCGTATCCTACTCTTTATGTAACTAAACATGTAGTGGATGTTTTAATAAACATAACACATGAACACTGAAGACAGAAACAATAAAATAATTCATGATAGATGATGAAAAGACCATATTTTGCCATTATGGCGAAGGGGAGCAACATCGACGGAAGTGCTAACACATAATTCAATCACGTAGCGTAACGTTTGGTCCACAACCGGGCGATGCGATCGTGCTCTTCGCGGTTCTGGAGATACTGTGTCGCTATACTTCCCACCAATGGATCAGCTGAAACACCAACAAACTCATCACAACGAGGTCTTACCACCGAACACAAAAAAACATTTTTAATTTAGAACAAAATCAACGTAACGAAATTTAGCTCTTTGACGCGGAACGATTTTGATCGGTTGCGTTTTAAAATATCAAAGTGCCAAAAACTGACCAATCAGAATCATCCTGTTGACGGTATTTGGCCCGARAATGACAAGACAAGACGAATTTTTTCGTTTATTACCAATATTACAAAATAACGGTTATGTACAAACATTTTTATTTTTTAACTTGTAATAAATGCCAAGTTACTCTCAAAACATATTAATAAGAGATTTAATAGAATGAGTGAGGATAGTCGCAGAGACCGATACAGAGCACGATTATAAATCATAATCTATTTTTACAATTTCTTATATTGTTCTTCGACTATATTTAAAATTATTCATTGTAGATAGAAAAAAAGACAACATTTTTTCAGGGTAAAACTTCCTTAACCCTTAAATTAGTTAAATTACTTAAAATATTTTTTTTATAAGTGACGCACTGTAAATTGACCCTTAGTTACTCAAAAAAACGTAGTTAAATTTTTTTTAAATCTTGGAACTGTAAAAAATAACGGATTATGCTGCCATTATTTTTCTGCTAATTTACCTACTTGTTAACAAATGCAAACCGGCCTATGCTACTTTTATTTATTTGTTTTATCAAACTCTGAAAACAAAGATGTAAATTTTGCGCTCACAAAATTTGAAGCTTCTGGAAAAATGAGAGTTAAGTATTGCATCACCAAAATAAAATTGCAACCAAAATAATTTGCATATGCACGCAAAAAAAACTTGTGCAGAACAAAAATAGAGTCTCAAGTCTAAAAATAGTACATTTTGACCACAGCTCAAATTTCATGTTTACAATCGCATTTTTTTGCATGGTAATCGTAATTAATATTGTTCAAGACGGATTACCTGTACAAGTACAAAAAAAGACGACGATTAACCTCGATCCGGTTCATTAATCGATGTATAGCTGTATTTCACATTGATTGCTATGTTAAATTACAACTTTTTGAGTTCAAGGATGTAATTTGTTTGATTTCAACAAAAATTTCTCCAACTTTCATCGTTTTTTAGTCAAAATTTTTCACAAGAAATGAATGTATAATTTATATTCATGGCGTGTTATTAAAAATATTCAAAACATGCCGGTGACTACGCCAGTCCAATATTTTGTCTGGTGGCTTCGGGTCTATGAACTATGTGAAAAATAATTTGGCACCATTTTTAATCACAGATTTGAGGGAATAGTATAAATAAATGGAGTACAGTTTGAAATATCACAATGATTCATAATAAAATATTCCGATAACTTTGATTGTTTGGCTTTTTACCTGTTGTGATTGCGATTAAGTCTGAAACTATTTGACCCACCTGGATTGCAGTCGGTGAGTAAGGAGCAGATAGATAAGAGAACCTTGGAGATAGTGAGGGCGGGCGACCAGTTGTCTTTTAAAATATCCAAACAGATAACACCCTGACTGTTAATATTGCAGTGGTAGATTCTTGTCCTGAATGTAACTTTAGGTGGTTTGAAGGGATACTCTGGCGAGAAATGGATATCCAAGAAGAAGACGCCGCCCTCGTATACCGACCCCGGGGGGCCCAAAATCGTCGACACCCACTCGTAGAAGTTCTCTCCTTTGGGGCCGGCGCTGCAATTTGGCGGTGGATCTAACGTGATTTCTGCTAACTCTTTTTGGATTCTTTTTGCTGATGTGCCCAAGGCCTTTGACATTTTCGGGTTAGGCTTTGATTCTTTTGTTTCTTTTTGATCACCGACTGCTGCTTGACCGCCTCGACCACGGCCAGATCCACTAGATCCTGCTGAAGACATTGGACTAAACAAAAATAAAAAATCATTTCTTTGTTCAATCAGGGACCTCCCGGTGGTTACCGGGGGCTGACGAGACGATAGTGTGAGAGAGTCACCTTAAGTAATAATGGGGTTCAATGTCTGATAGCGAATTGACGAGACAGGTAAACGATTATTGCGACCCTTCTCAAAATCAAAATTGATTCCTGTCAGCTAAGTCGGCCATTTTGATTTCAAGCATTACACAAGCCGAAAATTTCCATTAAATTGGGAGAAACGGGACGGAATTGAATGATTATCGATAAAAACACAATACCGAACCCGAAATTACTGTAATTTCGATACGATATCGCTTTTATTATGTGATATTTACTACACAAGTTGACGATTTTTTTCAGGGCCTACTCAACAAATACGCGCACAAACGACAAAAATTGATTTTCAGGAACGTAAAACTGGCATTAGACGGAAAATCTCAGTCAAAATTATACTTACTTGTATTAATTTTTGCACTAAAAACTGAAAACAATTCACTCCCTTTTCGCTAATATCGGCTCATGGCGTACTCGCTGAGTACTCAGGATTGCCACCATACTACCGGAAATATGCAAAAACTGCACAATCCAAAAACCTGTATTTCAATTATTTGTAACATTCCTAGTCCTCAGAACAGTCCAGAGACCCCGTTAATTATCACTGGGTCAAAAATTATCTAAAAATTATTAATTTTATTTAAAAATTTTTTAAATCGTATACAGCAATCTAGGGACATGAACAGTGTGCATGTTGTTTACCTGTTGTTATGACAGTTTAGGTGCTAACCTCAAAGTTGTATAAAATTTATATTTTTTAATTTCACGAACTTACAAATAATATCAAAATGGGGAAACGTCAACATCAAAAGGACAAAATGTATTACTACCTGAAAATTGTTTTAAATAATAAATTTGGGATTTAAGGTACTTGACATACACTGAGTGGACTACTCTTTATGGGGGCAAAAGATCGGGTTATACCACCGCGGAAGAGGACTATTTTAAACGACTACCGTTTGATCATTGCTGTCTTTCCTTGCAACCATGGGAAATACCTTACTGTGACATGGAAGGCAATATTTTTGATTTGGAGCCCTTGTTACCCTTCTTGAAAAAATTTAAGATAAATCCAGTCACAGGAAAACCTTTGGATTTTAGATCTTTGGTGCAACTTAATTTCCGCAAGAATGCAGAAGGTGAATTTGAATGTCCTGTCCTTTATAAACAGTTTACAAAAAGTTCTCATATTGTTGCAATTGCCACCACTGGAAACGTTTATTTAATGGAAGCAGTGGAGCAACTTAATATTAAGAATAAAAATTGGAAAGATTTAATCACTGATACACCATTTGAACGGAAAGATATAATCACGTTACAAGATCCACTGGATTTGAATAAGTTTAACATTTCAAATTTTCACCACGTCAAGAATAATCTGAGAATTGAAACTGAAGAAGAAATCAACGAGAAAAATGACCCACAGGCTCACTTAAAAAACGTAAATCCTGAAACAAAATATACCCTTGAGGAACTACAAAGGGACTACAAAGAACCCACAATTGAAATAAATAAAGTTGAAGTTAAAGAGAAAGCAGACAAATTCAATGCTGCTCATTACTCAACGGGGGCTGTGGCTGCCAGTTTCACGTCAACAGTAATGGTCCCAAAATTGGTACATGAAGCTGCAATAAAACATGAAGATGAAGTGAGATATGATAGAGTTAAGAAAAAAGGTTATGTGAGATTAATCACAAATTTGGGGCCCCTAAACTTGGAAATTTACTGCGACGACGTCCCACGAGCTTCAGAGAATTTTATCAGGCATTGCGCAAGTGGGTATTATAACGGGACAAAATTTCACAGGTCTATTAGGAATTTTATGGTAAAGTAGTGGTTTATACCGAGGGCTAAAACTAATAAAAAATGTAGATTCAAGGTGGGGACCCTACTGGGACAGGGACTGGGGGCGAATCAATTTGGGGAAAAAAATTCGATGATGAGTTTAGGCCCAATTTGCAGCATATAGGACGTGGGGTCTTGTCTATGGCTAATAGCGGGAAAAATACAAATGGGTCACAATTGTATGTCTTTAGTAAAAAATAATGCTTTTTTAATTGTTTTTTTTTTAGTTTCATAACATACAGGTCGTGCAAACATTTAAATAACAAACACACAATTTTTGGACGCTTAGTTGGCGGTATGGAGACTTTAAATGAAATGGAGAAAATTGAAGTAGACAATAAGGATAAACCCATTGATAACATCGTGCTTATAAGAGCACAAGTTTTTGTTAATCCATTTGAAGAAGCTGATGAACAAGTAATTTGCTTAGTTTTTTGCAAACTTGTTATTTTTGATACATTTTTAGTTGGCGAAAGAACGAGAAGAGGAATTGAAAAGACAGAAGGATGAAGAAGAGGCGAAAAGACGTAAAGCGGAAGCTCAAAAAACCTTAAAGATTTATAAAAGTGGAGTTGGAAAATATATCAATCCCGATAATGTGAAAAAGTGGGTTTGTAATGTTATGTTGGTTATACTTATTTTTCTGATTTGTTGTAGTTCTGCAGTTGAAGACAGTGACATTAAAGAACCACAAGAGAAGAAGAAGAAAAAAATGAAATTTACATTTAATGATTGGTAAATTGCTGTATAAATAAATTAATTTTTAAGTATAAAGTCTTCCGTTTCAAATCGAAAAACCCACTATTTTTGCAGGGGTGCWAACCTTGCAACTTGAAAATGGTGTTATTTCTTTGTTTTTGTATTGCTCGGCTAATTCCACGCTCATTCTAAATACGGTACAATCACTATCACATGATCTATCCGCCCATTTAAGTTTTATGCTTGTGCTGTTGCTCCTGCGTACATCACAACTTGTCTGTCTTACTAGAATTGTTATTCCGAGAAACCCTCATAGTTATTGAGCTTGTGCAGTAGAAAAGCGAGCACTGTGTACGTAATAAAAGTTGTCATTAGCCGGTTTTTCACAATTTCACCGATTTCGAGCCAGAGATGGATTGCAACAGTATTTTGCGGAAATATTCCCGTTATTTACTAATTGTTTTCAATTTTTTATTTGTGGTAAGTCCGATAATTTTCTTATCAGTGATTGCTCGTCGTGTAGTTGATCTTTTTTTAAAGCATTGTTCCATGTTTGTTTGACGATAAACAACGTTTTAAATTTATTTAGAACATTCCGAAATCGTCTTAAAATTCATCCTTTTTGTATATTTGCTTTTCACAGCCGGTATAAAGTCAGAGTACAGTATGACAGATTTAATTACGCTGCGGGAAAACCTGTCAAAATGTTTTGCTATATTTGTCAGCTGTAATGTTGTGTAATATGTTTGTTATTCATTATCCAAAACGATTTTATGAATAATGTTTACCAAAAATTAATTATGAAATTATTAAGTTATACTAAAATTTATGCTGTTTTATTTACTTTGTTTTGTCTGTCACTAATAAAGGACCACGTAAATCCTTCTGATTTACAAACATTTAATTTTTAATTATATCACAGTATAAATTACAAAAGTCTTTATTTTTGGGCGATGATTTCAAAATACAGTTGGAGACAAAATACTTTGGTCGTCAATGTCACTTGAGTGACATTAAATTGTAAAGCATGCTTTAGGACTGTTAACCTTATTTTTAGCTACTGTCAATCATAGTTGACAAGTTGTACATATTTTTGATAGAAAGATATAATAGCTGTCATTAATTTGAAATTGTCATTCATTAAAGCTTGAATCACATTGAAGTGTCAGAAAAGTGACGACCAAAGTATTCTGTCCCCAACTGTACTAGAGGCACCGTCTAGCCCATATCAATTTGAAATAATTCAAAATTTGCAAACATTTGCACGTTTTATTTTTTCATTTATTTACATATAAAGAAATAAAATAGAACAAAACAAGTAAGATTAATAATAAATCCCAACACATTAAACCTGTACTAAAATAAACGTCAAGTATCTATCTACAGTGTGTCCCCGGCTAGTGAAACGACTCTTATAAAAGATAAAAAATTCTCGATTTAAATTTTTATTTTTTGAGGTTCAGCCTTGCTTGATTAAATATTAATAAATGTTTTATGTGGCAAACTCGATAACAAGTTATTAAGAAAAGTTGTTTATAATCAACACATCAAATTTCAAAATCATTGGCCAACTGATATTTTATCCTTTTTATGTTTATGTTTTTCCTTTCACAAAAGGGTTTTTTACTATCAAAAATATTAAGAAAAATATCAAGAAAATTGACCGATAATTTTGAAAAATGGTATATAGGCCTAGATGTTGATTCTAAATAACTATTCTTGTTAACTTTTTGTTGTATTTGACACATAAATGGCACTTTATAGAAAAATAAGTTTTTTGAAAATTTTCAAAGCATACCTTAATTTGTCAAAACTAAAATTATGTCAGAAATTACTTTTTAACCAAGGAGGGCTGAACCCTTTTTCTTTACAAGAGTTAACAAGAGAGATCTTTTACAAGACTACAAGAGTCGTTTCACCTATTTGGCGACTCACTGTATACAAGTTAGAATAAGTTAAAGTAGGTACCGTGCGATGAAGAAAAAAAATTAGAGTAGGCGGTGATTAAAGTCCTTCAGATGGCAATCCTGATTCTTGACATCAAATGTTAGCGGAAACTTTGACAAGTTTGCGTTTTATTCCTTTTGAGTGAAATAATGTTCACTTTAGAGCAGAAAATTTTTATTGTTGTACAAGACGAAAACGGTGAATGGTCATTTTCACTTTCAGTTTGTGTGGAAAATTTCCAGCCCAGATCCCCAGCCAATGTGTTGCCAACTGTAGAATTTAGTCGACGCCTAGTCTAATTTATTATTTTTTTTTTTGATCGCACGGTACTTCTCTACAACTTTATGATAGTTGATCCGAGTTTTTGAAATCCGCCCCTCTACATATACATACAATGGCGAACACGGAATTTTGGACATCAAATTTATTTACGCTTTATTGTCATTATGATTGACTTCTTCTTCTTGGATCTTCTTGGTACGTTGTTGTGTTTTTAAATAAAAATTTGGTGTGACGGGCTAATCGTGTTTTTGTTCATTATGATTGACGTTTGAAATTAAAATTTGAGTTGAAATTTATTTTTGATGTCGATTTTCCGAAACAATAATGCTTTTAAGTTCTTTTTTTTTTCTCTAGCTATCAGGATAAACATTACAAAAACCGAAAGTGCCAAAGGCCCGTTTTATATTTTTATGTCAGTCGAATGACAAATCCTCCAAAATTCCGTGTCCGCCAGTGTAACAATAAAATAAATAAGTATAAGATAAAATGAAAATAAAATTACAGCCCTTATAAATGGCAAATTCTTAAACATTCAATAAATAAAAACTTAATGAATTGTTAAATTCTTAATAATAAAGACGTAATGTTGATTTATGTTTATAAATATGAATCACGATATGAAATCAAATGATTATGACTCAAGCTTCTTTGATTTTATTTTTATTTTTTATTCAGCTGTAGAAGTTATTACTACATTATCATGTAATATGTATTGATTTCGCTGTATTTTGTGCAAGTTGGCAAAGGTCTATTTTTATTAATTAAAGGAAATAAATAAAAAAGCTGCCTTATAATCGTCACGTTATTAGTAAGGACCAATTTTTGAGCCTTTTATCAGAGTGGCCCATGAGTCTGAAATTCAATTGGTACCATTGAATAATGTAGAGACAGAACAAGATAGACCCTCCATTTGAATAGTTTGCAGTTGATGTGCCAGATGTCTACCTTACTAATTTTGGCGCGCGCGGCGACGTTTTGGCGGGATTTTGACGGAATTTTGTGACAACTTAAAAGTCTTATTTAATCTGTCACCTAACGTTTTTTAAGAGCATTTTTTATTGAAAATAATAGTGTCAAAATAGACCCTTGCAAACGCTTGCAAGTACTCATATTTACATTGACTTGTCAAATTGACAAAAATGGAAAACTGATATTGTCAAGACATGTTTTCCCCATTTAGATAATTCCCAGCCTGACACGAGAGGTCAGCTACTTTGCTGATTTTCTCCTATAGGATTCACATATTTTTATCATAATGGTTTTACGTAAATTTTAGTGGTCAAACATAACGTTAACTGACATATGGAGAAAAACAATGTCACTTAATACCATCGCCACACCAGCAACGTCGCAACTGTGTTTTTTTAAATGAAAATGTTTTTTTGATTTTTACATTCTGATAGTTGTGCAGACAGTAAAATGTCCAATAAAGATACAGCGTGTTTTAAAATGATTTCCATATCTAGTCGCCTATGGAATTTTCATGCAAAATAAAAAATGCCGCTTTAAATAACATTCAATTCATTTGACAGCTCTCACTGTTGTCAGAACTATCAGATTCAAAAAGAGTAGAGCGGCACAGAAAAATTTACATGTAAAGAATTCAAAAGGCGGCTAGATGAAAAAACACCCTGTACAAGGTGTTTCACATAATTTTACGAGACCTGCGCCTGTAAGATGCAATCAATAATACAGACTCCGATTCGAACTCGATTACAAATTTTGAAAAATTGGATACTTTTTTCTAGTTTGTTCATCCTTTCAAAAATTACAACGTTTTTAGTTAGTAAGTGATTGAGGTAGATAAACTAGAATCATATTCCTGCTGTTTCTTGATCGAATAAATGATAATTGTTTCTGAAAAACTCAGTTTATGATTATTAATGAAACAATGATTAGTTTGACAACTACTGTCATGGATTTCCAAAAATTAAATAATTAAATATGTGTTTTTTGTATCTAGTGTTTTGTGACTTGTATATTTGGGTGCGTACATTCGGCGCAAGCCTTGTAAAGTTGTGTGAAACACCCTGTATAATTTGAAAAGAAAGTCATGATGTCAGTAATTTTGGCTTTAATTTTGATGATTCGGGTTAAATTTTATTTTCGATTTGTTTTTGATTTTGTTTTTTGTACCTATTAAATCAGACTTTAACTGTGATTGGTTATTTTATGTTGGTGGGGCAGATCAAATGTTACAACGGTGCTACTATAACTTAATTTAACAACTAATGTAATTGACCCCATTGGAGGGTCAACATTTTTTTACAGTATGTACACAGGTAAATATCTTAGTATGGAACCAAGCGGTTTTTTATGAGAACGAAATTTTGTTGTGTTTTTGGGTTTTTGTTTCGATTTTTTTTGTCAAAATTGCAATTTATGTAAAAAGAAATTTTTTGGAAAAATTACATACAGGTGCGCCAGAACTCGCGCCCCAAAGAAAAATGCCATATAAAGTGAGATACCAAGAATATGGAAAAAATGTTAAAAAAAATTATCTATAAAAATTTCGAAGTTATAGAGTTTAAAGTTTGTACTTTGACTCTATTTATTTCTGTTGGAAAAAAAAATCCAAGTTTTTTTGCTGTAGGCTATTAAAAGAGGAAACAAGGAAGCTGTATCCTAACTTGTAACTCCATTCAATGTTATTTGTAACTTTTATTGGCAAAATTTTT